TCTCTTGGGGGTTCTCCTGAAATAATCTGCAATTTTCAAAAACATCACTGACGTAAATTCCTCTTCTTCTAAGTTCCCTAATCCAGTGTATATTTTGATTTTAGGGACCGAAGAACATATTTTTCTTTCATCCAATACATTGATTTCGCAATTATACCGTTTATCTACGCTACTACCCAATTTTATTCTATAACGTTTTATGTTTTTCCGAAACTTCTATGCCACCGAAAAGTCCGTGGGTTACACTTTGTTCACCTAAGCTTCTTAATTGTAACCTTTCTGCTGCATACCTGCTTATGTATGAGTTTTGACTTCCGGTGTCAATTATCGCTCGAACAAATTGGTTATTCCCTCTTCCATATATGCGAACAACTAAAGTTTGCAAATATACTTCTGAACATTCTGCTTGATTTGAAAGTACTTTATTTTCTATCTGTTCGTCTTTTTTAATTTCCGAAACCTCGACAGAAGGATTTTGTTTATTACACATAATAGTTGCATGTTGTTTTTTACAAATAGAACAAGTTATTTTTGTTCTGCAGTTTTGAGCCAAATGGTGTAATTTTAGGCATTTATAGCAAGCACATTTTCTTTTTAAAATGTCCTTTTTTTCTTGTAATGATAAGCCGGAAACGAAACTACAGTCATAAATCTTGTGGAATTGATTACAGAAGACGCAGTTCATATTTTCCTCTCTGCATTCGGATTTTGTAAACAAATCTGTAGCGGTCGGAATCTTTGGTTTATTATGTCTATTTGAGAGACCATATGCGCTTTTTCGTTGCAGGGGGGGGGGAAGAAGACTGTCGCCGATCGGATACTTTTTGCTGTTGCGAAACCGTTGACCTCGTGCGTTCGCGGGATGAAAGTTCTGCGTGTAAAAATGACATTAAATCTTTTATATTATAATCGGTGCAAACATTTTGTGTTCTATTGAAATTCAAGCGTTAATTCTGAAGGCAATAACTTCAAAATCATCATCGGACACAGCAAAGCGCTGCAAGATTCCGATACAACATCTAACGCTTCGAGACATCTAATCTGCGTTTGTACTTTATCATACAAGTTACGAAATGTTTTTATGTCATTCGCATTTTTTAATGATTCAACATTCAGCAAATTATTCATGTGCGCATTAATAAGAATGTCTCTCCTTCCAAAACGGTCGTGTAAGATTTGAATTGCTGAATCATAATGCTTTGGCGATAACGGAAGTCCTTGAACGCAGCTAGCAGCTGTTCCTCCTAAATATGCTTTCAGGTAATTAAATTTGTCTACTTTGTTCAATGATTCGTTATTATGTATTGAGGACTCAAAACTATTCCAAAAAGTAAGCCATTGACTACTATTCCCATAAAACACAGGAATCGAAAGTTTTGGTAATTTAACATTAGGTGTGTCTTTTATATTTTGCTGAGTGTTAGGTGCATTTAAGTCATTATCCTCATGAAATACTGAAAGTTCGCCTTAGGGTCATGATTAATTTCCTTAATCCGTTTCTGAATTCGTTTAGGCCTGAATTTCCATAACGTTATCTTCTCGCGATATTGTTTCTGTAATTTCGAATTCATTTTCGAATTCGTCTACACTCAGAATTGGTTCAACTTCTACATCGGCATTAGATAACGTTTCGGTTTTAGCATTAAGCTGTTCTAACAATTCTTCGAGCTCATTAATACTACCTTCAGATTTATTTAATTCACTTTCGATTTTCTTAAATAGTTTTGTAACGGCAGTTCTTAAGATACTTCTTTTCTTTTTTAATTTATCTACTTCAGCCATTATCTTTCTTAGATTCAACATTTACACAAAAATATACGTCTCATGAAAAAACAAATATTTACTCTTACTTAGAAAACAAAATTATTCTTTTGCTGAATACTTCAAGAACAAGTATTAAAATCTTCAATTTTAATATTCAGCTTTTGAATTCACTTTATTAGAACTTTTCAAAAAACCTGGCGTCCCTGTTCGGGTGCCATAAAAAATGTTGCATCAGGTTCTTCTATTTACAATAAAATTAATGTAAAATTCCTTACCTGCTGCATCTTCAGTGTTCATGACGCCAGGCTTCTAATAATCACGTTTTCAGTAAGAGTTTCTATTACTGCTAACAAGCCATCTTGTCTTTTAATTATTTATTCAAAGAAAACGCTAATATACACTATTTACAAGGTAAGTGATAATTATTTTAAGACAGTACATTTTTAACTCTGAGTCTTTACGCTCCTCAAAGCGGTTCCAATCTCGACTGGTTCTCGAAACTTAATTACAGCAAAAGTAAAGGAAGAGATGCCCGCCACCTAGTGGCAAGAATGTGACATACCATAAGAGTTCACTTCAGAAGTGGGCACAATTTCTATGATGCCTTCATCAATCCAACTTGAAAATACATTTTCGTATTGTTGATACAAATTCATAGCTAAAAGTTTCGAAGTAGTGTACTTGAGCCTCTTTTTAGCTAAACTAAAATTAGCAGGTAAAGGTGACTTATCATCAGCCCAAGGTAAGCAAATTTCATACCAACCATCATTATTTACTGTAACAGTTTCTAAAAAATGTTCTTTGGTCTAAAGATCAATCTCATGTTTAGATTTCTTTTCTACAGGATCATTAATACCTATTAAATCCAATCTCTGTAGACTTGAAACTTCAGCTTCATTTATAAACATTGATGTCACCGCCATTGCTAAGTTTTCATTAGGAGCTTCCTCTACTGACATCTTACCATCCTAAACTAGTTTCTACAGCAACGAAACCCAAAGACAAAATTTTTCTATTTCCAGTTAACAACCTTCCCATTATGTCGGCTCCGACGAGAATATAACTGGTTTCGCAATTAACTTAATTTCTTCTAGCTCTTTTCCCAGGGCCTTTACACACAGTCCGAACATTGTCACAAATTGTTGGATTTAATAGGTATTAATGATTATTAAAATAACAAACATGCAATCCTAAAAATAAATAATTATCTAAAAGCAGTAGATTGCATATTGTATCATTACCATAAATTTTGTCAGAAATGTTTTCGTATGACTTACTTTATCGAAAATCACGCAGGTTTGTACTATTGCTGTAGTTTACTAAGAAACTTTTTTCTAATCATTTTATTGATTTTGTATCTATTTGATGTAAGTTTCTGAGCAAAATCATTACCACAGAGTTATGCAAATTATAGAATTGTATTAGGTTTGGATAAGGAATATCATTTTAGTGTCTATATGAATCTATTATCTTATCTGTATCAAACAGTAACTATTTTATCTCTACTACATTTGTGTACTACTAACCTGAAGGGACAACTGTATGGCACAGGAATTTGGCTAAGAAATGGCAAAAAGTATAATTTTGCATTACATTTTCAATTTGAAGTTTTGAAAAACTTAAAACATATTTAAGTCGAGATACATGTCGAAACCATGTATCTCGTGTTCGCATACAAACATTGGCAAATAATCATACATTTGGATGGTGATTACTATGTGCACTGAAGGCACTGCTTTCATGTTTCCCCCCCCCCTCCCAACTTTTTTTTTGTGTGTGTGTGTGGGGGGGAACTTTCATTACAACCAGATATTAATGTAAGTATTCAGATAAAAATGTGCTTTTTTGCTGCTGTTTAGCTGTGTCTGTGTCAAAAATGTTTTATCATGAATAAAAAGTATTCAGATTGCTACGGCAATCTAGTTTTTCATGAATCGGCATACATCACCATGCATCTATGTTGTTATTGGAAATATCATTACATATGTGAATAAAATATTTAAAAGTGGCCTAATAATATATATTAACCCTTTGCAGTCGGATTAAATTTGGAGATGGGTATCGTACTGGTTGGAATTAATTTCCGTCGATATAGCAAGGATACATAACGCGCAAGTTTAAGATGAATAAACAAGATTTAGTAATTCTTTTGTGAACTTTAGATATATCTTTATTCAATACACTCATCTAGTAATATGTTTTTGTATAAAAATTATGTTTTATAATTCTTTTTCTTCGATCCCGTTCAAAAATTAGTTTTTGATTGTGGCTGATCTGTGTATGTAACGTCTTTGCAAGTAGTAAATTCCTTTACATTTACTATTCTCATTTTCATCAGTTTCTTCTGTTTCACTGTCGCTGGATATTGTTAACTGCCTTACTCGTTGCTTCATGGGAACTATGTCACTATCAGAGTCACTGCAATCGTTATCACTTTCTCTATCAGAGTCAGTATTCAAGAGGCCAAAATAAAACTCTTCATCACTATTGTCAGTTTCACCGAACACTTCTTGCGGTAACTTTCTTTTTGCCATTTTGGGGAATTATTTTGGAATTTTAAGAAGAGAGAATGTCTAATTACTGTTAAATACAATTTATAAAATATTCTTTGGTATTCTACAAGGTATCATCGAATGTTGTCGATTTCATTACGTTCAAAAGACGACTGACTCACCACTGCGTCTTGCATGGCAAGCGCTGGGTCACAACTTTTGTTTAAATTAGATTACGTTATCTCCAATCAATGGAGCACGGTATTGGTTTGTGAATAGGTTCTTTAGGCATTGAGGTTCGTAAGGCATTGAGTTCTTTAGGCATTGAGTTGAAAAGTGTAAATTGATACATGAATGCATACAGTATACGATTCATATAGTTCCTTGCTGTGGTGGCTGAGAGCAGACATATGACCGGAACGGTAAAAAGGCTGTGATGGCTGAGAGCAGAGATATGACCGGAAAGGTAAAAAGGCTGTGGTGGCTGAGAGCAGACATACGACCGGAACAGTAAAAAGGCTTTGGTGGCTGAGAGTGGACATACGACCGCAAAGGGTTAAATTAAGAAAGCATTCTGAATTACAATTGAGTAGCTAATATAAACATGAGCTCAGGTTTTTGAAAATTTTAACCATAAAATGAAATCCTATTATTTATTTTCAGTAATTAAAGAGAATATTTTCTATTTAATATGCAAAAACTCTGTTATGTAATATTATAATAATTTTTGATAATTTTTTTCAGGCAATGCAAACACTTGAAGCATTTGTAGATAATTTAGAAGCAGATTATCTTTATGAATGCATTTTGCCTGTGAAAGACGAATTGATGCAAGGTATATACAATGCTCTAAGAAGTTCTGCTAATGACATCAACCAGATTGCATTTAGGATATTGGGTAAAATTGGAAAAGAGAACAGAACATACCTCATGAAACCCCAAAAGGTAAATTGCTCTCAGTTAGTAACTTTAAGTAATGAATTTAAAAGCACAGTATCATAAGATAAATGCTATTCACTGAGTCATTTTCTATATTATATTTTGTGCTTGTAAGGCATTTTGGTAATCTAGAATTTACCTTACACTTGAAGTAAGAATTGTTTCTATAATTAATGCAGATTCTCTGTAAATGTAATTTCATGTTGTTAAATGTAATAGTGTCAGAAATTATTGCTTCATATGTGTATGTGTCTCTATCTAAATATATATATATGTCACGGTAAATGTGATTAATCTGGTGATTATATATAATAACCGGTAATTATGCATAATCACCACTAAGTTTGATAAATATGATAAATTTTTGAAAATTTATCAAATTAATCGGTTTGTTTACATAATTCCCAACTTGTAATGGTAAATGTGATAAAAGTTCCTAACTTTACAAAAATTCGTTCAGTTTGCGCAACTGCTTGGCTTCTATCAACACGTGATTTCAGTAGTAGTTCTCATTTCTTTACATCTAGACGTTTTTTCGCTACCCTCTCATATTTTATAAAATATTTAATAATGACTGGTATGCTTGAACATTTTAATTCCAAATTATTTAATATTATGGATACTAAGAAAGCAAAAAGTGGTTTTCTGACGAAAGATATGATGGTTTGTTAAAAAAAAAAGTGAATAATAGTAAAAACAAAAGTAGTGGGGAAAAGCCATTTTAATAGCTTGGTTAGACATAGAGATTACCAGATTTTGAAAAGTTTTGTCTTTTACGATTTTTCCAAAATTCTTCGTTGTCCATATTTTTGTGTATTGTGGAAGAGGGAAAAAATGTAATATTCTTTTGGTAAAAACAGTTTTCTTCTTCAGTCAAACTCAGTAAAAGAATGATTAAATTTTATTTTTCAAATATAATAATGTTAGATTTCTGAAGAATTTTTAAGTGAACAAAAATTAATTTTATGAAATTTTTGAGGGGGGGGAGTTTCTGTTAGATAATCTTACCATCCTTTAAACTTTTCCCTTAATGATGAAAAATATTTAGATCTGATAACCTTTCCATTCAAATCAGCAAATAAAGCCAGAGTAGCTAAGTCCTATTTGAAAAGCTGATTCAGCATACCTTAGTTCTGGTTGATAATCATTTTCAAATTTAAGATTTTAATAACCTTTTGCTTATATCAAAAAACATTATTGAATTTTAATTTTTGATCACCACTTCTTATAATGAATAATAATCTTTGTTTAGGGTACTGAATATGAAAATAAAGAATTCTGATAGTATTTCACAAACAGGTCGTACAAAGAAAGATTTATCACATAAACTGAAGTAATTTAATGAGCATATGCACAGAAATCATCACAATAATGGGAGTTCAGAGACTGTTTGAATTTAAAATCCTTCAAAAGTCTTCCAGATAAATCTTCTTTTAATTTAATTCAAATTTATAAAACCAAGGCGTATTTAAAATACATAACTATTTATATATTTAGCCATATTTAAAATATATAACTATTTAGTTAGTTTAATGAGATAAATTTTTTTTTAGGTGGAACATGAGACAAATGGTCCAAGCATTGCTATCTTTTTTGATGACTATGATGGTTTTGTATCTCTTCCAGTTAAGAAAGTGAGTGCTGTAGTTTTGATAGAGTACAAGAACATCTTAAAAGCAGATTTAAAAAAAATCTGAATTACTTTTTATTATTCTGAAAGGTTTTCTTTACTTTTCTATTGTATATTATTTTTCTATGGAAACTTGATTAATTTAAAATAGTCTCAGACTCAGTAGTTCTGAATATCAATAGTCTTAGCATGGCTACATAGTTTTTTTGAATTTTTCTGGCAGTGTGTTTACTGGGTGTAAGTATCCATAATAGCCAAGTAAAGAAAGATTATGATTTCCACCCCTGCAAGATAAAAAATTTAAAAAATTGAGTAGAATTTTAATTACTTTATTGGCCTATACATAAAATGGCCTTACATATAAGATTACGTGGATTTTCTAAGGTATTAAATAATAATGAAAATAATAATAATTCACTTTAATGACTTTACTTATTTGAACTTCATTTGTTTATGATGTGTTACAAGAAAGAAAATAAGGTAGATAGTTGATCTTAATAAATAGAAGCAATTGGAAGGTAAAAATATGTGAAAGTGTTTTCTTTTAATGAAAGGATAAGTAATAAATTAAATGACAACATGTAGTCTGAATGGTGTATTTATATTGCGAATATGCTATTCACATATGGTTTCTTAAGAGGCAACACAATCTTATATTCATCCCAGTATGGTGTATTATTTTTCTTGTAGTTTGATAGTATTGCACAGGTACAAAACTTATAATTCATAGTACTAGAAGGCCATGCTTTGTCCCATCTTGGATGAACAGAAACTAATTTTCTTTCCTATCTCATGGTACTTCATTATGCATGTTTAGTTGGATTTAGGTTATAGTCCATTTATCATTTCAAAGAAAATATACCACTAGAAAGTGAAGGAAAACTATCTATCAGTGCATTAACTGATAATTAAATTAATGAGCAAAAAAATTAATGTGGCAAAGCAAGGAAATGCTTTTTTATTCAAAATTTATTAAAACTATTTCTTGTAGTTACAATGAAAATTTTTATAAACCTAATAAGATAAAATTTAATAATAATATTTGCAGAACTTGAGAAATACAAATACAGTTCGAGTAAGGAGACTTGAGTCTGTCTGACAAATACATTTTGTTTCCCAAAATAATTATTACAAAATAAACTGAAGGATTAGCCATAAAAAGCCCTCTTAGTTGTATCCTTGCTGATATCTGTATTCATTGTGATGAATCAAAAAAATTCAAAAATTCCATTGATTCTGATATTCAGCTCACTTTTGAACTTGAGACATTCAGTTCTCTTCCATTCCTTGACATCTTGATTACTCTGCATATACAACTTCAGTAGTACTGTTTACCTTCCACCACACTCTAAATCATGTTATTGAACTAAATAGAAGTTAACTTCTTTTTATTCCTTTGTTTTATGTGCACTTCAAGTTTGCTCCTCCAAATCAGCTCTTCATTAAGAACTAAATTACTTAGAAGCCAATGCTATTGGCAGAGGTTTTTGACCTAACATTATTGACCAAGAAGTTAAAAAAGTCTCATGTTAACACAACAAAAAGCATCCTCTCATTTTAGAAAATTATAAGATTTCTATTGTAATTTCTTTCTTTCTATCAATTAGCTATAAAATTGTGCATATTTTACAAAAATTCAATTTTCAGGTAGTTTTCTTTTCTGTCTATAAAATTAGCATTTTGTACTTGAAGATCTCATTCCAAATATGAACTCCGTTTTTTTTTTTTTACAGGATTCTTTTCTGACGTGGTACAATTTACATTGGTCAAACTAAGAGAGCCTTATAATTTTGCGCTAAGAAACAAGAGATATATGTTACCAAATACGTAAATCCTCTGTTGCTGAATGCTGTTGGTCAGAAAAATCACATTTTCCATTTTTCTGGAGCCAAAAATTATTTTTGCTGGTGAATTAGGTTTTCTAGAAGTGTTCACATTCATATAAATCTTTCAGTTGTAGTTCCAATTCCATTTCGGCTTTACCCTAAGGTTTTAAGGAATTTATTTCATAGCTGTTTTCATTTTTCATCAAATAGATGGCACCAGCAGCTTCTTGCCCTTCTTCTCATTCTTATCTTGGTATCTTATCTTATCAATGACTTCTTTTTTATTATTTGCACTTCTTTAGGTGAAGAAGAAGGTGGTGAATTTAAACCTTGAAAACTAATCCTGAAAATTTAGGAATATTATCCTGATTCTTATTGTTTTAATTTGACCAAGAAAAAGGGCTTTATTGACAGAATGGCATTGGTGCAAAAACTGTCTGGCCAAGAGAGAAAGAGGAAATAAAAAGCCTTGGTAAAAGATATGGCCTCGTGTAACTGCAGCGGTTGCATTGCATGGTCTGTGGATACTTAACACCAGATTATCTAATAGTTCTTGGGCAAATTCCCATTCTTTAAAAAGCATCACTTGTCTGGTGTTCTTTGGAGAGTCATGTCCCCAGACATCTTCCTAAAGTATGCCACAATGTTCAGTGAGATTTAAATCAGGGGAACGTTCTGCCTAGTCCATTCTGTGGGTATTTGTGGGTAGCTCCTCAACAGTTTGAGTCTTGTGTGTCCATGCATTGTCATCTATAAAAACAAAGTCAGGACCAATGGCATCCTGGAAAAGACAGATATGGGAATAATGACTTTATCATAATGTTCTCTGGTAAGTAAACCTCTGTTGAAAATGTGGAGCTGTGTCCATTTGTTCATCATAATGTCTCCCCTTTAAGCACACCAGGAACACACTGGTCTCTTTCCTTGCTGTTAGTGGGATGAAAGCGTGTGCCTATCTCTCTCCATATCAACTGGCACTGAGAATTGTTTATCATACTGAAACAATTCTCATGCATAAAGAAGATGTAACTGTATTGATGAGGTATCTTTGTGTTCTCTGCACCACTGTAAATAGTTCTGTCAATGGTATGCAATGTTGAGGAGGGCAGAAGAATAAGTCACCTTTATGAAGTAGTCTGGCGATGGTAATTCGGGACATCTGTAATCTGGTTGCCATGTGCATTGTAATATTGCTTCTCTGATTTTGATGTCTATTAACCTGCAGAGCGATATATTAGTCATTAGTCACCACTTTTCTCCTTGGCCGATTACCATCAACCTTCCTAATAACTGTACCTGTTATTTGGAAAGTAAGCTCCAAATTCTCCAATGAATATGAAACTTCTGTAATGAATCTCTGATGTAAAAAAGTAAAGTTTTTTGACTGCTGAATCATCTCCTTCAGATTATTTTTGATTACTCTCATTTTTGAAACTATTACTTGTAAATCTAAATATTGGTGAGCTGAATATGTTCACAGTGCACACATTTTTTTGCTCTGCACCCTTCTTCTTTCATTGCCATTTTTTTCCCTATTTGCCTTTCTGAATCATATTAACCAAAATGCTGATGCTAATGCTGAAAGTAATAACTATGTAAGGTTTTAACTTCTTTTACTATTGTAAAATGTGATTAGCTTTTTGATAGACTTAAGGTGACTTATCGCTGTGTCTAAAATAAAAGTTGAGAAGGGTGTAATTAATGTAAAAAATTACTTTATTTTTTATTTTTATTTTTAATTCTTTCACTCACGGTGAGTGTCTTTGCAGCTAATCTCACCCAACTTTCAAAGAACAGCATTGCGTTTAGTAAAAGCAAACAAACTCAGTTTGGGCTTTGCAAAATACAAGCACTGATTTTTCTCTAGCTTGAAGTCAATTCGAGCATTCCTAGTTTAGCATAATTGGGTTGCTCTATTGGATTCAAGTGACACTAAAACTAAACTCAGTGGCACAAACAGCCCTTAGAGAGTCATGGACGGCAGTGCCCTGATATCTTCTTTCTAGAATGTGGGCCCCAGGGTGCATGAGCATATGCCCCAGACAAGTGGTCAGCTTGTCGCAGGTGTTTAGTCTCCAAGCGAACTTGGTACTCATTTTATTGACCCACTGATAGGATGAAAGGCTGAGTCAACCTTACCCAGCCCAGGAATTGAACCCTAGACCTGAGATGCTGCTGTGCGACACGCTAGCCGCTGTGCCACCGGGCCTCTGTTTCAAGTGATACTAGTGAAGGATTAAAAGACTGTCTCAGTACCTGAATAACATGGACCTGACTAGTTTATAATGAATTGAGCATTGCAAGCTTTCTGTTAAATTTCGAAGCACAGAAAATTGTAGTACAACTTTTCCTTTTCAATTATAAACATTTGTCTGTTCCATTAAACTATGGGCATTGTAGTTATTTTTCATTATAACACTTTGTATGTAGTGAAATATATGTATGTCTAAAGCTGATTTTAAAGGTGACTCAAAATTTGTGACTCAGGGTGTTGTTTTTGCATGCAATAATGAAGAGAATTTCTTTGCCTTAAAAAGTATTTTTGTAATTGATTTCAAATTTTTCTGAAAAAAACTGTGAAATGGTTAATAAATTTTTCAGTTAAAATATATAACGAAAAATGAGTTTTATACATTTAGAAGAGCATGAATTGTTGTTAGGTAAGCCAGGACCAGTTCCAAACATATGCAGCCAGTTAAGGTGCCAATTTTCAGAGGAAGCCAATTTAATTATATTCATAAATGATATCACAATAAATATGTATTTCACTTATTAATATGTTTAATTCATTTGTGTTGCAAACTGTATTAGTTGTTTAAAGCACCAGATATGCTGGAGCTGGTTTTGCTGTAAACTAACTTGTAATGAATAAGTAAGTGATGAATATTTTTGGGAAGAAATGTAAGAATAGATACCAGTTCCTAATTAAATGTTTCAAATGATATTTATGACAAATTATTGATGAATTTTTGTAAATTATATAATTTACTTGAATTGTGATTGTTATTATGTTTTTCTTATTATTTTAGATTACAGTAACAGCTTTCAACACATTACTTTGTGGTGATACTCAAAGCTTTTATATAGAGCAGTGCTGGGAAATCATAAAAGGTGTTCTTGCTGCTAGCATCAAAATTGATAAAAGTGATAATAAGTACCACTTTTTTACTCATGCAAGGTAAAATTTCCTCCAGTGACACACATTTATCTAAATACTTATGTTTAAATTTCTCATTTTTTGTTCTACATGTAGTTTTTTAATAATTAGAATCAGTCTGTGTTTGCTTTTATTTATTAAATCTTATATCTTATTTTGTGTGTTTTATATCATTTGTAATTTGCAAGTAATATTTTATGTTTATATATTTAAATATTTTGTTATTTTAAATATTTGTGACCTTGTGTAAGTGCATCTTAAGAGTTGATTTGAGCTCTTTATACAAATTCTGTGGACAGTGTAGTAACATACTGGAAAGTTTTTTTAAAGCTCATTTTCAAAAGCCAAGACATTCAAGATCTTTTTTATTTTGCTTCCCTCATTTGGTGAAAATATAAGTATGGCTGCTGTGAGTGGCTAAATGATTTGAAATACTCAGTAATGTAGCCTTTGCTTTATAAACAAATTTTTAGTTTTGTCACATAGTTTTAACTTTAAATTTGTGAATATATGGTCTCTAGTGACCCATCACTTAAAAGTAAATTCTTGATATTCCTCTCTCATATTAAGCAGGATATTATTAGCTGAGTGCCTTCACTTGGAAGAATTGTAATACATGGAGCTTCATTACAGGTTCATGTTTCCCTCTTCATCTGGCCTATTTATTCAGGAGATGCATATAAATACAGTAGTATGGACAAAAATGCATGAAACTTTGCTTTAGTTATGAAAACCCCCAAATTTTAATTATACTGCTATCAAATTAACGTGAGTACCTGCATGTGCATTTCATACTAATATGGAAGATAAAAATGGTCCTTGCAGAGCACTGTTTGTGTTCTTATATTAAGAGTTTTCCTTATGCACTTAGCTGATTATTTCAGTGCTGAATGTTCTCCATCAATAATGAGATAGTACTTGACTTGTCTTTTTTGTTTGCAATCACATATGTAGAAAGAAGAATGATTTTTATTCAGAATGCTATACAATACAAGTATAGCATTTTTTTAAGGCTAAAATAATATATGTCTCTTACGTTTGTGCATACAAAAGAGTGTGAATATAATGTTTGTTTTTTTCATCACTTTTTAATTGTATAATGTATAATGTAGCCAAGATCTGAAGTCATCAGGACTCTGGCTATTCCAGATTTTTCAAATTTCTGGATCAATTTAAATTTAGTAAAGTTACATGTAGAAATTTTTGAATTAATATGGAAGACTTGTTGCTAAATTAAACACAAGTAATATAAGCAAATTTGTTTTATGCATTAATACTTCTCTTCTTATGCAGCCTCTGAAGCATTTTGAAAAACACCTGTATGTTCTCTTTCATGACCTTGCAATGCTTCACAGAGCATATGTTATAGGAAAGTATTTCAAGAATTCTATACTAGTTTGCACATAGGTTTTGATTTTAAAAAGACCGCTTTATATCTGTGCAGTATGTGCAAAATTCTGATATTCTTTGACTGATTGATGGATATAAATGTTCGATGGAAGAATAAACTGGAGGTGTTATCTTTAACTGAAACCTTTATTTTGATAAGTCTGAACAAAATAATAAGCTGGACCAAATTAGAAAGTTAAGAAAAAACACAATTCACGGTGTTTCACATAAATTATTCAGAACCTTTCTTCTTTGCCACTCCAACAATGGAAAACATGAATCATAGGAAAAATTAATTATAAGTAGTGCCCAGCTGAACAGTGTCTATGATTTGAGTAGTGTTCTTCTATGTGGCAGAACTTTCACACTTCTGTACTAGATGGCTCTGCATGTCATGACAAATCTGGTTTAAAAGAGCAGTGGTGTGTCGCTAAGTGAAACAGATGAGACATAGCAATAATTTGCCATGAGTTCCTGAATCAGGCGTATTAGATGGTAGTAATCCAGTTTTTGTCTTTGAAGGTATTAGTGGAACTGACATTTACACTCAAATAAAGAAATGTATGAGGCTGTGTGTATGTTGCATAATGAAGCGATTTTAACCACGGAGATGTGAATACAGCTGGCACACCTCAACTTGGTTAAACACATTTAGTCAGCATTGAAGAATCATTTGCTGCAGTAGACTTCCTTGTTAAGGAGAATCTTCAAATAACCCCTTGGGGGATTGCAAATTGGTTGTCTCTGAGAAGAGAATTATTGCCACACTTCAGTTTGCATGCTTTCAAACTAATGCAGAAATTTGTTAGTTTTACATTTCATTTGGCACCCTAAAAAGCATTTGAATTCTAAAAATATGTGCATGAAATTATTTTGCAGATGTTTTTTATAATGTTGAAATGATCCATATTTTGACAAATCCCATTTGTGTATCTTTATTTGGTATAATTAAAGTGATTTTCCTTTTTAATAATTATAAATATTGTAATTTTTTAAAACTTTTTGAATAATAATTATCTTTTTTTAAAAAAAAACTAAATAGTTCAGTTCTGTATGAAACATCTGATATTTTTTTGCAGTTTCCATTCAGATTGTGGAAGACAAGAAATATGTTCCAATGAGGAGTTTCGTGAGACCCATAAAATTGCATTAATGGCAATGTTTGGTAAGATTACATTTTCCAGTTTCTTTTCTGATTTTTCTGCCTTTTTATCAATTTTCTGTTACAGAAAAAAATATTAATATTGTGTGAATTTGCATTTGTTATTAATAACAGAGATCTTATCAAAAATATAACATAATTTATATATGTGGCAATCATATTATTATAACTCAAAGGGAAGTATTTTTTCTCATAGAGTCATTTTAAAATAAAAGCAGATGGAAAAGAAATTCAGTGAAAAATAAGTAGAAAATTAGTAATAAAATTAATGAATTATTTTTATTCAAATTTTTTTTATACTTGTATAAAGTACAATTTTACTACCAGTAGTTTCTTTCAGATGTCTTAATATTTTTGTATTTTATTCCAATATTAGTTTATTTTGTAAAATTGATCATAAATCTCCAAAAAGACATTAAACTGATTAACTGAAATATTACACTGATATACGTGCATGTGACGCACATTTGTTAAACACATTAGTCTACGAATCGTTGCAGTATAAAGTGCCATCGATCCTCAAAGAAACATCATGTTATGCTACCAGAAGAACAGTTGACTTGCACATAAACTTTCAGCATATTTTCCAACTGGTGTAAAACCCTGTTATCTGCCAATTCTAGCAGAGAAGATAAGAATGATGGAATAGTAGCAATAAGATCATGATTACTAGCATAAAATACATTTCCCTAATAATAATATAAATATAATTAGTTGCAAATAGCAGAAGGAAAGTTATACTCTTATCTGTAATCACAGATTGATTAATTGTTCAAAAACAGAATAAACATCTTTCACAATACCTATATTTACAAAACACTTATTAATATTTTTGTATCACAGTTATAAAAATTTTACAAAAACCTTATTTTGTTAACAGCATGGTAATGTAATTTCAGTAAATATTTTGTTAAGCACTAATTGCATTTCATACTGCAGCCATTTTGAAAGAAAGTATATGAGCATTATGCAGTAGGCTCTAGAAATTTAACGATACTATTGCATAATTATGATACAAGGTAATAAAAGTATAAGGTTTGAATCAGTTTTGATACGAATTATTCAGCTGCCCTGCTCAGTATAGTGTTCAGCAAATGCTAGCTGTCATATCAATGGATCCAAGCTCAAATCTCAGAGAAGGCTCGGATGTTTATAGGTGTATATAGAGCCTTTGCCAATGTGAGGACACTTAATATATACAGCAAACCAAACGTACTGCCAAGTTGTTTGATGGTTAGGGAAGACAAATTAGAAACCCTAGAATCCATTCTCTGGAGGATTCTGTAAGAAAATATTTATGGAAATGGACAAAACACATACTGTCATCTCTAAAGTGCTTTTAAGGTCCATGCCAACAATGGAAGCAATCTTGTGCTCTTCCCCATGATAGTATCTGAGGATTTGATCTGATGTTGCTATCAAACTAATTAAAAAATCACAATCGCAACAGTATTATACATTATTGAACTAGGATGCTTGCTTAAAGATATATAGCAGCAGAGAAAAATTGGACTAAAAACTCGGTCAGCATACCATAAATACAGGGAAAATTTACATATTGCTTGCTACAGTGTTTCCATTTTTAACAATATTGCTTATAAAATAATAATTATTCATTCTGAAACATACATAGACAGAATAATTAAAAAATACTAAATATTTCATACATTATTTTTTCAAAGCAATTGCATTTAAATCATAAAAACACGTATTAAAAATGGAGCTGCTGATTAAAAGACTTAATAGAATTAATATAGAAGAATTTACAGAAGTAGAAATTTTACAGTCAAAAAAAAAAAAAAAAATTAAAGAATCTATCAAACTACCTTTAGTAATTGGAATTTTGTTAATTAAAATAAAAGGATATTTATCATTAAAATTATATTACCAGATTACATTCTTGTTATTTAATTTTCTATATATGCAGTAGGAAAGTATGAGTTTTAACAAGATATGTGTACACCTTGCACAAAAATATATAGGACAGTTATATATCTCCTGTTCAATGGGACCGACTGACGAAATTTAACTGGTTTTTCATGTCTCGAAAGTGCAACTTAGAATATGTATCAGATTTATATATAGCTTTGTTCTAACATGGGTATTCTCACACAAAATCTGACTTTTTCTGAAATGACATAATGATTTTTTCCCATATTCTGATTCTGCAACTCAAATTATGCCTAAATATGAAATTTTTTAACGTTTGATGAGAAACTTACCGAGAAATTTTAAAATTTGTTTTAGCGCATTTTTTGCAGTTTGTGCCAAGAAAATTCACTTGGTGAAACTCTTAATTTATGGTAGCCAATTTTTCTTTCCTTTTCACTGTGCACGTGCATAATAAAAGTTGCATCCTTCAAATAATTTTAACAAACTGTGTAAAGCATATTTGGTTTATTATTATGACAAATATGCCAAATTTCAAACCACATGAATCTATAAATTCACATATATCTTCCAAAATCTTAAATAAAAAAATTCTGATTTTTTGCAGGTGTGATCAGAAATACATCTATTATAAGATGAAGTCAAAAAGTTTATAGTTTATAATTCGATTTTTTTTTCAAAATATTTATAAAATTTACTAAAATATGCAAATTTTAAATATAAATCAAAAAATATCTGTGAATTTTATTTGAATTGAACCTGAATTTCTAATTATGAAAGAAGGAATTCAGTAAGTTAATAAAAAAGATAATAATAAATACAGACCATATTCAATTAGCACTGAAAAGCTAAAATTTTGAGAGCTCAGTTTTTAAAAACTACTAATGCAATTTTACAAAACTTGGCAGTTTGGCATAATTTCAGTTGTATAATCGGAATATGGAAAAAAATGCAAATGTCATTTCAGAAAAAGTCTGATTTTGTGTTAAAATACCTTTATTAGAAAAATGTTATACATAAATCTAATATATATCCTAAGTTATGCTTTCGAGATATGAAAAATACAAGTTAAATTTTGTTAATCAGCCCAGTAAAATGGGAAATGTAGAACTGTCTCTTCCCTTTTTATGTGCAATGTGTACAAGCATGCATGCTTTATCATGGATTCAGACCTAAGCCTACAATATGGCAGTCTATCTCTGTTGTATCAAGCAACATATTCTCAGAAGTTATTTAATATTATAGAATGTACTCATAATAGTAGTAATATGCATAATGCTTCTGTTAAATTTATTTTTTTCAATTAAAATATTAATACACAGAAGGACAGAATGACAGATTAAATTGGCTTTATAATATATTGGATTTAAAATTACTGCATTAATTATTGATGGTTAAATATTAAAATAAATATATAAGTATTTGATTTACAGTAGAAAGCATTTAAAGGAATGCTTTCCATTGTGATTTGAATGAAAATTATACCATTCACTAAGTGCATATGTTTCAGCCTGCTGTATATTTCTATGCATGTCTGAAAATATAACACTGTAAATAACATATTAAATTTAGAAACCACTCCTCTTATGATAACACAACCTTTTCTGTGAATAGGTTTAACTTGTATTCAGTGTATATTAAGATGCATAAGAAAATTGGATTAAAAAAATTAAAAAACCTTTTGGATTGTAGTCAGTTCATGTACATGTTTTCTTTCTTCCTTTATTTATTTATTTGTGTTGACTTAAATCATAATTTTAAGAGGCAAAGCATTAATTATTAAAATGAAGCTAAAACCAGTGAGATAGTTTTGTTATGGAGAACTGATAAATCTGTAACAAAATAAAAAACTGAAAATTATTAATTTTAAAGTAAATAAATAAATACCTAATAAAATATTTGTGCACCAGTGAAGTGAATTTTGCTATTTATGACTTCTGAAATCTGATTTACAAACTGTAAATACATGCCCTTTTTGGATAGCCTATCATTCATGTACCTGGCGTAGGACCAACTCCCATACAGGCTACATAGCATATTGTATGTAAAAAATATAAATTTCTTGAGAAACAAAAATATCAAGAAATGTGATTCTTTGAACTAATTTATTTTCATGTAATATGTAATTATTTTTTATTCTGTAATTGTTTGTTATCTTCTAGTGGCAGCAAGTATTGATATAAATGAAGATGTTGTATCTTTTATGGAGGATATACTAGTGCATTACACTTTAGTCGCAATTGCCCAGCATCGTGCAGCTTTTTCTGCGCATAAACAAGATACAGAATGTATGGATCCTGCAGTATTAATTGATGCAGCTGCTGCAGTTACTTGCTATCATGATGAAAGACTTTTGTCAACTGTATTGCATGCTTTGGAAGTAATAATTGAAACATCTGAATCGATCCTTGGGATTGAAAAAGTTAGTCTATCTTTATTTTAGTAAAATACTTTAGTTAAATATTTTTTAAGATTTATAAAATTTGTTTATTGATTTTAGACTTGGTGTTTACCATTTTTTCACTACATGAGTACAACGTTTTGTTTACTTTGTTATGAACAAGCCTGGTATCCCAAATTATCTGGGTAAGAGTTTTTGCTTGTATTTTTATTGATACCCATTATAATTATATATATATATTTGCAACCTGTGACTATAATTTATAGCTTGTAAATCAAGTATTTTTTTCTATGTATTAAAAAATATTCTCCGTTTTCAAAGAATTTATCACACAAACACATATCCATTTTTACCTATTTGAAATTTAAATTATTTTTATCTGAAAAGAAGTATGCGTAATTGTGTGCAGGTTGCACATTTTGCTACAACTTCATTTAATTGTTTTTTGATCTGAAGTGATTCTATTCTGAAAGCATTTTAAATGTGGCATCAAATGTGTTGCATGGGTTATAGATAAGTTTTTCACTTTCATCTATGAAAGTATGTCCTCATTTATAATTTTATAACATTCTACATTAATTAAATAATTTGTTGAAATCAAAGAGGGGCAGTCTTTACTTGCTTGCTGTCTTTATTTTCCTATTCCTTTCTGTCATTTCATTTATGTGCCCTACCTCACCCAGAAGTTTGTCGCAGCATTTACAGGACACCCTGTATATATGTATGTTATTATATATTACTATATTTTTAAACACACACATATAAAAATCAAGGCTCAATAAATCTGCTAAGCATAAGAGCCAGGGAATCCACCACTCCCAGTCCATAGATGCGGGAATGATCGGCATGGTGGGCGTGCATCGATGGACTGGGCAAATGGTCTGTTCGAACATCCAGTCCAAAATGAGCAGGTGCTCCATCATGTTGGAAGATGTTCACAAGCTTCTCTCCCAGAAGTTTGTCGCAGCATTTACAGGACACCCTGTATATGTGTACGTTATTATACATTACTATATTTTTAAACTTTAATCGAAACTTTCTCTTTTATTTATTAATTTTTAGTTTTTTAAGGTTTTTAATGATTTTTTTTTTTTTTTTTTTTTTTTTTTTTTTTTTTTTTTTTTTTTTTTTTTTTTTTTTTTTTTTTTTTTTTTTTAAAGAGTATTAGGAGAATTGTTAAGTCCTTATTTAATTAAATATTGAATTAGTTCTCAGCAGCTTTCTAAGTGAAATTTCGTTTATTCTTAATAGTTTTTGCTTTAAGTATTTTTAATAAAATCTCCATTCTCTCATCAGCTTCTTCTTTTGAGTATTTTTAAAGCTTTTTGTTAAAATTTCGTACGTTCTCTGCAGCTTTATATAAGAGTATTTTCTGGTTATTTTCATTCGGAAAAAGCTAATTTAGTACACTTTCAAGCTGCCCTTATTTTAGGCTTTATGTACTGACCCCCCCCAAATATATATATATATATATATATATATATTTAATAATGTTGCTTGTATTGCTCTGGTTTTTATCCTTGATGTATTTGATTGTAATTAGTTCGTTTGGCTTTTTTTTTTTTTTTTTTTTTTTAGGCTTTTATTTTTCAGGTTTTTGCCTAAAAAATTTTCTGTGAGTTTTTATTTTATTTTTTAAAATTTCTTTTTGTATTTTTTTGTAGTTCTGGGGTTTTGAAAGCATGTGGGGAAAAGGTCTGAACATTTGAGAGCCACTTAAATGTTGTTTTAAATTGGAAATCTGACTCAAGAATTATAATTTAGAGTCTCAATTGATTCAGAGGAATAAAACATGTATTCAGAACTCATTAATCAACTTGGTTTAAAGCTTCAAAACACTTTTCCCTTACAAGTTCTGTTTGAAACATTAAACAAAGGAGATTAATACATACTTTTTGTTTATTATTATATGTTGTATTATTTTGTATTATCTTCAGTATTGTATATGTATTTGAAGTTTTACTTTACTTGTTCTTCTTTTTGGGTTATGACTTTAACTGAGAAAAAATTGCTAGGGCCCTCCTAGGGTTTAAATTATATACAGTTGTTTAAGCTCTGACTTTTTTTTAATACTTATATATATATTTATTATTATTATAGGGGCACAACTCCGATCCTCCCAGCCGACAGTTTGATCAAATGTGTGTGAATATATATAATATATAAAATATCTGTATTTAAATTAAACATTGTGAAACAGTGTTAAGTTGAAGTAAATGTGAGTGGATCTTTTAATTCCTACTATTGACTGAGGAGGTGTAAATCTCTTCTATATAGTTTATCGCTATGCAGAAATGCTGGCTTATAATGAATGCTGAAGATTTCTGTAAGCACCATGAAATTAATATCTTCAAATAGGAGTGTACCTGTTTTGATGTTTACTTGCAAAACATTTCATTATAAAGTACGTTAGAAGTCTATAAATGTCTAAGTATATCGACTAATTTATAAAGGTACTAAGTATTCCTGGGTGATTCTAATAGGAAAATGTACCATCATCATCATGTGACAGTTTTATTACATATGTGCAATTCAAATGGAGCATCTTTTTTTTTTTTTTTTTTTTTTTTTTTTTTTTTTTTTTTTTTTAATGATTCAAGACACAAAAGCTTTGGATTTATTAAATGTAGGGGAATACTAAAAAATTATGTATCTGAGAGTGAAAAGACCTTTATTGAGGGCTGTTTCTGTTACACATGTAATCAAAAGATTTTGTCTGGCTTTTCATTTTATATGTCAAAGGAAGGACAAATAAGTTTCAGATGCTTTAAGAATCATAAATTAAACTAAATTAAATCATTTTATTTTCTTGATGTTTTTCATGTGCAAATTCCAAAAATGATTAAAAAATTACAGAAGAGCTGTTAACATGCACTTATTCTTTTAATGATTTCAAATTGTACTTCCTTGTATAAAGTATTATTGTAATTGTGAGAAACTTTGGGTATCACATTTCAAGGAAAATATCCATTTTGACCACTCTTGAATCCATTTGCACAATTTTTTTTGCATTACATCTCTACATACAGAAAGAATAAAGGACCAGTTTTCCTTGAATGGATTATAAAATGGATTCAGAAGAGATTTTTTTTTTTGTGACATCTGTCCATGCATATGTATGTATCTCACATAACCCATAAATGATTAGCCATAGAATGTTGAAATTTTGTATGGGGGATTTTTGTAACTTTTCTTTGCAATATGCTGCACTAAACTTTTATACATATATATTTATAGATATGTATCCACCCTTTTAGTCAGCTTAGTTGAAGTTTTAATTCTTATATGTTGGTAAATTGTTCATCTTTGTTTTAAAAGTGATTGGATTGTGTTGTTCTTATATTCCAGTTTAGGTTTTTATGCCTTTAGATAATCTGCATGCAATAATTGTAATTATCAACAATGTAAAACTGTAAGTTTCACTTGTTTATGTTTGAAACTCTTAGTAGTATAATGAATTAAGTCAGGTGGTGTCCTTTTGATAGTGGGACCAAAAGTTGACTTTTAAATTCTTTGCACTGGAAATTTTTCCTTCCTGCCTTCATAGGGATTAAATTGCTTGTTTTGGCTTAGAAACTCTTAATTTTGATTGCACAAATTGTTTTTTAAACTGTTTTTAATTGTGTTTGAAGTTTGAGGTTTCTCTGTATTTTACAATTTTTAATGAAGATGTTCTGAGTTTTTATGTACTTTTGCCTTATCACGAAATGAGAACTTAATTTATTGAATGAGAAATATATTTCTTATGAAATTTGATAAAGTAGGTTTAAATAAAGTGCAAGAAAAAATGTGTATAATTAATGGGTAGTACAAGGAAGGCATATTGTTTCCAAATCAGATTTTTAATTATTAGACAAATAAGTTGAACTCTGTATCAAGAATGAAGAAGTCATAGTAATTATTAGCATCAATAGAAGTATATCTATTCATAGTAGAGAAATATTCATATGAATATTGAATGCTATGTTTATAATAGAAAAATAATCATATGAATATGAGTAATAAATAATGGTATAAATCTGTAGTTATTGAAAGTTTGTGAAGTGAAAGAATTGTTAAAACTCTTTGTCTGAACAGTTTTGCTTTGAATTATCCCTAATTAATATTAGAATATTTACCAAACAAAGTGTTGATATTAAATATAGTAAATTTAGTCTACTTGTCAAATTCACGGATATAAAGTTTTCAATTAGTTTGGAAGTTAGTTGACCCAAATGTTGAAATATAGAGCTTGAATTGGTGTTTACTTGATAAGTTGAATTTTTAATTAATGTTATTTTAAACCTTTTCTCTACAGTTTTGTTTGTTCAAGTTGAAATATATATTGGTTTTGAAAATTGATTAAACATGTAAAAATTGTACGTTAGATTTTTATTGTATAAAAATATTTCAGAATTCTAGTTGATGTTTTTAGTATAAAGATAAAATTTTAGAAATGTTTTAAGATTTTATTTTTATTTATAATTCAAAATAGCTTTTTGTGTTTTTAATGTAAAAGTGTTCATTATGTAAAATACTTGAAATAAAAAAAAAAAAACATTATGAATAATATTTTATAATTATTATTGTACTCCTCTGCATTACCCTTTCATTTAATAAATCTAATAACTTGCTTTTGTTTATTAGTTGCAAAGCTATTGAATTATTTTTCAAAAAGGGATCATGGAAATGGAAGTATGAGAATCTGTTATATTATATGAAAACATTACTATTCATAATTGCAGATTTGTCTTCTCAGATTTCAGGTCTTACGATTAGTACTGCGAGGTATGTATTTCTTGTATATGGTAATAATTAACAGTTAAATAATGTAAATGAAATTTATAGTTCTTAAAGGTTTAGGTTAAAATTCAGTTAACCTAAGTGAGTGTATGTATTTTATAATTTTTTATATAGTGTGGTAAACTCAGGATATTTGATATACATTCTCCTTCAAATACTATGAAGCAAATGGGTTTTGAGTTATAATATTTAAAACATACAAAGTGCAGATATAAAATTATGTAGTGATATTGATAATAGGATGATTTATTGTAGTTTGCAGTGCTTGAACACGTTGCACTTCTGGGAAAAATTGTATTATTTTACAAAAATCATTGGTATGATGAAGAAAGATTATAAAAGCTTTTCATAAAAATAATTGGAAAAAAATACTACTTTTCAAGTGTAATAGGAAAATAATCAAGTAGGAATACAAGCTTATACCTCCTTTTCAGGCTGTTAATCAAGGATTCAGACCCTTGAATTGGGAGCAAAACCTGTATATGCTAAAACTTACATTGCAGCATATTCAGTGATCTTTGAAGGAGGCCGGAGTCATTTGTTAAATTCTGTTATTTTCAAGTGGTTGACATTGCTGCTTTTATTACAGTTGCTCTTAGCTAATCCTTTGCATAATCTTCACTAGATTAAATTAAAAAAGTATGTAATCTGTTTATGTTCAAATTGTATGCCATATGGAGTATTTGGTAAGTCCTATATGCATTCTGTGAGAATTTAAATTTGGCAAAATAGCAATTTTATGTTGCACATAAATTTTAATCAAAACTCTATTGATTTTAAGGACAAACAATCATGGGTCGCTGTTCATCAAATTCAGAAGCAAAAAAATTCTGGAAAGAAGAGAGGAGTGAGGCCCATATTTATACCAAAAACACAAAGAGTTGAACAAAGCTAACACGAGCATATTGCCATCTGCCCTGGGATTCAGTTGGTGAATTGGATATCCTTTAAGGTTTTCATAGTTAATAGTTTAAAAAAAAAAAAAAAGGAAAGAAAAGAAAAAGTATCTTGTTTAGATAATGGCATAAGTCCATTCGATTTCTTCCTAAAGTTTTTCAAATTCTCATATCTTAATTTTATTGTTTCATTTGTGTTTCTCTAGATAGGTATACTATGCTGGTATTTGTTGTGCTCCAAGTTTTGTCCAAACACTGACATCACTCATCCGTTCTTTGCAGAATTTTTTTTGCTTCTGAGGAAAAAAAACCTGTGCCTGTTCGCCCTTGAAATTGATAAGAATTTTGATTAAAGTATATGCCTACTGCAGTACCGAAGGGCTTGGGCTCGAATCCTGGAGAAGGCATGGATATTTGTAAATGTGTAGTGTCTTTGTGTCATGAGGGCCACATGACAAGCTGAAAGTCCTCTTATGTGGTTTGGTGGTAGAGTAGAAAGTTGGGAGACCTTCGGACACCCCCCCCCCAAGATGCTTTTCCTCAAAATTGGGGTGGAAATAATCTTCTTGAGTTTTTCAAGTCCAACCTTCTTAAGGCTAGGGCAACCATTCTTCCATGAAATACGTGAACAAGACAGAAAAATTTCAGAAAATCCCTCTGTAGACCCTACTAGTAAAAATATTAGGGATATTTCCAGTGAATAACTGGCAGCTTATCAAAATTCTTTACATGTAATTAACCATCTGCTTTCCTTCTAGAAGTTCATTACCTCCAGTGCCTGTTAATATGCATACTTCAATCTCTAATATAATACTTAAAATGTTAAGTGGAAAGACAAAATGTCTTGCTGATCATGCTGAATTTTAGCAAAGAAAGATATGAATGCAGGAATTCTCAGAAATTAAACCCTTCCCCTCAGAGCAGCTGGGGGGGATGAAGCTATGCAGAGCATTTATTATTTTTTTATTTTATTTTTAGATTGCTGAATTTAAAAAAATTCTTAAATTAAAAAAAATTCTTTTAATAAATTAAGAGAAATCAAAATGATATTTTAAAACAAATTCATTTTTAATAAATTAGAAAAAGAAATATACTTTCTGCTTCTATAATGACATGTTTTGAAAGCATGTGTGTCACATTTCACATTAATATCCTGAATTATTTACAATTTTGTCAGATTTTTCCTTCCCGTTAGTTTTCAGTATTTTTAAAATGAGATCACAGTCACCGCTGCTATAATGATTATTCAGTTCCCCTTCTGAAATTATCACTTTATACTAAATAGTTGCATTAATCTCCCCTTTCATTACTGTGTGATATGTTAGAAAATCTCATTTTGTTGTCATTTAAGTGTTTTTTAGACAAAATTTAAAATTAGAATTATGATAAAAACAAAGCAATATGAAAAAGATTATTTAAGTATATAATAAAATGTATTGAACACTAAATAGTCAATTTTATATCACGATGGCAACTTGCTGAATAGGCTGAAATACTGATTGATTTATAGAAATTGTAGCAAATTTTTGGAGGAATAATTATGATACTTTTCACTTAAATTGGACGACAAAAAGTGAGTTTCTTTCAGAGGCCCTTAGAAACCTAATCTTTCAAAATTCCTAATTTGATTATAATGTCCAATTATATTGAGCTTCTGGTGCTAAAAATATATCAAGCAAAACCATATATAAAGTGGAAAAAAAAGTTGGAAATATTGTTACGAATTTGGTATTTAAAAAGCTAATGTTAGTTCAATTATAAATTAAATGGTTTTATTTCTCGCGCAGTGCAGCGCGTGACGAATAGTAAAAGAAAGCTAAGCCGGAAAAATTGAAAATACAAGAGCGCGTGCATTAAATAAATAAATATCTCTTTTTGATTTCGAGAAAGTACTGGAAAATTCTAGCGCGTGATTTTAAAATCTTATAAAAGGAGGAAAACATCTCAGTTTGTAGTAGTAGTTGCTTAGTTTGTTGTTGTTTAGAAAACTACTGTTGTTGATTGTAGCGAATTCGCGGATTAGCGTTCTTTAGCTGTTTTGAATTACGTTCTATTGGACATTTGAGTAGTTAAAAGAAAACTACTGTGAGATATTGTAATACTGCATGATAATTTGAGAAAATTTAAGCATTTTTGTTGTGATAATAATAAATTTTTGTTCATTTTTCATCGGACTTGTGCATTCATTTCATAACGAACCCGTACGCACGCAACAATTTTTGGTGTGTCAGAAGTGGGATTTGAATGCCAATAACAAGAGCGATGGAAGAAGCAATTAAGGCAGTTAATATCAGCCTTTGCCTCATTTAAAGAAGAAATTAAAGAAGGAAATGAAATTGGGCCAGGAATCCGTTAAGGACGAAATGAAAGCCGTTCAAGCTGGTCAAAAGAGAAATGAAAAGAGAAATTACTTGCATAATAGAAAATAAATTTGAAGCTATGGAAGGCAGAATTGACGCAGTTGAAAATAAAGTTGGACAATTGAAGAAAAGTTTCTTCCGTAAAAGATCATATTGAAGAAAGAGTTTCTTCGGTGAAAGAAGAAATAGAAGAAAGAAAGTTTCTTCTGTAAAAGAACATATAGAAGGGAGAGTTTCTGCTGTGGAGGAACGAATTGAAGGAAGAGTTTGTGCCGTCCAACACCAAATCGAACAACAAATTGATGAGAGAGTTTCTGCAGTTGCCAAAGAAATGGATACTTTAAAGAAATTCGTAGCGTCGGCAGGGAGCAGGAGTGATGATTTTAAATTCTTACCAATGCCTGCTCGTCCACCTCTGAAGCTATCCACATATGATGGGAAGACCTCCTGGCAGGTGTATAAAAGACACAATTTTCTATCGTGGCGGATGCGAATGGATGGGATTCCCAAGCTAAGGCCTGTCATCTCGCCGCTTCTCTAAGAGCCAGACGCAGCGGATATCCTTCAGACTCTTCCCGAAAAACAAAGGTTAGATTTCGAAGCTCTGTCCGGCGCCTTGGAGCTGCGCTTTGGGGAGAAGTGTTTAAAAGACTACAGCAGGCTCCAATTAAAATCTCGTCAACAACAGAAGCCTACCGAAACACTTCAGGAGCTCGCCGCGGATGTTGAAAGGCTGTCCCATCTCGCCTTTTCGGAATGCCCGACAGAAACAAGGGAAATCCTGTCCTTGCAATACTTTATCGACGGCATCCGAGATACTGAAATACAGAAAGCTCTGCGAATGGCAAAGGATAAAAAGCGCTCTGTTGTACGCCATGAAAGTTCGAGGCAGCCCAGCAAGCAACTTAGTCGAGAGGCGCTACCCAGTCAGAGCTGTGCGAGTCCATGAGCCAGTGGATCAACTGATGGCTCGTTTAGATGATTTAGCCAGACAAGTCGAGATGCTTTGATACGGAGTAGGAGTGAGAACAAAGTGGCTCTAAGGTGTTGGAGATGTGGTTCTGAAGGTCACCTAAGACGGCATTGCAGAAACCCCAGGGCACGGATAATAAAACGGATGATTTTGACAAGACCAGTGAATGCTTTGAGACGGAATAGTGGTGTGAAAAGAAACCGAATTCTAAAGTGCTGGAACTGCGGTGTTGAAGGCCACCTACGAAGGAACTGCAGAAAACTCCCCAGAGCACGGAAAATAAGGCATACGATTTAAACAGACAATTAAATGCCACGGGAAGGAAAAGGACTGACAAGAAACCAAAGTGCTGGAACTGTGGAGCTGAAGGCCACGTACGAAAGAATTGCAGAACACCCCAGGGTACGGAAAATTGAGACCATTTCCTGAGCAACGACGCAGGAAACAAATTAATGACCATATCGAGGAACGGAGGTTGCCAGATAATGAAAAACCTTGTTTTAAAGCTCTTAAATTTCTACAGTGAGTGGCAACAATAACGGACTGTCCATCAATGGGAATATCGATGGAGTTCCTTGCAATATGATCATTGACACAGGAGCTAATGTTACCATCATTAGGAAAGATTTAGCTGAACAGTTTAAAGATAAACTTATTTGGACGCCATCCTGTGTTACCCTTCAGACTGCGTCTGGTGACAAGATCGACATAACTGGGAAGTTAAACGTAAACATCACGTTTGGAAGTGCCGCCTACCATCACACGGCATATGTGGCGGATATTACAGATCCATGCATACTCGGATTGGACTTTTTAAGGAAATACAATTTTTCCTTAGACTTGAAAAACAACAAACTGCTTTCAGGATCTGAAGACATGACTATCCATCCTAAGAAGGGATCCTCACCTGGAAATGCCGACGCTTTGTCCGAAAGAACCAGCTCGAGAAACAGCCGAAATCATGCTAGGGTCGAAAAGAAACACCAGACTACCAGCTATTCTCCATCTCAGATGCTCTTCGGTCGAGACCTTCGTCTGCCTTGTGACCGCCTGTTTCATCGCCGTACGGATGCGCCTTCATCGCCTGAGGAACACATCCAAGATGTCAAGGCCCGTTTTGAAGTGATGCACCGTTCCGCACGAAAGCGAGTGAACTTGGCGACGGAGAAAGTGAAGACCAGATACAACACGAGAGCTACTGGACATAGATCCAACAAAGGAGACAAGGTGTGGTTGTGGAACCCGATTCGACGAAAAGGAGTCAGGCCTGAATTACAGTCACCTTGGGATGGTCCGCACATAGTCCTAAACAGGCTGAATGACGTCATGGTTCGGATCCGTAAGTCTTCGAACTCTAAACCTAAAGTCGTTCATTACGACAGGTTAGCTCATTACTATGGCCATAGTACGTAATGTAAATAATTGTAAATAGTATAAGACCATGGTCCATTTGTTTTTTTTTAAATGTGTATTTGATTTGTATTTGTATTTAGTATTGATGATTTGATTTGTTTATGTATTGCATTTATTGTTCATGTTGTTTATTATTGTAATGTAATGCTTATTAATGCATTTATGCCACAGTTGTAAGTTTAGCTTCCTGTCCAGGGATTGTACTGCCCGGGACGTGCAGTCCTTGGGAAGGGGGCAGTGTTACGAATTTGGTATTTAAAAAGCTAATGTTAGTTCAATTATAAATTAAATGGTTTTATTTCTCGCGCAGTGCAGCGCGTGACGAATATTAAAAGAAAGCTAAGCCGGAAAATTGAAAATACAAGAGCGCGTGCATTAAATAAATAAATATCTCTTTTTGATTTCGAGAAAGTACTGGAAAATTCTAGCGCGTGATTTTAAAATCTTATAAAAGGAGGAAAACATCTCTTAGTTTGTAGTTGTTAGTAGTTGCTTTAGTTTTGTTGTTGTTGTTGATAATTTGAGAAAATTTAAGCATTTTTGTTGTGATAATAATAAATTTTTGTTCATTTTTTCATCGGACTTGTGCATTCATTTCATAACGAACCCGTACGGCAAATTTCATTTATGTTTTGATCCTTTTTTGTACATTATAAAAATAATATACTTACATTTTATTGATAAATCATGAAACTGCTATTTACGAATGAATATTATTATTATTACCACTATAACAAGAATACTTCATCCACTGTTGATATTGCTTTAAAAAGAACATATTTATGTGTATTTGTATGTTTATAGAGATTCTGAAGAATTGCTAAAAATTAATTTTGTTTATTGTTACAGAATTATTCTTGAAACAATACTTGCAGCATCTTACCAGCCAAATGAAGAACTAATACATATTCGAAACAAAGCTTTATTTGATATTGAGGAGGAACTCATTAAACAAATGATGTCTGCAAATGAATGTGTGAGGTTTCAAGTATGTAATATGTGGATAGTTTTTTATTCATTTGTTTATGCGTACAAAATAATATTTATTCATTTGTTTATGTGTATTTTTGCTTCTCATGTTTGTTAAACCATGTTTATTACATTTAAAATGGATATCTACTGTTGTGAAATCTTTATGTACTTGTGTTGCCTTTTTATGTGAAAAAAAGCTCTGATGACTGCAATTTTTGCATATTATTATTGTATATTAATAAATATGATAATGTAAATTTTTATTAATTTAAAAGAATATGCATTAACAAAAACATTTGAAAAGTACGTTTTGGATGAATTCTGATATGAATTCACTAATCTGAATGTGTCTTCTTTCTCTCTATCCTTTTCTCTTAAATTTCATTTTAACTTACCAAGATTAAACTATTGAACAAAATTTAAATGTTTTTGCTGACAATATTGTTTTTAATTTATGAGTTCTTGTATATTATTTTTATCCTTCTCTCCTTAAACATGCTTGTTTAAGATTTTATTTACTTGCTTTAGTTTTTTTTTACAATTTTCTTTCATTCCAGGTTTTCCAATCATTGAAAATTATATCAGCTGTAGCACAGAAAAGTCTTGAAGATATAGTAAAACCTCATAGGAGATGTCTTGCAAATCAGTTGCCTCCTACTGAAAATTTTGGAAATTTGCCAATAAACTATCTTACTGGCTTACTTGAAGGTTTTTCCTTTTGCATGACTGTAGATCCAAGTCTTTTGAATATCGGTAAGCTTTTCTCAGTTCGTTTAAGAACTTCTAGTTATATATTATTCCTCTGAAAGTTTATTAATTTTAAGGTAAAACAAAAAAGCAATGCCAACTTTCTTGTATATTTCTTATCTTAAATAATCTGAATTGCATGCAACCATACGTAATTATATTCAAAATGTTCGCTGAATATAGCAAAAATAGTATATTAAGTGCATGCTGGCTCATCATGAATGATGTGAAACATACTTGAATCATACACAAACTACAAATGGGCAATCATGTGGACTTCTCAAAAATTCATTCAAGTAGGAAAATATAGAAATTTGAACAATTCTAATGATGGAAGCATTGTTGATGTAAGAGGGTTCAAATTATATATAATATGGCAGTTTCAAATTATATATAATATGGCATATACGATTTCAAATTTTGCTTAGCATTTTCAAGTTGAGATGAATTTAATTTTTAACGAATTTGTTGTAAACAATTTTACAGAAATGTTGCAATAAAATCAAAAATGTAACATTTAAAAAAAATCAATCTTGCTTTACATGTCAAACAGAGAAATATTTAAAATGACAAGAAGTTATTTATAAATATTACATATTGTTTATTTTGACAGGGCCTAAAATTTTGAGAGCTAATTTTTTAAAAACTACTTTTGCAATTTTTACAAAATATGCACTTTAGCATAATTTTAGTCGTAGAGTCAAAATATGGAAAAAAAAATGGGTTTGTGATTTCAGAAAAAGTCTGAATTTATGTCAGAATATCTATGTTAGAACAATGCTATATATAAATCTAATATATATAAAGTAATGTTTCTCAGACATGAAAAACATAAGCTAAATTTTGTGAATTAGCCCAGTAGGACGAGAGATATACAGGGTATAGCATAAATGTTGTGACAAACTTCTAGGCGAGCTAGGGCACATCATAAAGATTAAGAATTGTATACCTGGAAGTGTCAGGGGTAAGTGGTAGCAGAGGTAGAAGATAGGAAAAGAGGCAAGAGTGATTAATTTGAAACATTTATTGGACATGAATACAAATGGTGTACAACAGGTTAAATGTTACAACAGATCTTGAAGTTTGTATCATCAGATGTCAGACATGCCTGACACTGACTGATCATTTGAATGCCGCGAATTATTTGATCTTTCTGGAGTAAGTTCTTCCCGATTTGCTTGACTATTACACCAAATGTGAGGCGCAACATGTGATTCCAACATGATCGGGCCCCTGTTCATTTTGGACTGGATATTCATAGCCATTTGAACAAATCATTCCCACATTGATGGATTGGGCTTGGTATATCGATTCCCTGACCGCCATGTTCACCAGATTTATCAAGCCTTGGTTGGTTTTTGTGGAAAGCCATGAAAAGTATATCACGATCCTATTGTGTCTGAAACGGATCTTGTGGTAAGACTCCCCTGTGCAGTTGCTACACTCAAAGAAACTCCCAAGGTGTTAGAACATGTCCGACAATAAATGGTCGTCTGTCAGTGTCAGGCATGTTTGGCGTCTGACAGTGCAAAGTTCGAGCATCTGTTGTAACATTCAAGCTGTCGTACACCATTTGTATCCATGTCCAATAAATGTTTTAAATTAATCACTCTTGTTTCTTTTCCCATTTTCTACCTCTGCCACCACTTACCCCTTACATTTCCGGGCATGGGTTCCTATGCAATTCTTAATCTTCATGATGTGCCATACGTTCCTTAGAAGTTTGTTGCAAAATTTACAGTACATCCTGTAGAACTGTCCCTCCTGTTTTTGTGCAAGGTGTGTATCTGTATTTTCAGTTTTTTTGTTTATTTAATTATTATTAAATTGATTGCATTATAGTTTTACTTATGTCTGATACATTTTTTTTCTTTTTTTTTTTTAGATATGCATAATCCAGATCATGAAAGGTTTTTTAGAAGCCTCATTTCATTTTGTTCCAGTGGTTATTCACTTCAATCATTGCCATACTATAAACCATATAACTCCTATGTAAAACAGTATGCTGCTGCATTACAGGCATTAAATGCATTTTTTAATATCCAAATTGAATATCAGAAAACTATTTTTCGTATTTTATTTGAAGCACTTAAATCTGATTTGCCAGACGTGTGTACTGCTGCATATGAGTGTATGGAAAAAATAGCAGAAAATGAGAGCTGTAATATTCTGAGTATGGTAAGAAATGTTTTTTTTTTTTTTTTTTTTTAATACAATAGTTGTAAATTAAAAATTAAGAAATGTATTATTGTTATTGAAAATTTAACAAATTTAACAGTCTCCAAAATCATAATTAAAAGCTGTAAACATAGGTTAAAAATTTCAGATGAATAAATAAATTTTCATTAATAGCATAGCGTGCAATCTACATATTTTAATTATTTATTTATTTAAAGTAAAAATAGCATTCCAAATGACAATTAGAAGAGAGTTCAGGAACAGGAATCAATGGTAATTTTTATAAATTTGCAGTATTAGTTCAGCTGCAGAAATGAAAATGATGAAAAAGGAGCCTGTGCTCAGCAATATCAAAAACAGAAATTTCAAAACTACAAAATTTGAAATGATTTCATCAAAAGTAAAACATAGGTACTGATGCCATATGATGATGAACAATGAAAGGTACGAAATTTTCTCTTTAAAAAGAGCAGTACAGGATAATGAAGAAAAGATTCTGTTGGTGTCAGAGTTTAAGATGGTATTTCCGCAAAGGATGCCTGAGTTTCAAAAAAAATTCTGCAACTGAAAAATTATTTACAGCTTGAATGGCCTAAACAATTAGCTATTAAGGATTTTCATATGTGGGAGAAGAAGTGAAAAAATTTATCGAGAAATTACGAATGGAGAATCGGGTACTTTATAAGACCACTTGCTGACAGTGAAAACAGCAATATTAAGGAAGAAGATAAAGTGCCTTACAAAAAAATACAGAAATTGTGGAAAAAGGGCACAGGAATTATCTGGTTTTGTAATGGTGATTGACTAGATGAAGAAGAGGGCACTTTTTGACATTCATTGAAAAAACTTTGTGCAGTTGACCTCAAAATTTGAGTTGCATTAGTCATTGTCTTAAGCAAAAATCATCAGTCCTTTAAAAAATAATTATATTATGTACCTACTTATTAAGCTAAGATAAAAGTCCTTTAAATTAACATTTGTTTCAATTTCCCTGTTAATTGCAACAATATTTAGGTATGTTTAAATTATACATACTTTTTTAATTTGAATTATACTTAACACATTTTTTCCATAGACATTTGACTTTGTGGTATGTTATTTTGCCATACACGTAATGTGTTAAGGATGAAACCCCCATGTTCATGAAGGGTTTATTGTATGTTTTTAAAGCAGGTATAATGCAGAGCTTTGCAATTGATTTAGCCAATCATTATTGGCTGTGAAATTTTTGAAGATCTGTTTCTTAAACTATTGGAGATGATAATTCTTATTGTAAAATTATGAACTTCAATAAAATAGTGACTGCTTAGAAGTTCAAGAAAGGGAGGGGAAAAAAACGTTCCTCATAATGTCTATTTTGTTATTGCCAAAATTGTAAGAAAATTGGATTTATGGACAAAATATGTGTAAAAATTCATTTATTGGCCCAAAATATAGTGCATATATAAAAAAGAGAGAGAATTATAAAAATTACGATTACCCCTTCAATGCTCCCCCACGCACACTCACACAAACTAGTATAAGTAGTAAATGCATTTTCCATAGCTTGACGTTTCATATGTATTACACATCTTGAAATTTTTAGATGCAAATTAATATTTCAACTCCGTATGATATATTTTAAAACAGAGTACTATTTGAAGTCCCATATTACAGTTCTGGCAATAATATCTCATAGTCTCTGCAAATATTGTCAGAATCACCTATTTTCAGTCCACAGAAAAATTTAAAAATGTAAACTATATTAATTTTCTGCAATAAGCTAATGAAAGTATAATCATTTTTCTGAAAGCTTAAATAAAATTTTACTATAGAATGCTCAAATAAAGCGTGCATTTTACAATAAAGTATGAAAGAAAACAAAAACTGAGAAAGTTTGTTCTGCGGATTGGTAATGCCAATATGGCATATACGAATCAACGAATGAACGATATACGAACGATAACGATATACGAATCAAAAAGTAAGCTAGATTACATTATACATGATAATCAGAAGCATGAGCTTTGAAAATGTGATTTATGAGCCATTATGGGCAAATCATGCTGTGCACAAAAATTGTTAGCCTAACAGGTTAAATTTTACTCTGAAAATTGTATTCACAGGCAAGCTACTTTAGTAAAACTTCTTCAAAGCTTAGAAAACCAGATTTTTTTTTTTTTTTTTAAGTGTAAAATAGCCCATTTCTTTACAAAATATACAAACTTTTCCCCCTTCAATATCTAAAAAATTTCAGTAACATTTTGATATTTAATTTCAAGTAGAAAATGCCTTAGTAATTTGAAGAGGTCATTGTTACGATTTCTACACAGCAGAAACTGTTGTGTAATAATTTTCTGCATGAAAAAAGATATTATGCATGTTATCTGATATATCTCTGCGGTATACATGAATTGTTTTATTTTTTATTTGCTATTCTTAATCATATTGTCCTATTCTAAAATAATGCCTTTGCAGGTGTTGGATTGTGTCTCCACTCTCCTTCAAGCCGATGAAGGACAGACTCTCAAAATCTCACATATTAATGTCTTAGGTTACTTGTTAAAGTTATTTAGAAAACATTTTTCTGAAGATCTTCATCTATGGTTGTATAAAACCTTCAAAAAGTGGTTGAGAAGTCTTTCTTCAACATTTAAAGAAAGTAATACTATTGAATCATTAAACATGCTGAAGATGTGCTCAGATATGCTGACTGTGTTTCATTTTGTAAGTATAAAGTTTATTATTAATGCTTAAATATGTCTAGAAAAATGTAAATGTATATATTAATGTTTTATTTTCAGTGATACCTCAAATGCCATCCATGTCAGAGTGATGTATGTTACGCTGGGCATTGTTTCTCTTAGATTGCTATAGAACTAGTTTAAATCTGTCTTCAGACTTACTGCAAAACTACAAAATGAAATAAATAAACATATAAAAATGAAAAAAAATTACTCATCATAAAATCCATTGAAAATGATGAATTATATAACAAAAATAAAAATAATACTAATGTTTGAAAGTTCTGGAAATTTGTTAATACATCAGTTATGAAAATTATACACATATTTGCAGTCTGACAAGAATTGTAAAAAGTATTATTTGGGCAATTTTCTGCTCCCACCCCTTTTTTAATGTGCAACGCTGCCACTTCAGATAAAAAGGAAAGAAATTTTGTTCCTTCATAACTTTGCTCGTAAATCATATGATCTTTTTTGATTATCTGCACTCTCTTTCTGAAGTTGGTGACGCTAATATGCAAAAGAGAGCAGGCTTCTTCAAAATTTTGGTGTAATAAGAATTCCATAAAAAGGCAGACAGCCAATAAATTATTTAAAAAACAAGTAACACGGGTAACAAAAAATTTATCCTTTTCAAGAAATCCTTATGTATTTTTTATTTTTGTTCACGATTTTACTTGTGTACACAGCAATCTTCTCTTTTTTTTTTTTTTTTTTTTTTAAATAATCAGAGCGAATTTGGCATTCTGCATGCTGTTGTTCTCCTTTGTTCATAGTGATCTATTTTTGCTAAAAAGGCATCGCAGAATTCCACAGATTTAGTCACCCTCATTCTGACACTTTGCTTGCATTCTTATGCATTACTTAATAAATTGCATTTCCATAAAATTAAATTGTTTAAGATGTACAACTTTATGAAATGTGAATTTATGCATTCTGTACTTGGGCTAATGGCCATATTTCTGAAAAAATGCAATGCTTTCATTTGTATAAGCTGCCAAACTACGCTATCCCATTATGATTCCTTACACTGAAAAATAAAGAGTAATCAGAAAAATGACCACTGAATTTGGGCCTTGCACATATTTGCATATCTTGTATCATAAATTTCGGATTGCTACATTACTTTTTTTTTTTTTTTTTTTTACATACTGCAATGCTTCATGAATTGTTTTCAGAGGATATGCAGATAATCAGTAGGAACCCTCAAAAATGTTTATTTGCAGTTATAACTGCTTGACTTATATTTTTGGATGAATTAAGAAATTTTTCCTTCTCTTTGCCTCATTCCCTTTGCTTTTTTTTTTTTTAATTTTATTTTGTATACCAGAAGAATCTGCTTTTCTTAAGCAACTGCTCTTATTTGCTTTGCATGTATTGTAACAAACCAATTACAATAAAGCTTATCAGTGTATTCAAGGTCTGAAAAGGAAGGGGCGAATAATTTTTTATATATATAATAGATAAATATTTATTAATTTAAAAAGGCAGTGGAATGTATACTCCAAGGTAAACATTTATCTAAAATGAAAAATTTGCTGAGTTGCGATCCCATTTATGTATAATAATAAAAAGATGAAATATGCTGAAGAACTAAATAGCTTCCATAGTAAATTAAATTCATTTTTCCAATCAAAATATATTATTAATATAACGTACTTTTTAAAAATTCATTTGCATATACATATAACAAAAAATCTCATTAAATTTATCACCATACTGAATTTAATTTTTAATTACCACCATACTAAATTGCCACAATATTGAACTTTTTTTTTTTTTTTTTTTTTTAGATTTAAGCAAATAAAAGTTTGTTTAAATCTAAAATAGTGGTTTCAAACTCATAGCCTGTGGACTGCATATGGCATCTGAAGCAATTTTATGTGGGCTGTGAATACATTTTAATTATGTATTTGTTGCAAATACAGTGCTTATAGTTTCAGAGACATAGAGATATGGATTAAGCTCATGTATGCAACTACTAATTTAGAAGAAAAGGTAAAATAAATAGTTTTTATTTTGTTTTTTGTTATTGCTAGCCATGTGACTAGGATAAGGTGGAGGAATTTCTCACATTGGAACAACCATTAAATTTGGTTTGCCAGCCAATAGTTAGTTATTGTTTTTGAGTTATTTAGTAGTTAATCGATGTATTGGAATTACCTGAAATAAATGTCTGAAATTTAATATTTAGCTGTCAGTGTTGTTGAATTAGAAAGTTATAACTAACAGAAATTTCTTACATGTACCCAACCTTTAGACTTCATATAGCAAACATAATTTCTTTTCCTTGATGAATATTTAGGTAATTTTTTTTGGGGGGGGAGGGTTAAGAATGCTTTTAAAAGTTAAAAAAAAAAAGAAAGAAAAGAAAAAAAGGAAGTTCTGTCTGATCAGCTGCTTTCAGATCGTACATTTGGCCCACGTGCAATTTGAGTTTGAAACCATTGGATTACCATAGTCACCGAATATTGGATTCTACTTTTATATGAGGATAAATTACTTGATTTACTGGAATATATACAACGCCAAATTAACATGATCGCTCCATTTCAGGCACCTTGTACTTAATGATAATGATATTTTTTTACAAATTTCACAACACAGTACTCTAAACCAAGTCTCTTTCTTTCAAATGTCAAAATATATAATATATTGTAGAGACATTAGGTTATTTCAAAGCAGGAGTGATGAAAAATGAGCAATTCCCTCGCTGGGACTCGAACTACAGACCTCTCGAATTTGTGCTGAGCATGCTGACCATTACACCACAAAGACATGCTATGAAGGCGAGAAAAATACCTTATATACTCTCCCCTTTTAAAGAGAAACTGGGTATTAGGGGACCCAGTCGACAAATCCTCGTGGTGGAGAATCATCATCCACCACCTTTTTTACTTTGGGCCCCATTGTAGAGACATCAGGTTATTTTGAAACAAGGAGGGATGAAAAATGAGCAATGCCCTCACCAGGACTCAAACCACGCAACTCTCAAATACACACTGAGTGTGCTGACCATTGCACCACGAAGGACATGCTAAGAAGGTGGGAGAAATACTCTATAATGTTAAAATCTTTATTATATGTAAAATTTTTGACAATTTTGTTTTATGCAGTAAAAAGTCTTTAATCCGGACTCGTCGGGACTTCGGCGATTCCGGATTATAGATCATCAATTTAAATATGGTAAGATGGCATGCAGAAATTATAAAATTAAAAATATGAAACCGTAATTTATGAAATAAAGATCAATTATGATCTAAAGGGTACCAAAATTTACAAAAAAAGCTTAATATTTATTTGTTTACTTTATTAAACATTTCTTTCAACACGCGCATGCGTAAAGCATACATTACGCATAGTCAAAATTAGAAAATTGCAACCAGAAAACTATTGATGTGTATTCGTGATATTTATAATGACGAGGAGTTTGATTTAAATAATATCAAAGGAGTGCATCGAGATGAAATACTATATTTAGTAAGGAATTATAAGCCAAATAAAATAAAAACATCTGCTCTGAAGATAAGAATAGTGCTGACAGATCAACTTCCAGTTCATTGCGCTGCGCAACGCTGTCACTTTCTTCATGTCTTTATCCATTTTTTGCAGCAATACCACTTTTTGTTTAATGGACATCGAAACATGCTTTCGCTTTGTAGATCCTTTGGCAGCTCAAGAATTGGAAACTCTTTTTGACATAATCGAAAGTTAAGCTTACTTTTTATAAAATTGCTCTAACGGTCTGCAAAAAATAATAAGTCAGATCCAATTCGAACATTAAGGGAAAATGCAATCTGCAACATTAACTGAAATAGATAATTAGATAATTTTAGCTTGGCTTATACTGTTCATTATACATTAAACGCGCATGCGTAAACACATTATGCATTTATGCATGCGCAGAAAGTTTGTAGCTTTGAGGTCCGGATTATAGATCATTCCAATTATGGACGTCCGGATTAAAGACTTTTGACTGTATATATTACCATATATATCCTTATTAATCTTGAAGGTGTATTGATACAATTTTGCAACAACATAGATATTTGCAAGGCACTTTCTAAATATGTCTTCTTTTAATTTTGTTCAAATGTATTTTGATATTCTTGAATTTTAGTTATTTTTTGCTCAGAAAAAAGTGCAGAATCTAATGGGAAGCATTTGGAAAAGAAATTTTTTTTGGGTTTTTATTCAGTAACATTTATGAGTTGACAATGTTAGATGTTATTTTTACTTAAAAGGAGAAGAAAAATAATTATGTGATTTTTTAAATATTTCCAAATTCTTTAATTTATTACATTTTTAATGGTTAATTCTTATTTGAATTGTTAATATGAAGTTTTATGGCTGCAAGAGCATATTTTTTAATTATTATTCTGGGTAATATTAGTTTTAGACATTGTTATTACAGAGAAACAATTTCAGTGAGATATATACATATTCTCTTTTGTTACATAAAATTTGCATAATTTTAAATAATGTGTAAATAAAGCCATAGATTTGGGAAGTTTTTCTTTCTTTTGTTCTCCCCCCCTTTTTTTTAATTGAGGATTTTTTTTAATTCAAGATGTCTCTGGATTTCAAACTCCAGATCTTCCATTGATTATTAAACATGCTAGCAGTTACACTACAAAGGTATGCAGTGGGGAATGTAAATTCCTTATATTCTTTTCTACTTAAAGGGCGACTGGGGAGAAAGAAATGTGGCCCAACCATTCATATCCATATGGTGATAATTTAATTATTGGTTAATTCATCACCATCTGAAAAATAATCACCTTCATAATCAAATTTCATATACGATGAATTATTGTCCTCTAAATTTTAGTCAAGCATCACTGTAGCATTGTTTTGTGACTTTTTGGAGCAAGAATTTTAAGAAAATCAGCTATGCATTGAAACATTTTGTTAATTCATCAGTGGACTTCTAGCCACTGATCTTGCAATTGCTAGCTGAATATGTTATAATTATACTATGAAACCACACCCAGGGAAAGATGGTAATTTTTGGCTGTGTTGATTATTATTAATCTACCCAAATTTCATGCTTAAAGTATACCGGGTGGCCATAATTAAACTGACCGTGCTCACAGTGTTCTGTAGCGCAATCTATTTGTGAGAATGATGCCACATTTTGTAGGAAGATTAAACAAGACGGGTGACGAAGGATTCCGCGAAAAAACAAATTAGTACCAAAAGTCACCGCTATGGGAATATTTGGCTCTGTGTAATAGAAAAAAAGAGTGTTAACAAATGAAAATCAGTACGGAAATTACCTTTTATTTTGCATTCAAATGAGGTTCAATGTGGCTGTCGTTGTTGTGGACCACATATTGTATTTCTGTGCACAGTATGCACAACAGCAGAAAGTAACATGTCTGCAGGAATCTCCCATACAGTCCATGATATGTTATCCTTCAACGTAGCCAGGTCCTGGACCACTCCTTGATAGACCTTGGACTTAAGGTAACCCCATAGCCAGAAGTCGCACGGGGTAAGATCAGGCGATCGAGGTGGCCATGCAGTTGGAAAGTAGCGGCTAATGACTCTTTCTGTTGTAGCATCTGTTGCACCCGTACAGCAACGTGTGGAGGGACTCCATCTTGCATGAAAATGATTTCCCCCACACATTGTCTTTGCTGAAGTGCCTGAATGACAAAGCTGTTCAACATGTGGCAATATTTCTCTCCGTTAACAGAGAACAGGTTTCCAGTCTTGTCGGGGTAATGTTCTCATAGAAGAATGGACCTACGATAAATTCTGCTGTGAACCCACACCAAACAGTTACCTTTGGTGAATGTAAGGGAATTGCTGCAGACATCCCAAATTCGTCAGTTCTGGGTATTCACTGTTCCATTCAGGTAAAAGTGGGCCTCGTCTCCCCATAAGATTTTCCACGGCCAAGCATCATCCACCTCCATTCTGGCAAGAAAGGTGAGAGCAAAAGTTAATCGCTTATCATAGTCGGGGTACAGTAACTCCTGTACACGGCTGATCTTGTACGGATAGAAATTGATAATCTTTCGTAAGCTTTTCCATACCGTACTGCAAGGCATATCCATATTCCAAGCTACTCCACGAGCGCTAGAGGTGTCAGCAATATTGTCTGGTCCTCTGTTGACAATCGCCCTGGCAACTGCTTCGATTGTATCCTGTGGTACAGGTTTTCGTCCTCTGCCTGACTGAACCTTCAGAGGACCTGTTTTCTCAAATGTAGCAACCATTGCTTTTAGCCCATTAACTTGCCCATTGACACAGGACCATTGACCCATTGACACAGGACTGTTATCTTTACACATTTTTTTTGTGCGTTCTAAAAGCACGAAGAGCGGCTGACGCGTTGCACTGATTGAGGTAAAAGAATTTGACCAGTAATGCACGCTCGACTAAAGAAGGAGACGCCGCACATAAACTTTCAATCCGATTGATTCGAAACGTAACACATTGCCTTTTAAAACCCAAGCAGCTGGCACTGTGCGAATGGATGTAACATGAAATTTGAATAAAGAACTTCTTCTGCTCAGCATACGTGATATTGCAGATCACGAGACTTTATCGGTGTTTATGTAGATTTTACGCTTTTTTAAAAGTGTTGCCATATTGCACTTGAACTAAATCAGAAAATGTGCTTAATAAAAGGTAATTTTATTCCGTATTAATTTGCATTTGTTACACTCTATTTTCTATTACACAGCGCAAATATTCCCTGACTTTTGGAACTAATTTGTTTTTTCGTGGAATCCTTCATTCTCCGTCTTGTTTAATCTTCCTACAAAATGTGGCATTATTCTCGCAAATAGATCGCGCTACAGAACACTGTGAGCACTGTCAGTTTAATTATGGCTACCCGGTCTATTTAGTGAACTATGACAGTTGCAATTACAGAAAAAACTTGATTTTATGCCAAAATATTGTATGTTAAAGTGAAGCTGTCTATACAGTCAAAAGTCGTTAATCCGGACTCGTCGGGACTTCGGCGATTCCGGATTATCGATTTTTCTGGATTATAGATCATCAGTTTAAATCTCGTAAGATGGCATGTAAATTCTCGTAAATTCTAAAATTAAAAATATGAAACAGTAATTTATGAAATAAAGAACAATTATGATCTAATGGGCATCAAAATTTACCAAAAAAAAATTTAATATTTATTTGTTTACTTTATTAAACATTTCTTTCAATGTAAGTTGTTTAAGTTGCTTCGTTTTTTATGTGATAATACTTTCTCTTTAATTCTATAAACAGACATAATTTCTTGTTCAGTTACAAAGCTCCGGGCCCCCCCCCCTGCCGCATAGCAGTGTGAAATTGATAAACAGATTTCGGAATGGTTAGATAAACAAAGGATATGCCTTTATTCATTTTTTGCAGCAATTCCACTTTTTGTTTGATGGACTTCAAAACATACTTTCGCTTTGTAGATCCTTTACATATTAGTAAATATATATCAGAAATTCTATTTGACATAATTAAAAGTTTAAGCTTACTTTTATAAAATTGCTCTAACAGTCTGCAAAAAATAATAAGCCGGATCCAATTCGAAGATTAAGGAACAATGCAATCTGAAATCAACGCGATTGAAATAGAGAATTAGATAATTTTAGCTTAGCTTATACCGTCCGTTATACATTAAATGTGCGTTCGTAAATGTATTTTTTGCATGCGCACACGCATATATTCGCAGCTGTAAAGGTCTAACGTGCATGCATCAACGCGACGCATGTGCAGAAAGTTTGTAGCTTTGAGGTCCGGATTGTAGATCATTCCGGATTATGGGTGTCCGAATTAATGACTTTTGACTGTAATTGCAATATATATCTTAAGTCACATTTTTGGGCCAAAAAATGTTGAATTTTGTAAATTAGTCAGCTAGAATAGAACATACAGAACAGCCCCCCTTTTTTTTCCTCTAAATGTATACCTGCTGCTCCCCTCTCATTTTTTCCTTCTATCATTGCAAATATTCTTTGAGGTAAATGACGGATTTTTTAAAAGTACTTTATTATATGATTATCCATTCTTTATTTAAAATCTTATGTTTATACTTGCATTAATTATGTTTACATAATTTGACTAAAAATGCTCTATTATCTATGTTTATAATTTCACAAATATAAACAAAAATTGTTAATGCATAAATGATATTATACATCTGAATTAAAATATTTAGAAGATATATACACATTTTAATTTTTCTTATATAGGTATCAGAAAATTCTGCATTAATTGTTCGTCATATAATAGAAGAAGTTCTGGAGGCTGAAAAATCCCTTGAAGTTGAGGCTCGTAGCCCACTGAGAAAGCCTTTGGTAGAATTTTTGCAGCATTATCCTATAGAAACATTAAACTACCTGAAATCTACAAATTCCATTAAATTTCAAGATGTGATGTATTTGTTAAAGGTTTGTATGCTAGAAATTTTGTTCTTGTAATTAAAATTTTATTATTATAATGTTAAAAATGCAATTTTAATTAAGTGCAGACATGATTTAATAAGTTTCCCTGTTCTGTTGGATTTTATATCTTCTTAACATTAACTGATAAAGAGGCAATAGTACTAATGAATTATTTTAACCTTTTATAACCATCAAGTGAAAGCAGAGTGTTATTAGAAAAGTATAGAACTGCAGCCAAGCCAGTGCATGTTGAAGAGTTAATTGGCTTATGTGGTTAAAAGGAAGTCAACATAGTCTAGGCTGACGCACAAAAATCATGTTTAAACATAAATAAATGTAAGAAGTTCCACAGAAACCCGTCTGCTTCATCAGTGGAGTTGGAATGAAGAGTTTGATCAGATTTATTATTTTTTCCCTTTTCTCAGGGTCACGGTATTTAGAATTGTGTTGAAAATGTATGGAAGGTTGAAGAGAAGATCTCTTTTTCAGTATGGTATGGTAGCAATTTCAAGCTGTTCTCTAATTTTGAGATGAATTTTATGCCAGGGTTTGGCAATGATTTTGACCTCAACCTATTCAATTTTTGAGTGCAGATGCTTGGAGAAGTATTTTACCAAAGATATTTTTTTTATTTATTTATTTTTGTTTATTTATTTTATTTTATTATTATTTTTAATATGAATAGGTTGAATTTGTTTTTTGATGAATATTTTTTTTTTCTCTGCAATTCTTACTGATAGTTTTCTAGAAGTTGAACTAATGTATTAAGTTTCTATTTGTGTATCCTCATTACAAATCAGGATAGTATATTCATCTGTAAGTATCTGTTGTAGCAATGTTTGATTTATGTGATGTTAACAATTTGCGGATGAATGGGCTGGAGTAATGATAATAATAATTATTACAAGCCTGCCTCTCATTGGGCACTGCAAGTCAGACATATCACTCTGGTCATCGCTCTAGTAACTTTTAGCTGCCTGTCTTTTCAACCTTTCTCTATATAAGATAATCGGTATTACATTTTATTCCTTTCACTGTTGGTACATCCAACTTACATTTGAGTTTTTTATTATTAGTACTATTTACAAGCCGTTAATTAAAACTAAACTCAGTGGCACAAACAGCTCTTAGCCATGGCCAGCAGTGCCCTGAAATTTGCTTTCTTGACCTTCAGCCCCGGAGTGCATCAGGATGTGCCCTGGGCAAGTAGTCAGCTTGTTGCAGAATCCCTGGTGTTTAGTCCCTGAGCAAACTTGGTACTCATTTTATCGACCCATTCAAGGGATGAAAGACTGAGTCAACATTGTCCAGCCCGGAGATCAAACCCTGGACCTGTTATGCTGCTGCATGATGCTCTAGCCACTTTGCCTCCGGGCAGTCGCAAGCTGTTAATTAATTAGTTGATAAAAATATTAATAAAAGAAAAGTAACTGTTACAGTATTTACATAGGCATGTTGCATTTACATACTTCAGATCGCAGACCTGGATTTGGGTAATGGTAAACCAAATCTTCTTTAGATGGAGCTGATATGTTAGTGATCTCATAATAAGAGAATATTCCTCTGAATGTACTTTTATTTGATCCTTGCATTAGTAAAAACTTTACTTTTTGCAAAGTAAATGCAGAATCTTATCTAATGGTTTCTTGTAAAGTTTTTCCAACAGAATTGGATAGGATACCTAGTGTTTTCTAAAATTTCCAATATGCATTTATATTTCATTTTTGCAAATTTCTGACATAGAACAAAAATTTTTGCCATATTTTAAGTAAAAATAAAAAGAGCGGTTTTGTGCAGATGAAATTAAAGGGCTATTTGGAATTATTACTGCCTTGCCACTTGGTTTGTAATAGCTTGCAGTAAGAAAAATATCGCTGTTTGTTAAAATTGAGAGATCAAGAAATTGAATGTTATTGTTGACTTCTATATTAATCATAAATTGTAGGCTGGGAAGGTTTCTGAAACAAATGAAAACAGAGGTTTAAGTTCATCTTCTGAATGATCAAATATGTAAATATCATCCGCATACCTCTTCCATAAGACACGTTTCGGAAGGGGGATTTAGAGAAAATAAAATTTTCCGTAGGTTCATATAAATTTTAGCCAAGATACATGAAACTGATGCTGCCATAAAGAAACCTTCTTGGTATTAATAGATTTGCCTATTAGCTCTAAATAGCTCTCAACTTCTTATAATTATGGATGAAATAAAAGACTTCATAGAAGTTGGTAATAAGTTTGGAAGTGATTCATAGTATTTAAATCAAGGTTTTTGCATTAATCATTTGAGACTCAAATAAAGGAACTGACAGAAACAAAGATTTTAAATTATGGAAAACATGTTAACATGGCTTTGAAATTTGTAAAAGGATGAAGTGCTTTTGAAATTTGTACATTAATTCACTTGTAGAATGCATACTTGAAATACTGTCCTTTACAAAAGTGGAGTATAGTTTGGCAAACTTAATGCTCGAATTTGCTGGATGATAAGAGCTGACTTTAATGAAGGTTTGGTTAGCTAGTCTTCTTTATGTGTTTTGATCTGTAGTTTGGCATTCTGTAATCTGGATCAGGCTTGTTTGGCATTCTGTAATCTGGATCAGGCTTAATATGACCAAATTAGTATTTTATCAGCACTCGCTATTCTCAAAATAGCAGCACTCAGCTATTCTACAAAATGCATTAGATAATTTTTTGGTGCTGGCACTGTCTCTTAAATACATTTTATATCAATCAGATACGCTTATACATTTTGTTGAAATTTCTTTGTTAGTGATTACTAAGTTGCCCATTTTATCTGATTTGCATTTTTTGAGATTATTGTTTGCCATGAATATTCTCATTTTCCAGATGTTACTTTTATCCATAGAAGATGTTATTTTGTTATTCTTTAACAATTAAAAAACAATTTTGTTTCTAATTCGTGTTGTCTTTCATGCCTCCATTATTTGAAGGAAATTTTGGAAAATTTTTCGTTGGCCAAAATACTTCATATGTCTTCATAGCAGTTCTTGTCACTTAATCTGCTAACACCTGAAACTTTTCTAAACTAGTGTATCATAACAAGTTACCTACAAATTTAAGTATTTCCCACTTTAATTTGTGTATAGTCCTTGAATGATCTCAAATTTTAAATTTAAATAGTTCATTCATTTTTTGTTGTATGGAAATCAAACTTCTTATGTTTTATTTTTTTGGAATGAGTATAAACTTTCACTAAATATAACTATTGTGACAGGGAGGCCAAATGAAAAGTTAATTTTATTAATTTTTATAAAATTTAAAAATGCCTAAACATTAGTGTCTTCCTTATTTAAAGTATTTTTGTAACTGCATATGTCTACAACCAGTGGTTTCAAAAATAGAGACTGTTATATTGTTATGTCGCAGTGTCTATTGAGCAAAAAAAAGTTTTCATTTTCAAAATGAATGATTCTAGATCAAACTTTTGTGAAATAAGTTAACTGAATCAAACAGCAATTTGTGTAAAAGTTTTGTTTTATGAATGCTTGGTATTAGAATGTTTCAATTATAAATGTCATGCAAATGGTATCCTTTAATTTATTATTATTTCTGAAAGCTTATTAGAATGAGAAATGTGCATTATTGAATCTATGAATTTAACTTCTTATGCAACGGGATAATGTAACCTTTAGGAACTGACATTATTTGCAAAAAAATTTGAATAGATCCACATAAAAAACTATTTTTAGATAGAAATGTTTTTAGAGGGAGCAGAAAAATTTATTTAAGTACATTTTTTGCATTGTAATTAAAATTAAAAATATGCTTTGATATTAATCTAGTCTAATTTTATAATTTCATGTTTAACACAATCTTACCAACTCTGCTCATTATTATCTTGGTAAGATTTGCAAATAAATTAAATAATTATGTTTGATAACCGTTTTATGCCATATTTTATGTTGTTCAGGAAATTATATTATGCTGAATAATTTTACTGTTAAGAAAGAGTCTGTAAAAAAAAAAAAAAAAAAAAAAAAACTGTATTGACTAAAATACAACAAATCTCAAATTACACTAGGTATATTGAAGGCTTGTATGTAAAAAAGAAATTATGTATATAGACTTTGTGTTTTTGGTAAACTGCAATAAAATTTTGATCTCTGCAATAATGCAACTAGCCAATTTGACTGAAATAAGGAAAAAAATATATCAAATAACTATGCAAATGTATATTTTTTAATTGAAATGAAATTTACATTCAGATGTTTGATTTATGCTGTTTGCTTCAAATAGAGAATATGATCTTTGTGTATTTTGTATTACAATGATAATTTTTCCTTCTTTAGTGTCTTTTGAAGGAAGAATATGGAGCTCCTTTTTGCAAAGCTGTTGAAGATAATTCTGAAATTTTAATACATCTTTTAGAAGATGCCTGCAAGTGCAAACCGTATGAGTCAATCAGTGAAAATATTTTGATGGTTCCTTCTTCCCTCCCTAAGGAACATTATATTGCTATTCTAATCATTAGTCGTATTATTCGATACAATGATAACTGGCTGCCTAATCAGCATAGACTGAAAGAATTATTACTAAGAATTTGGTATTGTGAAAAATTTCATCAGCGTTATTCAAGATCAAAAGTAATTAATTTCAAGGATTTGAAGGAGCATAAAATGCTTGCTAAATGTGTATTAAATATTGTGAAATACAATCCTGATGATATTGATTTGCTTTTTCATATGCTTAGAGTGTTCACAGGTCATTTTCCTTCTGAGTTTCACTTTTTAAATGATTTCTTGAAAAATACTGTAGCAGATAGTTATTCAGTTGAGTGGAAAAGAAGGGCTTTCTTTAAATTTGTGGCCATGTTCCCTAATATTCAACCAGAACTCAAAGCAAAAGTACTTCAGTTCATAATTATACCTTCATTTTCTGTGGCATTTCAAAGAGGAGAAGGTGAAAAACTAATTTGTTCTTCATCAACATCCAAACAAGATAACATTGTAACTGTTTTTATTGAAAAAATTATAGATTCAGAAAGTTCAGCCAAATCTTCAGATGAAGTGCGGATACTCTTACTCCAGTTTTCTAGCCTTTTAACAGAGCATGTACCTTCACATATTCATGATGGAACTAATAAGTAAGCATGTTTGAAATGTTAATAATAATTGTAACTATCACAAGTATCTTGAAATTGTTAACATTATTATTATTTAGTTTTTTTCAAAACATTTTATTGATAAACCTTTTTACTTCCTTGTGCAGAGTAAAGAAAGTACTGTAATCATGAACAATTTTGAGTATCATATTTCAACGAAAATATCCATTTTGACTGCTGTCAAATCTATTTGAATGATTTTTCTGTGTGACATCTGTACGTACAGACAAAATGAAGGAATCTTTTTTCCAAAATGAATTCAGAAGAGATTTTTTTCGGGGCATCTGTTCATAATACATTTCTTACCTACAGTACCTTACATATGTATGCATCTCGCATGACTCAAAAAATGAGTAGCCATAGAACATCAAAATTTTGTGTATGGCGCTGTTTTAAAATGTAGTCATGTCGCTGTTTTAAAATTCCAATTGGCCACACCAAACATATACATATATAGAGAGAGATTTGTGTATATAAATAATAACAAAAGGAAAGTAGGACTATTTTGGAATCTTTTGCCTTGGCTGCAAAGCCACTATTTATTTATATTTGAAACTCTTAGTAGAATAGTGAAATCATTAAGTCAGTTGGTCCACCAGCTGTAGTTTTATGCACTGGGGGGAGGGCAAAAATTAACTAACAATAATTTGGTCTTCCTGCCTGTTGGCGCCAAATAACTTGTTTTTGCATAAAAACTGTAATTTTAATAATAAAGTGGGTTTTTTTTTTTTTTTTTTCCCTTACTGCATTTGTTGTTTTAGGTTTTCCTGTGTTTTGCAATTTTTAATGAGAATGTTTTGAGTTTTTAAGCATCGCAAATGCCTTCGCCGTGAAGTGGGAATTGAATTGATTTAATAAAAAATATATCTCTAAGGAAATTTTGGGGAAATACATTTAAATGAAGTGCAACAAAAAACGTGTATACTTTTATAGGCTGTACAAGGAAGTCATGTGATGTCCAGATCAAATATTTTATTTTTAGATTTAAAATAACCAAAAAAGATTTTTTTTTTTAACCTGTTGAGGGTATAAAAGTTGTATAGCTGCTCAGTTAGAATTTTTGTATCATTTTCCTCTTAAATTAAAATTTGTATTCCATTTTCTATAGGCATCAGAGTGGATTTTTAATGAAGTTGATGAAATTTGCATGGCCTTGTCTTTTACCAAAAAGTTGTGTAGATCCTGCAGCTAAATATCATGGGCATTTGTTACTTGCTATTATAATAGCTAAATTTTCAATACACAGGAAAATTGTTTTGCAAGTATGTATTAAACATATACAAGTGATATTTTTGCATTGCCATATGCTAATGTAATAGAAATTTTATTTATCTGTGTATCATTTCTTCAGTTATTACTAGTTTTTTAATCAGTCTTATTCCAAATTCATATATAGTGAAAATTACCAGTAATCAGTAATTATGTTTATCCTGTTATGAGGTAAAATGCTTCAAAAGTTAAAAACATTACTCAAATTTTAACTTTTACAATAATTGTTTTAAAAAAACTGCCAAGTTTTATTAATGCTTCAAAAAATAATGTTAGAGATAGAAAGAAGTACTTATAGTACTTTTTTAATCTTTATATTTCAAGTGCATCTCTCTTATTAAATACAGGAAAATGAGTATGTATGTATGTATGCATGTTCATCACATTGTGTTTGGGGGGGGCATAAAAGGAAAATCTAGAGCCACCATGTTGTGAATACATATTTTATTGTGCCTGAGCATGTGCACCTCGAAGCTGCAATTCTGTATTTGAAATCTGGTTTTTATTTATATGATATTTTGTGCAAATTTAATACATTCTTGATTAATAAACTTGGTAATTTAATGTAATATATTTGCCACTATGCAAAGCCTAAGTCATTCGCATGCAGAAAACTCAGTAATTTTAAAAAAATACATTGTTGCCACTCAGCAAAGCTTAAGTTACTTGTATTTCAAATTCAACAAGCAAACAAGGTTGGGGGGAAGTTCAACTCAGTGGCTTAAAAGAAATGTGTTGCTACTGACCAATATAATGTTTTCTATTTTCCATGCACCAGTTTTTTACCATTCAGTGAAGTCATGTGCTAGTTGTTCCATATTTCATTTTTCTTCCAAATTTAATGTATATTACTGCTTAACAAACTAATTTAATAGCAATAAATGTAATTCTTTATTCCTCCTATTATTATTAGTTACTAGCCTGACCTGTGAAATAACTAGCTGCATTTATTTAAAAAGCATTACATAATTTTCTTCTTTTTTTCAGTAACTATTTAAGGCACCTGTTTATGGCAGTAGCTAGTTAAAAAAAAAGGAATGATAAATATGTATATATAGTTGAAAGTGGAAAATTTATTGCTTTTGAGAAAATCATTGGCATTTTTACTGCTAAAGAGTGATAGATGTAACTTAGTTTTTTACTGCTAAAGAGTGATAGATGTAACTTAATATGATTGCATTGACTGCACCTTTTCCGTGCTGATTTTTTATTTTTTAAAAGTATCTAATTTGGTTTGTAAATATGAAGCACAAATTTCAGCGCTGATGTCATCTTATTGAATAGATGTGAATGCACAAATTTAATTCTTGCAATTTCATCACTTTAGGTGATCTCTGTAGTTAATGCTTCATATGAATTAAAATATTAATGCTTCAATGAAAAATCGTACTTATTTAAGTTGTAGACTGTGAAAAATTTAGCTGATGCCCTTCCAAAATTAGTGCCATAGATGCAAGCCTGTAGATGTCATATATAGATGTTACCTTCCGCCCCCCCCCCTCAAAAAAAAGTCTGCTTCAAGTATATAAATGTAAATTATATGAACTGAGGTTTAAAGAATGTATTAAAATGATATTTTATTTTACATTAGTTTGAATATGAGAGAGGTCATTATGATACTACCAAATATATTTTTCATTAATTCTACATGTACATAATTGTTGGGAATAAATGTTTTATTATTTTTGCAACAAAATGCAAAATATTTTTTTAAAAAGACTTTCCCACCAATTCCATATAATGAAATGGTTTAAATTGATTAGGTATATAGTCATGTGTTGCATGAGTAAAATAAAGTATAACATAGTACAAAGTCCGAAATGCGAACGTCCATAATCCGGAACAATCTAAAATCCGGAGCTGAAAACCACCAACAACGTTTTCTCATAGGCTTGCTCATGCACATTTCATTCCCCCCTCCATGCATAATAAAACATCTGGAGAGTTCCGATTCTTAATTTTGCTTCGACACTAAATAAAATACCTTGTTATTGAAGAAACAATCATTTTAGCATAAATTTTTATGATTAGTAATTTGGTTCCGTTGCTGCATATCTGCTTGCCATACATCTCAAACCGAAACATTTCACATAGTTACATCGTTGATCTGAAACAAAGCTGGGGAATCATTATTTATTATATTTTCCTTTCATCACCGCATGTTTATCAAAACATAACAAATTGAGTAATGAGTTATGTAGTGATGCCTAAACAATTTTTTTAATGTTAGTAATTAAATAATAAAGGAGTGTGGTAACCTTTTCTGTTGACATTATGCTTCACGATGATTACAGATTTAAGTTAAATGCACAACCAACTTTCCATCAATTTTACTGTGATCAGTAAAATAATCAAAGACAGAAGATGCAGAGAGACTTTCCCTAAAGGCAGTACTATGAAGAATGGCTGATAAAAATCTGGCTATTGGAGGAAAAGCAGAAATTTCGTAAACAGACTCTTAACTTATGGTATGATATCCACAAATGACCCACAGAAGTATCTGTTTTTGAATGTGTAGTAGATATTTATAATTTATCTTTCTATTAAGCACCATACCCGGAACTCTAGAGCCATACATTATGAAAAGTTCAGTTCTTTGCTTATAGATAAGCGAATGTATGTTGAAGTTAGTAACATATTTGTTGCGTGCAATTTGACCCTAATATAGTTTATCACATTTCTCAATACATAAGTTAAATGTCACTTCAAAGAAAGTTTACAGTCAAGGAAAACCTGAGGGTATTTTTTATTCACAGCCAGTGGAGTTCTGTCAAAAAATAACTGAAATGCCTCTTAACAAATGTTTTAATTTTCAATAATCATGACTCTGGTTTTATCAGGTCCAGTTTAAAACCTTTTGACTAATGAGGCAAGGTTTAAGTTCTCTTTTGCATAGAAAAAGTAGTAGGAAGATGCCTATTCTAGAAGTAAATCAAGATATCACAACAAGCAAGTTTTTTAGGCTTAGGATCTTTAATAATAATACTCCGAAAAGGTAGGTCCAGAAACTGAGCCTTTAGGGAAAGCACTTGCAAGATTACAAAAGGATTCCAAACACCAAGGATTTACGCCCACTAAGGATTACAAAAGCTGATCCCAGCTGCAGTTTGCTCATCCTATCATTTAAAAAGTCAACAGCAAGAGAATGAATATTCCCTGAAAGTTTCAATTTTTTAACCCCTTCGCGGCGACTGTCACGTATACGTGCCAGCAACAAACGCACTTACCTACCGGCCGACACGCAGGCGTGCCAGAGGATTGTTCCATTCTCTACCGACTGTCACGTATTTGTGCCAGTACTTTGGAACGTTTTTCAAACTATAATTTCTGCCACAAGATGGCACTGTATGTCCATATGGTTTCAGATACATGTAAATTAGACCTTCTACTCGAAATGAGAGAAGCGTGACTCACATACACATGTTTTTGATTATATAAACAAACAGGGAAATAAATGTTTCCGAATGGCGTGATTTATGACGTCTCTTTAAATCGCACTTTATTTGCATGTGGTAGTTTTTTACTGTAAGTAGAGAAGTTTTATTTGCTCTAAAGCGTTGGGTATTTCGGTTTGCAGTTCAGTTTTTAGAAAATAATTAGATCTTGTTAGACGTGAATTCTTTGTTTTTACCGTTGCAATGTTGAAGCGTCGAAAATGTTTAACAGAGCATGAAATAGCAGAAATGATGCAAAATATTTCAGATATTGATTCTGAAATTCTGATATTCTGATATTGATTTTGAAAGATTAACTGAAAGACATTTCCCAAAACTTTGTTCAGAAGAGACTAATAAGAAAATGAGACGACGATGCTTCATTTGTTCACATTCACGGAAAAATCCTCCAAAACGGCAAATGAGTTATTACGAGTGCAAGGAATGTAACGTAGGACTGTGTGTAGGTCCCTGTTTTAAAATTTTTCATACGAAAAGAGAATTTTAAGTAATATATTTAGTTTTCAGATGTATAATGTTAAAATTCATAAAATGGCGAGTAATTAAAATAAAATGTGTAAAATATGCATTTAAACAAGAAATAAGGTAATTAAAGTATATATATAAAAATATTTATAAAGCATAAGCCGTTTTAAATACTCTATAGAGCATTATTAAACAATGCGTTGATACTTCGGAAATTTCATGGATTTAGGCTTAGTAGCAAAAAAGCCCCCGGCCCTGGAGAGACGCTCGCGTAAGACACTGCCGGCCTCAGCGATAAGCGCGCGTTTTCGCTACCCGGCTCGAAGGGGTTAAGAAAGTTCAGGATACAAGGCCACCACGCATTGTTAAAGGTGCCTTTTCTATCAAGAAAAACCAAAGTAGTATGCAAATGTTCCTTTTCACCTCTCTGAACAGTCTCATTCAAGCATAAGAGAATGCCTTCAATACTCCTCTGAGGTGTAAAACCATAATGATAAAAAATCTCTTCAGCTCAGGTACTAGCAAAGTCTGTCAATAAAAAGGTTTTCCAAGCATTTACGTGTAGTAGGAAATAAGCTTATGGTGCTAAAGTTATCCAAATGAGGACCACTAGATTCATAACACCATATGCATAATTTTTTTTTTTTTTTTTCCTTCTGCCCGATTTGAATATCAGTGATCAAAAGAAATGTTTTCCGGGAGTGTTTAACATCACTAAGCATTTGATGATATGCTTTTCTTTGCTGATAAGCATTATGTGATATACTTTAGATACTAATATGTGTTCAAGACATTTATATTTATACAGTTCTCTGAGAGTCAGATTTCTACAACCCTGAAATCTGTGCCTAGAGGCATTAAGCCTCTTTTTCACATAACCAATTTCAAGAGACCACCAAGAAACATTATGTACACCATGATTCTTAACTAGCACTGAAAATAAAGATGCATGGAGAAGAGCAGAACCATGATCCTCAACAGCTGTATTTAACAAGGGACCATCAGTGCAACTGTTAAGAGTATCTATGGTATGTATGGCACAAGCAGAACAAAACTCCCAAATATAATGCCAGTTTGCTTTCTTTGTATAGAAAAGTTTAGTTTAGAATGTTTGGAGTATCTCATTAGACTGTAGAGATACAAAATTCAAAACCTATCATTATGCGATTAGAAAGGGGATTCATTTTCATACAGACACCAACTCAAAATATTTTGGATCAATAATTGTAACATCTGTGTAACTTGAACCCCGAGCTGCGTGAAAAGTGGGTCCGTAATCTTCGTTGATAACAAATAAGTTATTAGCAGAAATAAATTCACTCAGTTTATCTCAATGAATATCTGAATACGAATTAGGGACCATACTATAATTCATATTTCCTATTGGAGTCCATTAGCCAAACCAGTTGAATAAGATTTCTGTACGTAGAAACTTGACTAATTTTATGAGCGTCTAAATCAGTATTTTTTTAGGGTTGAGAGTGATATGAAAAAAGAGTGAACAAAGTCGTGCCAACAACAACATCCAGTGTGACCATGTTTATAATCAAGAATAGTAGAAAGATAATATGCTCTCGAATAATGATTGCCACCTTTACATAATGATGATTGCAAATGAATTGGAATCACAATAATGTCTATAAGTGGAAGGATATCCTGGAGAAGAGCTGTTCTAAAAGTGAGGCACCCAGACCAGTGCATAGTCAGTATTATCGGTTTCCATAAATGAGCTGTTGTGTCACAGGTTTAGATTTATGTAACTTTAGGTACACACACTTCAGAACTTGCTTATTTAACCTAACCATTATCATTTTGAGACTGAATGTTCTTCATCTTAAAGATATGATTAGTACAACACTCTGAAAAAGTGTGTGATTAGCATTCACTTTTTTATGTATATTATTTGTTTTATGATTGAAACAGATATTCCTCTTCTAGACTTGTTTTAAGTTTGGCTTTCGTTATTCTAAATTTGTTTTAATTTATTTTAGGTTTTCCATAGTTTATTAAAAGCGCATGCAACTGAAGTACGAGGTATTGTTCGTCAAGCTTTAAAGATTTTAACTCCTAAAATTCCTGAAAGAATGGATGATGGTAACAATATGTTGATGCATTGGACCAAGAAAATTATTGTAGAAGAAGGCCATTCCATCTCTCAATTAGTTCATATTTTGAATTTATTAGTTGATCACTATAAGGTACATATTTCTTTGCATTCTTTTGAATTCTGAAGCAAATTTCTCTCTTATTATTGCTAAATATGCATGCAAATGAGCCTCATATTATAAATTTTAAGTGTACTAAATATGGTCAATTCTAGAAATTCTGAATTCATATGTATTCTGATAACAAATAAGCTGTATAATTTTGAATGGCAGTAACTTCCCTATATGACCTTTAGCAAACTTAAGGGTTATTGCATTGATATATAATATTGGTTGTTATTGCTTGTACTGATATTAATGCTGTTTGAATATTCATGATGTAAAGCAAATGAATGATGTGTTATTAGCAGTTTTACATTTACCCAAATGTCTAAAAGAATTCTGGGAGTTTGTGATTCTCTACAAGACTGTGTTTTATTCATGCTTAGTATGATTGGGAGTTAAGTGTTTCTCTACAAGACTGTGTTTTATTTGTGCTTAGTATGGTATAAATTGAATTAGAAAAGAGGCAAATAAAAGCGATAGCTTTATATTCTGACTATTCTTGCATTGGAATGTTTCTTTGGAGATGTATGTTGTCATCCAAAAACAGGAATTCAGCTTCCATTGCAATTTTAAATAGTTGAATGTTTTGTGGCTAAATGACATTATGATGTCTATGGGCTATCTCTGTTCCTGATTTGTGTTGAGTGTACCCTCATGTTTCCTGATACAGTCAAAAGTCGTTAATCCAGACTCGTCAGGACTTCGGCTATTCCGGATTATCGATTTTTCCGGATTATAGATCATCAGTTTAAATCTGGTAAGATGGCTTGCAGAAAGTATAAAATTAAATATATAAAACCATAATTTATGAAATAAAGAACAATTATGATCTAAAGGGTATCAAAATTTACAAAAAAAAAAGCTTAATATTTATTTATTTACTTTATTAAACATTTCTTTCAATGTAAGTTGTTTAAGTTGCTTCGTTTTATGTAATAATACTTTCTCTTTAATTCTATAAACAGACATAATTTCTTGTTCAGTTACAAAGTTCCGCTGTTCAAGTCCCGTTAATTGCTGTGCCGAGAATACCGACTAACTCGTCAATCGAAATTTTTTCGTTTTCACTAACCTCTCTGTCACCTTCTTCATGTCTTTATCCATTTTTTGCAGCAATTCCACTTTTTGTTTGTTGGACATCAAAACATACTTTCGTTTTGTAGATCCTTTGGAAGTTCCAGCATCGGAAATTCTATTTGACATAATCGAAAATTTCAAGTTACTACTTTATAAAATTGCTCTTACAGTCTGCAAAAATAATAAGCGGGATCCAATTCGAAGATTAAGGAACAACACAATCATTAACATTAACTGAAGTAGATAATTAGCTAATTTTAGCTTACACTGTCCGTTATACATTAAACGCGCAGGCGAAAACGTATTCTGCACTTGCACACGCATATGCGCAGTAGTCAAGGTCTTACATGCACGCGTAAAACGCTTGGCACATGCGCAGAAAATTTTTAGCTTTGAGGTCCGGATTATAGATCATTCCGGATTATGGGTGTCCGAATTAACGACTTTTGACTGTATTTGTTTCCAAGTGAACATGATTTGTAATTTTCTGTTAGAGCATAACAATCTATTTTTTTATTTTTTTCCCCTTTTAGCATATTTCTTTGATGACAAGTGTCACCCACTTTGTTTGGCTTCTTTTTTTTTCTTAAAATTATCTTTATTATCATTGCTCATGCAAGCACTTTATCATCTTTCTTTCTTTCTTTTTTTTCTTTTTTTCCAGCTGCAATAGATTTAACAATCTGGGATTTGCAAAGCTGCTCTTTCTTCAAAAAAGAGATATTTGTACAAAGAAAAATTGTGTTCTGTTTGAATAATAACCTAGTAGATATTCATTTACTCTCATTAACCAATTATTTTATTTTAATGATCTTTTTTATGTTTTTTTGTTTTATGTTTATTATTTTATGTTTTTCTCATTATTTTCCTGCCAGAATGCTAATTTCTTGTTTGCATGTATTCAAATTATTTAGAAAAGGCACAGCATTTAGTATTTAAAGGAATATTTTAGATTGTAGAATCAGAGCATGTTCTGCCTGCTGAAGGCCATGTTACTATTTGATTCTCTTGAGAGCAGTTTATCTGCAGCATTGCGTTATTCCCACCATCAGGTTTGTCATGCCAGTATTAGGTCTGAGCCAACATGCACATTATCTGCTTGTGTAGCCTTTGGGCTAACTACAATTTACTTAATTAAGTTCAATTATCTTACTTTTGATTTATGTCTTAAATGTTGGCTGGTTCTATAAGCACAAGCTGTGCCTTCTGTTGAATTATCCGAGTTAATAAAATTTTTTTGTCATAAATTCCATGACATAGCGAGAAGTTACTTAAGTCTTCAGGGTTTTCATTCAGTTTATGTTAGGAAAGAAAGTGAGACTCTATAACATCATGAAATTAAAATAGCACTCAAAAAGGCTGTACAATGTTTGTTCAGGTCTTGAAAAAAATGAATGTAAATGGGATAAACATGGCTTGCTGGATCATGCATTCCTTTCCTTACTACTGTGCAAATCATTTGCTTACAGTGTAAAGAGTTACTTAAGTTTTGTGAACTCTTGTTTCAAATGAATCACAATACAAATGGTTAATTACTAGAGATTAGGGACTTGCCAATTCTGTGGTATCTCAATGGCTAACATGCAAATCAATAGTCACTAGAAAATTGTGGAAATTTATGAAAGCTTATTCACAAAAAGAATAAAAATATATTGCAGGCCATGTTTTTCCATTACAGTTGTTTTTCTACAGCATGTTGTTATTTTTTTGCTGCTTCTCATAATCATTATCAAAGTAATCATGAAACTAAAAGTGTGGGGAAAGAAGCAGACCAAAATGTGCCTTGTATGACTCTGAAAATGCATGATATGGCTTCTATAGAAAAGTGCATAGGATTTTATTGCTGCTTTGTTAGTGACTGTACTTTTGTGTATGTGTATTTCAAAAATGTTATTTATATTCTTTAAGTATATATTCTTAATATCATTGCTATGGAAGTAAAGTAAATTTATTCTTACACATATTCTTTGCGATGTCAAAAGGCTATAATCAATATTTTAAAAGAGATATTTTGTGTATTATTTCAGAAAATATCCTTTTGTGTTTGCGTCCATATTTATGTCTGCATTTTTGTCCTCCTTTTTGTACTGAAGGTTTTAAAAGGCTTTCATCTTGTTTTTGTTTTATTAGTACCATATTTTACCCCAAACTTTAATGTGGAAAATGTGAAACTCTGTGATAATCCAAAATGTTATTTTATTACTTCAAAAGAAATTTTCAGAGACCAAAAACAGTAATATGTTAAAATTAAAAATATTTGGTAAGCATTTAATTTCTTTTTTGTCGTTTTGTTATTATTATAGTATTAACTATATGAAATGTTTTTGTTTCATAAATTAAAGACAACACTTTATATAAATTACTAACTTTATAGGTTTATTATCCTGTGCGACATCAAATGATACATTACATAATTACCTCTGCAGACCAACTAGCATTTAGAGGTAATGCCAATTTAGAACATAAGCAATTGGCTGTGGATCTTACAGAAATCATAATAAGATGGGAAATTATGCGACTACAAGAACAACAGAAACTCCCCTCTGGAATTAATCCTATTGAAGTATGAAAATACTTTTTTTAATTTATTGCATATCTGAACTATTATATGAAATTTTAATATTCAGGTAATAATAAAAAATTTAATTAATCTGCAAATAGAGTGAATGCTAAATTTGATAATATTTATATCAATTATGTTATGATAATAAAATTTAGTTTGAAGTACAGAGACTGCATTTTGCACTTATTGCAGTTTGAGTTTGTGAATAAATGATAATTTATAGTTTTAATATACTTCTTATCTTTAAAAAAAAATTTTTTTTTAACTTTTGATGTTTTTGTTCTCTTATTTTGTGTATTATTTGCAAATGATTAAAGGTAAAATATTTCTTTTTACTTTCTTGAGATTTCTTATTTGGTATGCCACTATAAAATAATATACCAGAGATCCTAACATGCAAGATTTTGAAACGTTCTACTGTACCCTAAAAAATTCTGTAAGCGTACTACAGTCAAAAGTCGTTAATTCGGACTCGTCGAGACTTCGACGATTCCGGATTATCGATTTTTCCGAATTATAGATCATCAGTTTAAATCTCGTAAGATGGCATGCAGAAATTCTAAAATTAAAAATATGAAACCGTAATTTATGAAATAAAGAACAATTATGATCTAAAGGGTATCAAAATTTACAAAAAGAAAAGCTTAATATTTATTTGTTTACTTTATTAAACATTTCTTTCAATGTAAGTTGTTTAAGTTGCTTCGTTTTATGTGATATTACTTTCTCTTTAATTCTATAAACGGACATAATTTCTTGTTCAGTTACAAAGTTCCGCTGTTCAAGTCCCGTTAATTGCTGTGCCGAGAATACCGACTAACTTGTCAATCGAAATTTTTTCGTTTTCACTAACCTCTCTGTCACATTCTTCATGTCTCTATCCATTTTTTGCAGCAATTCCACTTTTTGTTTGTTGAACATTGAAACATACTTTCATTTTGTAGATCCTTTGGAAGTTCCAGCATCGGAAATTCTATTTGACATAATGGAAAGTTCAAGTTTACTTTTATAAAATTGCTCTTTCAGTCTGCAAAAAATAATAAGCGGGATCCAATTCAAAGATTAAGGAATAACGCAATCATTAACATTAACTGAAATAGATAATTAGCTAATTTTAGCTTACACCGTCCGTTATACATTAAACGCACAGGCGAAAATGTATTCTGCATATGCGCAGTAGTGAAGACCTTACGCGCACGCGTAAAATGCTTGTGTGCATGTCCCAACGCGGCGCATGCGCAGAAAGTTTTTAGCTTTGAGGTCCGGATTATAGGTGTCCGAATTAACGACTTTTAACTGTAGTATATGTTACTGAATTGCACTTTTTATATAAAATAAAACTTCACTGCTTGATAAAACTTCAGCTAAACTTCAGCTTACCAGTATTCATCCCTTCCATTTCCGAATCATGTTAAAGTCAAAAAGAATTTTTTTTATTTTCAGAGTTAGTTTCATGATGAGATTTGCTCCATGTTCGTGTAAAAAAATTTAATGGAGATCTTGTATGCATTATCTCTCAATCTACCTAAGTTCACGGGATCATTTTAGACATCTGAAAGGCAATCAAATTGCTTAATGTATCCTAAAATTGCATGCCTAATAAAATAATGCTTTAGTGTTCTCTTTCCATGTTTTGCTAAAAAAATAAAACTTAATCAGAAAATAAGCCATGAGATTGATTTTCCAGGATGCTCATCCCAGTGTTTAGGTCATTACAGAGAGTTATTGCTGAAGTAGTACATATGTATCAACTGAAGTATAGACTCAACACATGAATGCACTTAATACTGAAAAACTTCACAATTCATTGTGATTTGTGTTATAATGGATTTGTGAGAAATAAACACTTTCTAAATTTTTTTCTTGGAATTTTTTTTGTTGCTTTTGTGTAGTCCATCATTATTAACAATTTTTGCTGTTAATCCTTTAAAGAATTTTCAAAGATTTAAAGGAAATGATATATTTATACTTAAACAAGATGAGAGTAAAAAAGAGGTACAAAAAAGAGATTGTGGAGGACTTCCAAGGTAAGAATCTTACAGCTTTCTTCTAAGAGAAGTTAAATCTCCAAAAATGGCAATCTGAATGCAGTAACTTGCAAGAGGCTGTGTTGTATGAAAAATTCATTGGATACAATCACCGACAAGTCTGTTGTCAGTGCAGAACTAGCTGGATGTAGAGACAAGAAATACTGATTTAACCCTTTGCGGTGCACTATACGTTAACGTCGAAATTTCAACAAAAAAGTTGTATGCAGTCTATTTTGTCCTAAAGGTGTCCTAAAGGTATTTATACAGGTAAAATTTTGTAAAAATTGCACTTACCGTTTTGATTCTGTGGGTTTTCCATGAGGTGGAACACTGCGCCGCCAGAGCTTTTAAAAATGCAACTAAGCGAGCATCACAGTGAAATCACGAAAATGAGTAGAAGCATTTGTATAAGAATGAAAAAACTCTGTATTATGTCTGTATACAGGGTTTCCTGGATATACACAATATTCTTGAATATATACGGATAAATGAGATACATATCTATGCACACAAGTCCTATATACAAAAATGTTTAAATTTTCCTATTTCTTAGCTTCGTGAAATTGTTCAAAGCAAGTCACACCTTTTTGATGGAAGCACAAACCAAGTACGATTAAAATAATTAACTACGATTAATATTAACAAAAAGAAAAATAAGCCTATAATATATTCATAAACAAAAAATATCTACACAATTATTGAAAATAAATGGGAATGAGACTAAAAAGCCACAGCAAAAAAATTCGCGTAGGTCTAAGTAAAGATGAGTCAAGCTACTTATGAAATTCCCGCCTAAAAACTACTCCCAAAAAGTTCGAGATGCCAATATTATGGCTTTCATAACATGAAACACACCTCACCCCTCAATACTGTTTTGTTTGAATTCATCCCCCCCCCAAAAAAAAACAACGGAAACAGAAAACGTAAACAACGGATGTTTTCTCCTAAGCACAGATGTTCTCATTCGTAACAGCATGAGATCGCTAAAGGCATAGTGTTCTCGCTAATGGAACACCCTGGTTTATTCAATGATTCTGCGTATGATTTTTGTATGAAAGATTAAAAAAAAATTAAAAAATAATTTGGAGTACAGCCAGCAAAATTATGCCTAATTTTTTCTCCAAATAAAATTTTTATATCATTAAAAAAAAATAGAGAAAATTACTTGAAAAAATGGGATTTTAATAACACATAATAAATTAAAATTATGTGTCTCCTTGTGATATGCTGCTATCTACGGTTTAAAAAGAAAAGTTCAAAGTATATTATAAAGGCATTTTTATCTATTTCAATTGAATTTAAAGGTTTCAGAAGCGATTCAATGTGAGTGTTCCATGTAGTGGAGCACTGAGCTACAAAGGATTAAGGAGAGCTGTATAGCTAGACACGATACATTAAAGCTATAGAGTCACACACACCAAAAAAAAAAAAAAAAATCAGGTATTTGACATAGAGAGCTTTTTTGACAGTGTTCCAGATGATGATGCTGTGATTCTACAGTAAAAGCATGGCTGTTTGGAAAGCTTGGTAAATGCCACATTTCAGATTTATAAACCTAGTTCTGAATTAGAGAGTATCCTTTCTGATTCAGTTTTTTAGCTGAGTATCTAAAAAACTGAATTCAGGTTAGAAAAGCCAAATAAATTTGAAAAATTTCTGCTTTAAAATTATAAAAATAACCATCTTTTTTGCTATGAACTTGAATATCAAAAGCCTAAATTTAAAGTAATAGTATAAGATTTTAAGAAAAGTAATACATTTCAGACATAAAACTCAACTTATTTCATAGGCATTAAACAAGAAAGCAAAACATCTGATCCGATTATGAATCTCCCCCCCCAAAAAAAAGTAATAATAAAAGCAAATTTTTCTCATTCTGATGGTTTTAACACATCAGGTTCAGCTTCTAACATTCTGAGCCAGAGCATTTTTTATTGCCTTCCAACCCCCTTTTTTTAAGATGCCAACCTTTTACTTAAAATATATAGAGAGAAAAAGAGAGATGTCTACACCAAACAGATGTTGAGCTAAAATCAGCATTTTATTGTTTTTTCTAAGATTTTTTATTGTATTTTTTGTTTCCTGCCATTTATAATGATGTTCAGTTGTGTTTCTCTATTTCATCTAGACCAGAGTTTCTGAAACTTTGTGGTGTGGGGACCTCATAAGTATTGTGCAAATCCGACACAGGCGGGAGTGAACTTATCAGTTTCTTCACTTGTACTGTAATATGCTATTGCAGTTTTGGGTCATTAACTTTAGTTTTTAAAGTAAAATTAATGTTTCTATTATAAAAAAATGCATCGAAACATTTTCATTTTTTTCTTTGTCTATATTGTCTTATCTTTATCTATTTTAAATGCATTATATAAAAATATTTGGTAATTGTAAAATTATTATAATAAGTTAAAGAAATATCAAAATTGCTAAAATTTTTAGTGACCCCCTAATGCAGGTTGGAGTCGCTACCCACAGTTTAAGAAACTCTTATCTAGATGGTTTATATTTATTTCATTTTTTCTACTTCTAAGATTGAGAAATGTCTCTAAAAAGGTTATACAGCTATTAAACAGAAAGAAAAAAAAAAAAAAATCTGTTTGAGAAGAAGAAACAATAAAGAAATACTCAAAGGTATCCAATTCTTTTAGTCCTAAGTCAAACAATGAGAACTATGCAGGCTCAGGAGCTTCAGCTACATATGATGGATATGTCATCTGATGCTAATCTTCATATAATCAGCTAGATATATCATCTAATGATTGTGAATTCAAATCCACTAAAAATACTGTACTTTCTGAAAATAATAACTTTGTGCATAAATTAAAAGATCAAGATCACACCTGTAATGCAGCTAAAAGTTTAGTTTTAAGTAATAATATCACACTCACAGCCAGGAATACTGAGAATATTGAAAGCAAATTTGAAAACTCAATGAAAATAAATGTCAACTACAATGATCCAGCATACTAGCCTAATAAATTATCAATAGATGAAAGTGATCACATCATTATGAGTGGACCACATTCTTTTAATAAATACTGAACTTTTCTAAGAGGTACAAGTAAATGTAGTTTCTCTTGACAGTGGTGTATAGGAAAATAAACAACAGTAAAAATTTTCTTAGAAGGTAGATTTTTTATTTATTTATTTTTTAATTTTGGGATCATCAATAAAATTTTGTCACAGAATTTTTTGCTTTCCTAGTCAGTCAAGATTTGGAAAATCTAGAATTTATAATTGGAAGCATACTCATGAATAGTTGCTTGAAAATTCAATAAGTACATTATCTATAATGTCTTAAGCAGTGGTCTCAAATAGGGATCCTGTGGGTCACATGCGATCCCAAAGCAATTTTAGGTGACCAGCCAATGCATTTGTTTTAATACAGTGCTTATAGATGTTAATATAGCATAAATTGACTGTGCAGTGGATTGCAAAATAGTGTTTATTATGAAAATAGAAAAGCCAGTAGTTATTATATTCCAACTGAATTTGAAGCTAGCGCTGGCACTCAGCCAAAATGTGTAACCCATAAAACAGCCGTCTGACAGACCCACAAAAGAAACTAAGGGGGAAAAAAGGAAATTAGTCATCACATGTCATGCAATAATGGTTTAAAATTTAATTGTGAACAATACTAGAGGCATATAGTTTATATTTATGTGCGCAATTCCTTTTGAATGTAAAGGAAACATAATGAATCGATTTACGATGTCAGTTAAATTGAAAAGTTATAGACTTTGTATGCCAAGCCACATGATTGGGCAACGGTAGGATGTTGGCACAACCAGTAAATTTATTCACCAGGCAACAGGTGGCAGAATTTTTATATTCTAGTGTGGCCTTTGTTTTCTTAATGAGTTGGTACTTTAACTAGTTAGTAAACTGCAGATACGTCTACATAATTCATATTGCTTGAGACAAAACTAATATACAGCTTGCAAAACTCGCAATTTGTGGTTGTCATTAGATGTAAGTTACAACAATACCAATCATTTGAAATTGTGCATAATATTTAAGGGTTGCTGTTATATGAGAATTCATTTTGTTGAATTGAAGTTGTAAACAAAATTATAATTGTGATTTTAATGAAGAGATTAAACTACAAAGCACATATCTTTAACAAAGGGCAAAAGAAAAGTGATAAAAGAAGCATGTGCTTTCCAAGATAAATGGAAAAATATGTGCTTTTGTAGTGCTGTGCACATTAATATTATGTTATTTTATTCATAATAAGAGAATATCATTTCCAAAAGTGTATAAGTGATACCATTATTACGAAAGGAATCATAAAGAAAAATTTGAAATTTTGGAAGATAAACTGTAGGAAGAAAAATTGTAATTTTTTTAATCTGGCATACAATAAATATTTTCCTAATGGAAATAAATCCAGTGAACTGTTCATATAAACTTTGCTATCATGCATATCAAGGCAAAAAGATCAAAACCATTTAATGATGGTAATTTAGATTCTCTTGAAGATTGTTTGATTAAATTTCTTGAATTTCTTGACAAAAAAAATTGTTATTTACAAATATTAGTTTGTCAACTGACACATTAAGAAAAGTTAGAATATTGTTTGCAGCATATGAACTCCCAAGAATATCAGAAAATTTTAACAGTAATTGAACATTTTAAATTAAATTGAACATCTTTTTGGAAGATAAAGTATATTTTATCAGCAGTAGGTTTACTATAGATGACCTTCTGTTATTTTTAAGTCTTCATAGAATTTATTCCAAAATGACATTCCACAAAAAGGAGTCGTATATTGTCTCGGTTTAGGGCGGATGAAAGTATGGAAACAATTTTTATGCAGTTTCCAGCATGCCAGCAAAAAATTATTTTTGTACTCAGAAGTTAGGTAAAATTAAAGGTGCAGTCAACAATTGATGAAAATCAATTGTACCCGAAGATTATTGGAGCAAATCTATGTTATTAAACATCATCTTGTTTTTTTTTTTTTTTTTTTTTTTTTTTTTTTTTTAAGGATTGCATCTACTAGAGAGCCATTGAAAATTGGTAGTTGTGTTTTAACTGATGACAGTGAACTACTCCCGTACTTGCTATGCTATGCATTTGCTTTGTGACCTACCTACAGACAATAACTAACCTGGTTCGGAGGAATACAGCTATCCTTTATAACAGACTTACTAGACTCCCAAATAGTATTTCTCTTTGCCGATTTCGACAGAGTACGCAATTTAAAGGCTCAGAAGAGCTTCATTCAGTGCTTCTGGGAGAATTCTGAATATAATGCAATTAACGAAAAGGCCTATGAATTGTTAACTCATACAAATCCATTGGAGTTCATGGTTCTCAATGTCAGATTGGACTCTGAATGTGAGAAAAAAATGACCTATGTACAACTGCTGTTTGTGCCATCACTTTGAAAACCATTAATACTTGCTATCCTCCTGGTGAGTGGCTTCATATTTATAGTGATGGTTCCCTTTTGTATTTCACCCAAGGCACTAGTGCTGGCATCTTCTGTGATCTGTTTTCCTTTTATGTACATGTTGGCTCTTATATAACCCATTTTGACGGTGAAGTGGAGGCCATCCTTGTACCCTTTCAATAGCTTTCTGCCCATCTCTCTCCTCTTGGTAAGGCTGTAATTTTATCGGACTCAAGTTCTGCTGTTAAGAGTCTTTATCAAGTAGTTACGTAGGTAAACAAAGTGCTCATGTCTAGAACTGCAGGAAGCTGTTGAGCAGAATTCAGATGAAAGTTGGTTTCCAGTGGGTTCCATCACATTGTGGCCTTTGGGGAAATGAGATGGCGGATCTTTTGGCAAAGAAAAGGTACAGATTTTCTGCAAAAATATTCCAGAAACCTATCTCTTCACTCTGCTAAACTTGAAATTAATAGGATTTATAAAAAATCCTTTTGTAATGCTGCTGTTATTGCTACTGAAAATAAGTCATGTAGGGTGCTGTTGAAAGCCAACTGTGTCTCAGACTCTCCTCATGCTACTGCTGTGGTTGAGTTTAGACTATTGACTGGACATGACTGCCTTGGTACTTGTTTGTTTCATTTTAATCTGACTGCCTCACCTGTATGTGCTTTGTGCGATTCTGCACAAGTCATGGACGCTGCTTATCTGGATGTGTGCTCTGCACTTAAGAGTTTGGACTGTATTGTAAAGAAGTATTGGAGAGCTCGTTGCCTAATGACCTGATGGTCAATGGCCAGGCATTTGATGAATAAAATAACAAATGAAACTGCATATAGCAGATATATCATACACTTCTGTTTTTCAATATTTAAAATTAATGTTTTGCTCATATAAATTATATTTATCTTGTCTTTCTATGTTTTCCTATTTAATTAGTAATTGGCTTATCTCATTTTGTTAATTTATCACTTTTGTTTTTTGCACACTTTACTTGTTTTTGCAACTCTGAAATTAAAGAGGTAAAATAAAAATTCCATGTACAGGCTTAATGAGTTGTCATAGATTTCTCTAAATTCCTTTTGTTATGCGACTTCAAAAATATTTGAGACTTATTAAAAGACTATCAATTTTATTTGCAATTAGATTTCATTAAAGTAATATGTTATTGTGCTATTGCTATGACTGTTATTTGATACTCAAAATATCATAATTTTTTTAAGAAACTTAGAGGAGCCTAATATCTGTATTTAATTATTAATTTTGTTTTGAGATTTTGGTTTTCCTTTCTTTTAGATGTCTGAAATTTTTGAAAGAAAATCAAAGCTTTCTCTACTAAATTTTCGTGAAGGACTTCTAGTAAGTATGGCATAATTTAACGTATGCATGTAATTCTTTTGCTGAAATGAATGTAAGATATGTATTTTCTTAAAAACAGTAGCCTATACAGATGGAGGACAAAATAATATGAATACCTGTGAAATAATGGAAAATCTTTGTTAATAGGGGGTTGGACCTCTCTTTGACTGAAGTACAGATTGAATGCGATGTGGAATAGATGCATAAAGGTCATGGACAATATTTAAAGGAATATTAAGCCATTCCTCCTGCAGAATGGTCTCTAATTACAGTCCAGATGGAGGTGGAAATCGGGAATGAAGTTTGGACTCCGAATATGCCAATAATTGTTCAATAATATTCAAGTCCGGAGACTGAGGGAGCCAAGCAAGATGTTCAGTTGCATCGTCATGCTCTTTGAACCATTCTTGAATACACCTAGCAGTGTGGAAAGGGTCTTGTCGTCTTGAAAAAGCTGTCGCTCCCCAGGGAATACAGTCTGAACAAAATCTGGATGGACAGGATCCCTTAGAATGCTAAGATATGATTGGATGTGATCGTCCCATGCAGAATAACAAGTGGCCCAAGACCGCGCCAAGATATCGCACCCCATACCATAATGTTGCCACCCCCATGCTTCACAGTCAGCAAGAGGCAGTCAGGATGAAACGCTTCTATGGGCGTTCTCCAGACATAAATGTGTCCGGTCATTCATCTGACCATATTACCTGTGACACTGATGTGGGAGCCAGCCTTTGTGATCTCTGCACCATTGGTATCGCTTGAAAGCATTAGTTGATGTCACCAAGGGTTTACGAATTGCCACTCTGCCATAAATGTTCGCAGCATGAAGTTCCCTTTTGCAGTTTTTGTTGAAACAGGATCCTGGAGATGACTGTTCAGTTTGTATGTTATCTCGGATAACCATTGCTTGTGCTTTCAGGCTACTATGCGCTTCAAGACCCGTCTATCCCTATCAGTTAGCTTTGACTTTTGGCCACTGTTGTGCTTTGAAGACGTTGTCTTACCCTCTTTTGTATACACAGTCATAACGGCTGATACCATACTCCTTGCACACCCCACAAGATTTGCTATGTCCATAACTGATGCTCCACTTAAATGCGCTCCAACTATCATTCCTCTTTGGAACTCTGACAGGTCTGACATTTTAACTTCTCACAGACAGTTCGATCGAAGCATGCAACGCAGGTGACTGCTGTTGAGAGACTGATACCTTCCTTTTCACTCTCACTAGGTGGCAGAATTCTGTTGCAGGTGCCGTGGCTGTACTGCAGGTATGAAATATGTCATACTTTTTCACAGTTGTTCGAATTATTTTGTCCTCCATCTGTGTCAAATACAGTTATTAGTCACTAAAAATGAGGATGTCAATTTGTATCATTTAGTTTTGATCCAAATATGCAGCAGATTAATCCAGGAATTTATATTCTAGTCAAAGGCTTCCATGTATATTTTCACAATCTAAATCACTGATAAAGGATTTTATTAGGAAGTATCACAAATTTCTCTTTTGGGTATATTGTATTACATAGCTGAATCATTTATGAATTATCTGAAAGTGTATTTCATAGAAAGTAAAACAAATTTAGGTTCGTTAATGTAATGATCATTTTTGTAGCAGATACAGACAAGTATGTGAACGGATTTTGTTCTCAAACAACATGACATACTATAATCTACAGAAGCTTAATTCTCTATAAAAATATAGATGTCGGACATATTACAGAAATTGCTTGAAAATACATCTAATTTCAACTAAATACAATTAGTTAGCTATGAATGTATAATAAAATGGCTTAGAAAACATAATATGCACTATATAGCTAAAAATTGTGAAACAACCTTATTATTAATAAAGGTTTGCTCCCTTTTGCTCTTACTACATCCTTTAGAGTAACTCATCACTGAATTTTTGTAAAGTGCTGTTGGAAATGTTTTCCATTTCTTATGGATCATGGCTAACTAATCAGAAGCTGTAATTGGTCAGATATTTTTGAAGCATGGAAAAATCTTTTTTTTTTTTTTTTTTTTTTTTTTTTTTTTTTTTGTGGTCATGATGAGGACTTTGTATTAATCATTTGTTGAAACTTATCGTACAAGTAACATCTGACAAGTCTGTGAATTTTTATCATGATAAGGAACACAGGATTGTGTCTGTCATTGACATGAACATGAGCAACTTATAGGACAGTATAACTTTGCTCGATTCCATCCCGACTTTGAAGGAAAATTTCCAAATAGACGGGTCCTAGGGTGTCCCGCTTCACTTCCTGTACCACAAAACCTCTCAAAAGGGCTCACCACGTATTGTGCGGCGCTGCTTCAAATACACTATACACTTACTAGCATCCAAGCCTTCTCTGGAATTCAAACCTGGACCCAATGATACTGCAGCCAGCAGTGCTAACTACTATATTGACTAGATTGGCAAATTAATCATTTAACTTATATGCCTGCAAAACATGCAAATTCAGATTTACTGTATAAATTAATAGGAAATAAGACACGCTTTATTCAAAAGTATTGGCACAATGTAGAAAGCACTATGGTAATAGTTTATATCACTTTTTATTATCAATATTCTAAAAGCACTGTGGTAATAGTTTTTGGCCGCTTTTGACGATTCTAAAAGCACTGTGATAATAGCTTTTGTCACTTCTGACTATTTTATAGTTTCGTGTACACCAGAATTTCAAAAAGATATCAGACTGTTTGACCCTGAGACTAAAATTAAAGGTCCCAGTCAGGAATGAAACAGCTTCAGATTTTAATGTTCCTGCCTTTAGTTTCATTGTCACTCCAAAACATTCTATTCCTTGCATAATGGTTTGTTCCAACATCCCTGTTAGAATGTCAGTTAATCACTTTATAGGATTCCTTTGTCAATCAACCTTCATTAGTCCTGTTCATTGTTATATGCATTATTATACACAGTATGAAGAATTGGCAAGTTTTATCACTGGTATTTGAGCAGTCAAAAAGAAAGTAGTGCTATTACTGGTTTTCATTCCTTATCTGTGATAGCATTTACCATATTTCCTAAGTTCTTTGAGTGTTTTGGAAAGTAATGGGTCTTGCATTTTCCTTCTTCTGATTTTTTTTAACTAGCTTTTTGGTTTATAAAATTGATTTCTTGCTTCCTTGCCAGTTTATAGATAATATTTCTCACCAAAAAATCATGGAACTTTAAAGAGATATTTTGCTACTCAAGTAATTTCAGCTTTCAGTTAGTCTCAGCTGTTTCCATTTAGTTATTGTAGCATGTCTGTGATGATTATGCATTGCTGTCTTGACTGTTATAGCAGTGAATAACTGTCACTACATTTTATGAAAAAGTCTGCTTGAAGCTAAGAGATTTAGCTCATAAGATATTTCTGCTATCCTGAAAACTGCTGCTGATTAAGATAGAATTAAATATTTCTTTATTAAGCTTCTTTTTATTTTCTATTTTTTTTCTATTTCATTATTTGATTTCTAAATTATAGTGGCTAAGAATGATAGGACTGTATTCTTCTGTGGATGCACATGTATTTTAACATATCTAGTGTTTTTAACTTAGGTTGATCGCTAGTACAGTCATACATATATATGCATACATACACTGTAGCAAGAGTTATGCATTAATGCTGCTGATTTCAGTAGTCATCATATAAAATTGGGTAGGAAAGAGATGAAAATCACACAAGATTTCGTAACAGGCTGGATCGTTTGCCCACACCTGCTGTAACATTTCAAGTGTTTCATTATGGCTATTTGCCAGTTTCACAAAATTCAGTCGCATCGCTGCCATATAATCATGGAAATATTTTTCTCATATGACATGACAAAACTTAGCAAACACTATATACATGGCTGTCCAACTTCAGGTTTAAGCTCATAATCTTCACAAAACCTAAAAACAGGATTGCCACTGCTAATTTTTGGGAAGAAAGCAATTTGAAATGTCTTTCAATTAGTCTTGCATTAAAGTTTGTATATGCAAAATTTCATTTATTGATGAAAAAGTGCATATTTTGGATTTTAACTGTCAAACGTATGTGTGTTTTTAATTTTTTAATGAGTATATTTCTATTCCGTTATTTACTGTCAGTTGCTTGCAGGGTCATAATTAGAGACTTGGGGGTTCAGGGCAACAGATGATAATGGGACCCAGTCTTTATGCTTTGTCCCAAACTTAACTTTTTTCCTAGTTATGGTTGATCATTTTAATAATAATTAAGATAGCTTGATACTCTTTAACTGAATGAAAATATTTTTGATAATGTCTCATTCATGTATTCTATCATATGTATGTTATTTCTGAATGCTGTTAAGTCCTATTATGTCAAAAAGAATATGATAGCTGAAGCTATTTGACATCATACACACCATAATATTAAACATATACAATATAATTAAGTTAAAATGTTTACTAGCAAATTATTCAGTACACTTTATTTTTATGCTTGAATAACAAAATCTCTATTGTCTAACTGCTAAGAAAGCCAACTAATTCATTATTTTTATTAAGTAGTTTTTTTTAGTCTCAGGTATTTTCAAATGAGAGCCAAATTGATTGTGATCTTTCCTGTCCCATTCTGCTACACAAATAGTTATTATTATTATTCTTGCTTCTCCATTTCTTCTTGTTCCCCCCTTTTTTTTATTTTACTTTTAGTTTTAAGACTGATTGTTCAACCATTAACTACGTAATACATGCTGTGCATGTAAAATTGTAGTAACTAATCAGAAGTAAAACTGATTGATTATGTAACATGAGTAAAATTGAAACGCTATTTATTATCAGCAATCCTGAACATAGAAAAGCTGTCTGGTTGATCTTGCTTGTAGTCATATGTTTTTCTCAAAGATTAAGCGATGCATGTCTAAGTACATGCCATATTAAGGCGAAACCACGAATGGCTCATTAAATCAGTTATGGTTCCTTGGATGGTACCTTACTACTTGGATAACTGTGGCAATTCTAGAGCTAATACATGCAGCAGAGTTCCGACCCTCTGGGGATGAGCGCTTTTATTAGAACAAAAGAACCGGGCCTCATTTCCATATCATGTGGTGTAATAGTACAAAATGCATTCTGTGCATGCATCAGCGTCAGTTACTATGCAAACCTGGGGCACCATGGTAATTACAACCATTTGTCATCTGATAATTTATTAAAAGATTTCATTTGTGGTTTTTAAAAAATGGTTTAAAAAAGACTACTGTAATCTTTTTTTATTGCGCTATCCAAAAGGTTCTGTGGTTTTTTTTATGATAAATACAAATAAAAGCAGTACAAAATGACATAAGCAAATTTCATTGGAGTATATAAACACTGTTTTCTACTATGATTTTGGCCATGTCCCTGCCAGATGAAAAATTCCTCTTTTAAGAAAGATGTTAGGTTTTTGTTTGTGAAAAAGTTATCGAGGTGCTGTTTGATGCTCTTCAAAAAAGTTAACTCTAGGCCATTCAGAGAATTTTGAAATGACTTGAAGCGACGAAAATTTGACCAAACAAGTTCAAATGAATGTGAGAGGTGATACAAAACATCTGAACTGTACTGAGTAAGTTTTCGTCTCTTCATTGATGTGTGGTCAAGCATTGTCATGTTGAATGAGAGGACCTAAAAAATCTCAAAAATAGATGAATTTCAAGTGCTTTGCTTCAATTTCTTCGTTTGAAATGACCATTTAGGAAGAATATGTTTTTCAAATTTATTGTCTAATTTGGTGGCAACAATTCTTAGCTATTCCTGTATAGTCTCGTCATACGCTAAGGGCATACACATTACTTTCTTGGGATGCAACCCAATCTTGATGGTACTGAAGTACTGAACCCATATTTTGTAGCAGCTTACATACCAGATCTTCTTTACATAATCGTGCACAGCACTTTTTAGAATATTTAGACTGTGTGATAGTTCCTGAGTTGTATAACGTGGATTTTCAGTGATAGCTCCTTATAATAGGCCCTTGTTTACACTGGATGATCATCCAGAGCGGATATCATCAAATTGAAGTTTCCGAGTCTTTACTTCCCAAACTCCCTTTAAACTTTGTCATCAGAAACTGCATTTTGTACATATATAGCTCTACAAGCTGTCAGACTAGCATTTTTCCCTTTTTTAAAATAAAAGAGCATAACATGAAGAAAATTAACTTTTGGGTTCTTCATACATAGTACTACACTGGGGAGAAAAATGACACAACAATACGTACAATAATTAAGCAGCATGAACAGAAAAGGTGATATTTAAATATCTGCTTCAATCAATATTACTTCTTATCAGCAATAATAAAATAGTTAGAAGAAAATCCTCTTTGATTTGAAAACTCGCAAAACTTTCTGCATGACTCCATTATATATATATATATATGTTATTATTTTTTTTATTTCTATAGCCTATTGAACATCACATAGAACGCCTGTTCGAAACATCAAGGATTAATGTGCAGCCTGATTTGCCTGAAAATAGAAGAAGCAATAGCATGCCTGATTCTCATAAATTATTATGCATTGATTCTAAAGCTGTTGAGAGAAATGATGCTTATGCTGTTGTTAATTTTCTCTTCAAACTAGCATGTCTTGTAAGTTAAGCATGTAATTGCATCTTTTTTATACATTAATATTATTTGTATTAATTGTTATGCAGATTTATTCCAATTTTACTTCTCTACTCACGATTATTTTATGAATAACGCACTACTGATCACTGAAATCTCTGGATTTTGAAAATTGTTCACATGGTGTATTGTTGTTTAATTACTTGATATTATTCTGAACTGTGAATGTCACTATGAAATTTTTGAGATACACATATTTTTTTTTTTAAAGTTATGAAATTTTAGTAATGTTCAGTAGTCTCTTCCATAATCAGCACACTTCTGTAGGCGAATTTTCCAAAGATTAAATGCCTTAAGCCATTCATTTCATGATTTCGATGAAAAGAGCATTTATACCCTCATTAATCTCATCTTCAGAATGAAAAAAATGTTCATGTAAGTTCTATTTTAGATTGAAAAATAACCAAATGTCACATATAGCTAGATCATGTGAATAGGGTGGATGTTCTGTTACTATGATGTGTTTTTGTTCAAGGAACTCAACTGTCAATCTTGCTGAATGAGAAGCATTGTCATGGTGGAGCATGAGTCCTCTAACATTCACTTTTTGAAAAATTTCTGGAAGACTTTTAGTGATGTACCAGTTAGTTGTAGTTATCTTCTATCCTTCCAGCTCAGTGACTTTGACTAGTCCTGTACTTCTGAATGGCATACATTACTTTTTCCATGGTACGTTGTCTTTTCACCGTCATGGGCATGGGATCATCTTCAAAGACCCATGCTTTACTTTCTTGACATGTTAGAATGCCAAAAAATGGAATCTATGTTTTATCACCAGTTACAATTTTAATAATATGATGGCTACCATCTTTAAGTAATTTAAAGTTTTTTTTTTTACTGATTCTGACATGCTCCTCTTTTTGGTGCTCAGTTAAATTATGAGGAACCCAATGGCAAACTAGTTTTTTCAGTTCATGAATATTTTTATGTGTGGCAGCGGTTCCAATGTTAAGTTCCTTATATATCAATTGATTGGTGCAGCTGTTGTCATGAATTAAGATTTTCTGCCTGGCAGACATATTATCCGGGATTACTGCCAACAACAACTTTCCTGTATGTTCTTCATCCTAAGAGAGTTGCAACCTCTGTGAAATTTTGTAGAACATCTGAGTACAATAGCACAAAATGGACCTTCATTTCCAAATGCTAATTGTAGATGTTGAATGCAGTTTCCTTAATTTAGTTCCACTTTAAAATCATAGCAGGATAATACTCTCCCATGAACTCCATTTTTCCATCTGACTAAAATTTATTCTATGCTTAACTACTTCCATTTCTCCAATAGCAAATTGTTTACTGAGCTAAAATAATTCATATTTTGAAATCTATGCATTAATTTTAGTGCCACTTATTGTCTGTGCTTATCTCAAAAATTTCAAAGCACCTACATATATATATTATTTATTTAACATAACAGAAACATATTCTTTAAAGTTTAATTTCGAATGGCAAACCTTTTTGATGCTTTATTAACACTTAATTTTAAGCAAATGCACCCACATGTGGATAAATGGTTACATATTGTTTGTAATGGTAATTGATCAGTCAGGATTTTTTTTTTTTTTTTTTTCCAAATTATGTATTGATGTTAAAGATGTCTGTGAGCTGGAACAAAAGTTTTAAAAATGAGATTCGAGATGACATTGGTGACATTTTTACAAATTACAAACTTGTATGTCTTGAACATTTATTGTTCTATTTAATTTGAAGTAAGTCAATAACCCTATCAATTGATATCAAAGATTAAATTTAGGTATTTGCTGAAATAACATTTTCCAAATTATCCCCTTTATCTTTTGTCATTGTATCAGATCAAGTATTATCTATTACTAGTAATAGATAATACTTGATATGTGATATAACATCTTGTTTAATAGAACAGTTTTGCACAACTTTATTTACTACTAAGCAAAACAGAATTTCCATGTGGTTGATGTGTGATATGTACTAATGACACATATGATTATTATATAATATTAAAAAAAACGCTTGTAAAGTCTTCCATCAGAGAGATATTTATCAAGTTCTCTGCCATAATAAATTAATCTGAAAAGCAAAGACACCATCAGTGGTGTGTATATGAAAGCTATCATCTATTTTTGAGGGCTGCATTTGATGAATTAGACTTGTCATGCCTCCCTTTTGCCAGAAAACAAGATGATGAGTCTTAACTTATGAGAAGATCTGAATCAATGTTTGCAAGTTTAAATATTTATGTCTAGTTTATATAATCAGGTTTAAAGAAGAAGGGAAAAAAAAAAAAAAAAAAAAAGGCAATCTTAGATTGCCATAGATTTTGTGTAAAATTGCCTTGATTTTGAGGGTCCAATAAAGATTGAAATTCTATGATAATTAGTTCAGTCTTGAACAAAGATATATGTGGAAAATGCATTAAATATAAATTTGACATTAAATAAAAAAAATGAATCTTGTAGATGTAGAAAGAACTTGTAGATGCGTTGTTAAAAATGGCATTTGCTAAATTTTGTATCTCTGTATCTTTTTTTTACCTTTGTGCTGTTCTGTTGCACACCCATATACATATGGAGAAATTCTTTCATATATTATAAATTTCACAAGTGTTTTATTAACTATCACCTTTCTTGATTTTTTAGTTGTAATGACCTGTAATGTATGCATGTAAAATGAATGTTTAACAGTTGTATATTGTGACACTTATAAGCAATTAATTTTTGTGAATGCTGACTGATAATGGTAGGGAACTTCTTAATTTTTTATAATTCAGTTTTGTCCCTTTTTTACTTCCTTGTACGAAGTAAAGGAAGTATTGTATTGTAATCACAAAAAATTTTGGTTATTATATTTCAATGAAAATACCCATTTTAACTGCTCTTGAATAACTTTACTGCTTTCACTTAACTTTAACTACTCTATTTGATTTTTCTTTTTTTTTGGGGGGGGGTAGACATCTATATGTATAGACAGAATATAAAGGTCTCTTTTTTACAAAACAGGTCGTAAAATAGATTTAAAATCTCTTCTGAATCCATTTTAAATGCATTCTATGTATTTTGTGCAATCAAAAAGGAATAGCCCTAGAAACGTTGAAATTTTATATACCATCAGCCATAATGACTATCGAAAGCAAAAAGTACCAGTGTCTTCTCCACAATTAAAATATTGCATATATATATATGTATATTATATCTTAAGTTCTATTAAACATCTTGTTCAATAGAATAGTTTTGCGTGTTGATAAATGTTGCTAGCTCAGAAACTGACTTTAAGTGTAAATAAAGCCTGCTATTATTGCACTTTGCATATATTTTCTTTCTAACAAAGTCTTTGTATTCAGGTCGATGAAAGTAATATAGATGGGTCTGAGGAAGAAATCCTTGCTAAACGTTGTGTGTCACTTCTAAAAGCTGTTCTAGCTCATGAAATATGGCCATTTCCTGGACTAAATCTTGGTAGCTGGTTTGAGAATCTTTTGCTTGATGTGAAGGTTCGTTCTGCCCTTTTCCATCTTATATTCATATTGTATTTATTTTTTATGCTGAATGTTAGTTATTATAAAACAGTTAATAATTTTTAAGGCAATGTGACATTTAATAAAGGTAATGAAATGTTTTCTGATTAGTTTACATTTGGTCTTAATGATAAAATATAAATTTATCTGTCATAAAAACACATTTTTAAAAAATAAATCTATTTTGACTTAAAACATTTTAAAATATGAAAAATCATAAATTTCTTCTAATGCAAAATTACTTGCAAATCAAATCTCATCATTGAATGCATTTCTTTAATTTACAGATACAATTATCTTGAATTCATAGTTTAAAAAACTAATTAAAATGATTTTGACTGAAGTTATAAAAGACCCTTAAAACATTTGGGAAAATTTTCTTATGTAATAAAGTATGATGGATTTTTTAATAATGTGTAAATTATTTATAATTTAACTGCTTTTAATAATTTATATGTTTAAACAGTTTAAATCATCATGTATTTTAAATCATATGCATTAGTATGTATTGATATAAAGTATACATTAAATTAGTATCTTGTAAAATTTATAATTTTCTGGAGAAATGAAATATAAATATGTTACGATAAAATCCTGTTTAATTAAAACAATAGAGAAAAATAGCATTGAAATAGGTAGTTTAAAAGCTAAAGAGTTTTTTCAAGTATTTCTTTAAAATCAATTTTTTTATTCTTTAGAGGAAAATAGGTATTTTAAAATTAAAATAAATGTATTCAGTTTTCTCAGTATAATCTATGAAGAAATAATTTGTAAAATCTTTGTCCATTGTATATTTTTCATTTGTACTGTTCATTAAATATGATGTAGCATTTCATAAGCTACTCAGCTCAAAAGTTTAAGTATTATAGATTGCAAATGCATTATAATAGATACTTTAGCTTAGTAATACCATAGGCCATTTTCCCCCTACCTTCCTTTAGCTGCTGATTACAATTTTCATAGATTATGTAATAAAGGCTTATCCCTAATCACTTTAAATAAATGAGTTTCTATTCATTTATCCGAATAGTTTGAGGCTAAGCAATTCTGAATAAACTTCTTTTAAAAAAATGCTAATGCATACACTTTCCGATGAATTAGAAACCAAAGATCAATATTTTATTGGACCACCTTTGGCACGGATAACTGCTCTTATTAGTTTGGGCATCGAGTCTGCATACTTCTGGAGTGCATTTATGTCCAGAGCATACCATGCATTGGCTATGCAGTTTTTTAGATCTTGTAAACTAAATGGAAGAGGGGAGTGCTGTCGAATGTGTCTTTCCACCTTATCCCACACATTTTCTATGGGGTTAAAATCTGCATAATGTAATGGTCAGAGAAGGTGTTGGAAGTCAGATTCATGTTCAGCGAATCTATTTTGAACACTTCTGGTACAATGTATAGCTGCATTATCATCCATGAAGTATCCGTCACCATCAGGGTAAAAATATAACATTGCAGAATTGCACTTGATCTGTCAGTTTATCTAGGTATATCATGGCTATTTGTTTACCTTCGAGGAACACCAGGGTACCATGCCAGCAGAACATGCCCCATATCATGATACTCCCACCAGACCCTTGCACAGTGTGAGTAAGGCAAGATGGATTCATGACTTCATGGGGTCCTCGCCAAATTCAGCATCTTCCATCAGTGCAAAATAAGGTGTAGTGTGACTCATCCATCTACATTACCCATTTCCAATCCTCAGATGTCCAGTGTCTTCTTTTCCGACATCACTGCAAACGAATTCTTGCATGTCAGACAGAAATGAGTGTTTTTCTCACAGGCACCCGACTATACATTCCTATCCCCTGCAATTCTCTGTGCATTGTTCCAGCTGAAATCTGTTGGGAAGAGCCTTGGTTGACGATCTGTGTCAGCTGAAGCACATTAGAGTCCCTGTTCTGCCGTACAATTTGTTGGAGACACCGCCGATCACTGTCTTGGAAAACTGTGCTCGAATCGCAGTTATGTCTTCTAGAGAAGGACTGTGGGTTCTGATTCCAACTCTTGAAAACCTCTGATGTGGCTGCTTTTAAGAATCTAGTAAAATTTGCTGTCTTCAAAATTGACGCCTCTGCTAAATGGGCACCAACAATATGACCTTTTTCAAATGATGAAAAATTTGTCGCTTTTCCCATTTTACTTCATTCGCCGTGAAAAACACTCTTACACCTTACTTATACTAGCATTTTAACCACGTGTAACCCATGTCATAAAAAAAATTGCATACTTCATCCCTAGCATGCATTCTAATGAAAATCCCAAAGGTTTCTAATTCATTGGCCAGTATGTGTAATATTCGTACAGTTGAAGCTCACCTACCTGGAAAGGTCTGGATCTCATATACATAAAAATTTAAGATAGTTGTGTAGGGTTTTTCTTATTTTGCTTAACAAATTTATTTTAAGTTTATACCTTTTTCTAAATTTCTCAACTTCTCCTCACATTCTCTCGCCAGGATGTAAATTAAAGTTAATTGAAGTGCTTATTTAAACGGCTGAATCTCTGAGTTTATTCAGAGCATGTTTTGCTAGCCAAGCGCATGTTTTGTTGTTGTTTCGCTGTTATGCTAGTAAGCCTTTTGGCCATATCAGACTGATCATCAATGCACGAAGATCGTGACTTTCTGTTAACTGTTTTGAATTAATTAAAGAGTTATTTTTCACCCTTCTTCTTGAGTCAGTAGTACCTGTGTGAGAATTTGCCAGGTTATTTTAGGATCTACTCTAGTATATGGGGAACAAGAGAGTAAGACTCTACAGTTGAACATATAAAAAGTGCAATTCACAGCACCAAATGATTGAAAGAAATTTGCAGTGTAAAATTATCAAAACAGTCATCTTATTTATAATCAACTTAAATACCAAAACCTTGCATTTAAAATTATGTAATTTTTTTTTTAAAAATAAATTATAGACATGAAAGTTAATGTATTTCATAAATCTTAACATGTGAATGTAAAGCGTTTTATCCGATTATGAAATCCCGTTGACCAGTAAATTTGGCAAAGATGGCCTAACATGCACTAGTTATTCCAGTAGAAATTTAAACAAGCAGATTATTCTTTATTTAGATAATTAACAGATTTAATTTCTAGATAAAACATGTAAAATCTTAAATCACTTATCATAATTTTTCACATTACATTTCCATTGTTTAGCCATTTCAAAAGTCGCAGATTATTCAAGTTAAAAGCACACTCTTTTAAATACCATGCAAACAAGCAATAAAAAAAAAAAAAAAAAAAAAAAAAAAAAAAAAGACACTTTATTGAAACGTTAGATAGCTTCAAGCACAATTGGAGAGAAGATAGAAGTCTGGCAGCTGACAAGAAAAATCCAGTCTTTAGAAGGGTATATGATAATCTGTGACTGTGTCACACATTTTTATCTTATATTGAGTTTTAACAAAAGTTTCCCACAATTGCTAATATCATCTGCACAAACAGTTTGTGTTAATGTGTTTAATCATATTTTGTCAAACAATTTTTGGCATTAGAAAGAGACTTGCTTTTGAATGCTGTGTTGTGAAATTTGTAAAAAAATATCATTACTAAGCTTCCAGCACGTGCACTATGCACAAAGTATACGACAAGTTCGGCTTTTTATGTACATTTTTCGCATATCATAGCTGAGCCGTCTGAATGTCATTTCTACTCCTCCTTTCAACCTTTCCCCACATCATGGAATGTATGAACAGGAAGTCATATGACTTTTTATTTATTTATTTTTTACTGGGCTTTTGCATTACATGGCAACTTCTTCATGAAAGTTACGACACGTGCGTGGTCGTGGGTGAAAATTTGGAAAATATTTTTTTCTCAAATATTTTGTAATTTTATGTTATTAATTGTTGTGCATTATTTTAATTTGTATAAATTTGACTCCGTAATTTTTATATCGGTTTTCATGGCAAAAAACATATGTGCAAACAGCTGATTTTGCTCGCATTCTTCAAGAATTATCTGATGAAGGGAGAAAAGACAAGAAAACCTTTGGATGTGAGAATAATAGCGATTTGAGTGAGGAACATATAGAGAAAAATAGTATCAGCAGTAAATCTGAACAGTATATTTTGAATGATGATAGTAATAATGATATAGAAAAAAGGAATGAGGATGGTATATTCTATGTTAGTAAGGATAAATCTTCTGAGTGGTAAAAACAGAAGTATGCAGGCTGCTCAAAAATGAACAAGATGAATATTATGAATGTTAACCTTCATATCCTTGGCATGTTAACACCATGCCAAGGATATGAAGGATGAAATAGGAACATTTTTTAAAATAGTTGATATAAATATGCTTGATGAAATTTTGGAATATATAAGTAAATATTATAAGTTTGCTAAAAGACAAAATAATCAAGAGACAGAGATTGTTATATATGATAGAAATAAAAAAAGGATACTATGTAAATGCAAAAGAATTGTTCTCAAGTGATGGCAAAATAACAAGAGCTGTGATGAGCTATGATATTTTTATTTCTGGATTTATAGATTTATTTCGATGATAAATCAACAGGACAGGACAGATGAATATTAAAACTAGCTTGGTTTTTAAAATAAGTTACTAAATAATAAATTTCTTAATTTATATGATCAAGTACATCATTGCTTTTCTGCCTGACTAATATAAGTTTTTAAAAATAATTTACTGTCATTTGAATGGGAAATCATTTGTATTTTGCAATAATAAAATTAATATTGTATGTTTTAACAAATTCGTTATCAATATTCACTCATTTCTGTCATTTTTCATGCCAAAAACGGTATAATAACAGATGTAAAAAATACGACGCGTACGTGCTCGTGTAAAATTGCCAAGCGCACATGCTGGAAGGTTAAGTATAAGGTGTCTGAGATGAAACTATCATGCTACCAGATTAGAACCATCATTTAGTTCCAGTTCTGTTGCAAAACGTCAGCTACAGAATGTCATTAAATCATTTGTAGAGCTTTAGGTACTAATGTTGTATCATATGACACTGTGAAGGTTTGAAACAGAAAGTTCAAAAACAAGGACTATGACATTCAAAAGTAGAGCACTTTGGCCAGTGTACTGCAAGAACTTGTGGAAGAAAATCAGTATGCAACCACGTGAGAGCTTGCTAAGGAGTTATACATTAGTGCCATGTCCATTAGCTGCGCTATGCATCGCATAAACTTACGTAAAAGTTCAACTGCTGGGTGACACAGCAGATAAATGCAGACATGTTTGTGCCTGCACTAATCTTCTCGAATATCAATTGCAAGAACAAAATTCTGGACCGGATCATCACTTGTGATGAAAAGTGGATTTACTTCAATAATGCAGGCCGAAAAGGGGTTTATCTACACCCGGTAAAAGTGGTTTATCTACACCCGGTAGCATCGCAAAGCGCAATTTGACTAACAAAAAGATCATGCTTTACATCTGGTGGGATTCTACAAAGAGTATCTGGAAAAAAGGTAAAACCCTCTACAGTGAGTTTGTACAGCCAGATGCTAGTCTGTGTTGATGCTGCTATCAAGGAAAAATGTCAAACTGAGTTCCAGCACAAAAAGTTAATGTTCTATCAAGATAATGCAAGACCACGTGTGTCTGCATTCATCAGCTGGACTCTTTTGTCGCACCTACCATATAGCTTCAACATCACTCCTTTGTACTTCTACCTTTTTTCACAGCTGCAGCTACGTGTTGCTGTTGCTAGCTTTGGAACTACTCTGATATGCGCCCTCAAGTTGCCAAATTTCTTGCCAAACATTTCTGGCGAGAAACTTCATGCTGCTATATTACTATCTAAATATTTTGTCTATATTTCGAACTTTAAGCCTAAAATGTCCCAAAGACACGGTTTTCTCACATGCAAAAACTACGCTTTGAACACACGATTTAAGCTAAAAATCTGATACAAAAACAAAAAATTAGATAGCAAAAATGTAAAGTTTCTAACCAAAAATATTTGACAAAAATCCATGTACACAGCATCCTGTTTAAACTTAAAAAGAATCTACGAATTGCACTATTGAGGCAAGAAACGAATCTACGAACTACGCACACCTCGCTGTAATAAATTAACATGACAATAAATTTCAAAGAATACCATGTACACAGCATCCTGTTTAAACTTAAAACATCTACAAATTGCACAATTTAGGCAACGAACAAATCTACGAACTACACACACCTCGCTTTAATAAATTAACATAACAACAATAAATTTCAAAGAATACCATGTACACAGCATCCTGTTTCAAAAACAACAATAACAACAGAAATTCATACTAAATAACCAATGAACATAACATTCTACAAAATAAGAATAAGGATAAAATAAAATGCACTTACCATGAATTAATGCGTTTTCGAATAGCAGAAATATAAATTTCATACCGCCTTTAACATGCCGCCACGAATCACTTCGTATTTACATGACAGCCAGACACACTATCCAGAAAATTTATACTATGGTTCACAATTAAATAAAATCACAAATCCCTACTTCTATCATGCACTGCCATTAAAAATAATCTCCCAGACCTTCTTTCCACACCTCTAAATACCCACTACCCCTCAACATGATGGCCACAATGATATTTCCTTTTGCCGAACTTCAATTCAACAACGTCTACTATTTTTATCTTTCCCTCCCATCTTCTCAGACACAGACGTGAATCAACGAGCTCCAGCGAAAGAATGTTCAACGTCAACAGTAACCATAGAACACGCAATCTTGCCAAAAACCAGCGCAGAACACATATCGCCACATTTGGTGAAATTAGGGCGTATATCAGAGTTGTACCCTAGCTTTCATTCTGCATAGGACGTCCAAGTATATTTCTTTCCCTAATTTATTGGCCTTTTTTGTTGTACTGGAATGCCATACTTTTATGCTGTAAAATTATAATCAATTCTTGATCAAACTCTGTCTAAAAGTAAGATTATATTTGTGTATTGTAGAATACTGGAAAAATTACTGTCATAAATCATCAGAATAAACTGTCTGTATAAAATACAAAAAGGAAAAGAAAAATATTTGGAATAACAATACTATTAACAGATAATGTCACAGTATTTGTAAGTTGTTTTTACACATAACTATAATTAATTTAATTGTACATAATCCAGGATAATATAAAGACTGCTAATTCATTAATAAATGTTAATCAGTCATAAAAATAATTGAAGTGCAATCTTCACATTTATTCCTATTAATATACAAGAGTTAACATAAACAGAAATATTAGTTTGTAATGTATTCCTTTTATTTTGAATTTGGTTTAATTTACTAGACCAGATGAAATTTTATTCTCCATATTAAATTGCCTGAAAATACACAAGTAGATTATTAATAGGATTTTTCTCTTAATCATAATTGGGTTATTCCTTTTTTTTTTTTTTTTTTTTAATTGTCCTTGTATTAATCCTGATTTAGATTGCTAAAAATGTTGTCTGCAGTATTGCATTGGTTAATCAAAATTTGATTTTACTTTAAATTCAGGCTGATTTGGGCTTTTAATATTGCTGTTTTGAACTTGTTTCAGAGTTTACTTCTGTTTTGTTTTCTTTTTGATATTTTTGTTTATGCTGTTTCTAGTAGATTTTAAAAAAATTTTCATCTTTTTTTTTTTTTTTTTTTTTTTTTTTAATATTGGGAAATAACATGTTTCGGCAAGTCCTGCTCATAACAGTGCTTTAAGTGCATCAGTGAAATAAGCTGAAATATTATTACTAATGTGTACATTACTTGCAGCAAACATTTTTTAATTTAAAAAGTGCCTTTTTTTATTTAATCTGAATTATTAAAGGGAACCGCTGGTATTTTCTATAAATAATTCAATAAGGCATATATTAAGCTGAAATACTAACTCTGTTTCCTTTAATCTTGCTTTTAATGAAATAGTTCTTGAAAATTTGTAACTTTTGTTTGCATTATTTCTTTTATAGACCACAGCCATGTATAAAGGCATCTGTACTGGATTAGATTTGTTAACTTTTCTTCTTTCAACTTTAAGTGCTGAAATTATTTTACCAATACTGAGTCCTCTTCAGAAAGGAATTGTGGCCTTGTTATTTTGTACTAATAGAAAAGTGAGTAAATGTATGAGTATTTTGTTTTAAATTATATCATCTGCTGTTTTTGATAATGTGCAATTTGCAGTTTCTTATCTAAAATTCCTGGGCAATTTTTTTGTGTTCTTTTAGCTGTAAGAATCAATTGATTTCTCACTGTTTCTTGGTAATGTTACAAATTTGCCTTAAATTTAATTCTTAATTCTGCATTCAAATTGAGTTAAGCTGCCCCAAAAAAAGTTTTTTTTTTCCCTCTTGTTTTTCTATCACACATTTAAATACACTCCAGTTACTAACAGTTCTTAACAATTGTTATGGCATATTTTTAAAAATGAGATTTAATGGAAGTGCTTTCTTGGAAAAGAAATACATTTTATTAAGTGTGCCTAATAAATTAAATTTATACAAAACATCATGAGTTTTAATATCAGGTGTGTGAATTAAACTCTCAGTTGTGCTTCTGGATTTCTCTGCTGAGAATTTTTTTATTTCAGCCACAATATTGCATTCCAAATCTTTATGTTCTTTTTAAAGTCTTTTAACAACAAAATTAGATTTTAAAAAGGTTTTAAAAGTGAAGCAAAGTGCATAAAATATAAATAAAATATCATATTCATTCATTAAAATATCATCATTAATCATTAAATTAATTAAGCAACTACATTGCATTGTAGTTGCTTAATTAATTTAATGTCGGTGAGACAGTTGCATCTAATTATAGGAACATATATTTTGTTGTCCCGCTTCCACTAGCAATGATGCTGACTGCTTCAGCTGTGAGCATTGACACTAAAGACGCCAGCTTAAACAAAAAAACAAAAAAAAAACAAAAAAAAATTGTTTTTAATTGTGAACAGACTAATATTATGTGTCTGTAGGTTAATAAAAGGGATCTTTGTTAATATATGTTAGAAAAAAGCAGAAGGAGAAGTTGCAAGTAGAAATATATGTTTCAATTCCTTATTTTACCAGCAGTTCTTTTTTTCTTGTTTCTTTGTGAACTTACTTTCAGAAGAAGATATGCTTAAAAGAGTAACTGTATTTGATTATTTTTACAGTCATTTTATCTGATTTTTGCAATATCCCCCCCCTTTTTTTTTCCCTATTTTTACTATGTTGAGTGTTATGTTTGAATTTCCTTTGAGTTTTTTTTTTTTTTTTTTTTTTTTTTTTTTTTTTTTTTTGTTTTTTGTTGTTGTTGTTACTGCAACTTGAAGTACATAATTTGGGTTTTGGTTCTTTGAACTTAATTTTTTTCGTAGTTTAAGTTTTTAAGATTATTAATTTTGCAAGGTTTGCAGGTTTTAAGGCTGATTGCAAATTTACTTTATTTTGTAACTCCAAGTTCAAGTAACTGTCTTAAATATATCGAAGTTTAAGTAACTGGTTGGTTGAACTTTTAAGTTCAGCCAACTCCAAATTGTGGAGTTGGTTGCTTTGTAACTTCAAGTTAGACTGCATTGTGATGTTATTCTTATCTATTATTGGCACTAAATCATGCTGTTTGGTGATAATGTAAACCTAAAATGAGATTTGTAATGGCATTTCTAATCTCTCATTTACTAAATTTTTCAGAGAATTTTTTTTCCCCCCTAAAAATGGTTAAAATATTCCAGTTATTTGAATTCTAGATAATCAGGCTTTGACTCTATTCACATTTTTTCTTTTACTATTTCATTTTCTCTTATTTCTTTTCTTACTCAATTTATCTCCTTTTCCAAACAATTTTCTGCTTGGAAAAAAAAAAAAAAAAAGAATGCTTTTATTTTCTTATATGCATATTTTCTGTCTACAAAAACAGAAGTTCTTTTCTTGTTGCTGTTAAGGTATTCAATATTTTTTAGCCCTTTTTTTCCAGCTGAAAAGATTAGATTTCTGTTTGTATACTATTTTTTTGTATGGTAATTGCAATAATATTTTTTCACTTGATTAATAGTGTAATTTTAATGCAAGATTTCCAAAAGTAAATTTATTAGAAGTCTGTTCTTACTTCTTTTTCAAATGTAATATTAAATTTGAATTTATTTTAAAAGCATTATTTTTCTTGATTGTTTGCAAAATTTATGCTTTGCATTGAATTTAAATAAATTTCTCATTCTTAGACTTAGTTTTATTAGATTGTAGACTTCGTTTTATTACTTAAGTATTACTGAACATAGCTAAGTTTGCACCCCATTTTTAAGGGAGAAACAACTCAGGGGATGGTCCGAGGGTCTCCCAGTGCTATTCCTCTATCACAAACCTGTCAATAGGACTTTTGACACTGTGCTCCCTAGCCACACAGATATTGAATGCTTACAAATCTTCATGTCTTCTCTGTGATGTGAATCAGGCCCATTGGCCAGCGCCACTAACCACTATATTGCTGTAAAGCGGTCATTTTATACAGTGATTTTTGCAATACTTTGCCATTTCTTTTTGCATTTTTATACTTTTACTCACATTTTATTTTCTACTTATGTCGTGTGTGTTTTTCTCTTCCAATTTCAAAGTGTTTTTACTTTTTTTTTGATAACTTTTGTTCTATGAAAAACAGAAGTGTTCAGAGTTGCCAACTCTCCCGATTTAGGCGGGAGACTCCGATTTTCGACCGCTCTCCGCCAACCCCGATTTACATATATTTCTCCCGACTTTTTCTTTTTATCTTAATATTTCACTCACGAATTTTTATGGAACTTGGCTTAATACTTCGTTATATGAACAAAAAAAAAGTTATTTGGGACGTCTGAAACAACTGAATTTTCTCTAGATTATATCTAATGAAACCTTGCGAATCAGATGAGAATTTTGCTTTGTGAGTTTGCAGCATACGTATCCAGAAACTTCGTTTCTCCAGTTGTCCAGGGGCATCGAGCTTCCACTGAGCGTCATCTGGCATATATTAGCCAATGAGCACAAAGCTCAAGCGTCAAGGCGTTGGCCTTCTTTCTGGCTGTTCTTTTTTCTTTCATTCATCTTGTCCTGAGTTGTGTGAGTACACGTGTCTTTAGGAATAGTTTTAGAAATTATCGTCTTTTGATATGTCTGCGGAGAAGGTGAAAATCTCGTGCACGTTTCAAAATCGTACACAGTTGACTTTCCTTCCATTATTTCTTCAAGGAAATGTAATAAATTTGCGAGGTGTACCATCTGTGTTGCGATTTTTCGATTTCGCTTGGTGGAAGGGCAATGTTCTCAAACATGTTGCGTACCCAAAACACAAGGACAACACAGTTTGTTTTGAAAAAATGAAAAATTAATTTTTCTTCGGAAACAACAAGACCATAATGCAGAGATTTCTGTTTCTCTTGCCTTTTTACTGGGACTGAGCAATTCATCTTGCATGCATTGCCTTTCTGCTCCCGCTGCCTCTTTTTAGAAAATGTTTTCCGATAGCGAAGCTAAGCAAATAAATTGCCGGAAAAAACTTGTTAGGGTTTGAAAACTCATTGGGTGCTCTCTCAGATGGAAGCAATATTCAACTGTATCCATTGTGTTTCTTTTTTAATCCCAAGTCTTCTGAGTAGTTACTTTCTGCCCCTTCGGTGCAGGCTTTAATATAGCACAGCTATTATTAAAACTTAAAATAAAAATGCGTCCCTCTGGATTGTTTAGCGCTTGGTGTGCACCAGTATGGTGGCTTGAAGACTGGTATTGCAGGCATTTAAGAAGGCAATTCAGATTTGCAGATTATGAGGTGCACCTGTCACCTCTTAAATTTAGCAGCTGAAAGGGGGGGGGAGCTTTTTACCATTAAATGTGGATGAACCATTGTGATTTATTATTATCTTGAAGGAGTTCTAAAGAAAGGAAATTGAAAACGTTCCAAATAATACTGCTGAGCATTTTGCTTTTTTGTAATTTCTGCATTGCCGTTTTCAAAATACTGCTATAAGCGTGCTGATACAATTTCTCTCCAAATAAAAAAAAAAAAAAAAAATTGCCGAACCTTTCCGATTAGTAAGTTTCTTGTGAAGAACTTGTTTTTCTTTTTTTTTTAACAATGTTATCTTGCATGTTCTTACTAACATTTGGTTTAGGCTGTTTGATTCGCTTTTTTGGTTTCTTTTATTTTTTTGATTGCATTTTATAGTGCCTGTCCATTTGCCTTCGATGGTCTGACTTCTGTTCCTAAATGATTTGATATGTTTATTGTTTCTTGTGTGAGTTGCAATCATGATTGTTATTTTTAAAGACATTTGCTCAAAGTTTGAAAACCAGTTGATTTTTGTTTTGTCTGTGTTCTCTTATGTTTTGATTGATTATGGTCCTTTTTGCAGGAATTTTTGCCTAAGATTTCTAGGTGTTTTGGATTTTGGCTAATTACCCCTGCAAAAAGTCTTGTGGGCAACTTTCACTGTTCTGTAACTCTTGTTAGAAGTTTTTTGCCATTTTCATGTGATTTTCAGAAATAATGTGTCAGTTTCTTTTCTTTATATTTACTCATTTAGGATTTTTTTTTTCAACGGTTTTTGATCATTTTCTTTTTTTTTTTTGATGTTTTGTGATTAATTATTTTTTTTGGTGCTCTAGCAAATTTGCATCTTTTTTTTTATATATGGAGTTTTTTGAACAGATTTCCTGTAGTATTCGTTTTAGTCATGGTGTGATATTGATGTTGCTACTGATTACTGCGGTTTGGCGTTGCAATTATCTTGATTTTGGATCGTTTGTTGATGCCATTGGATTCCGACACCCAGTGGAATTTCGATTGCAGTGTAATTGGAAAATTTAATTTGTGATGAACTTTCTAAATTTTTGTTGAAATCCGACTCTACCTTTGGGTCTTCACTTTGACCTCATGGGTAGTTTCCGTTTGTAGAGTTGTTGGGGACCTTTTTGCGACGAGCTAAATGTCAGTAGCATTTTAGACTTGTATGATTAAAGTATTTTTGTATTTTTTTCCGAAGAAAAGGCCTTTTTAAATTTTCTACTTGTGCAATGTCATTGTTTTTTTTTTTTTTTGAATACCTCTTTTCAATTTTTCCACTGATTCTGGTGTTAATGTTTTTTGGTTGTCTGGTTTTTTATTGTTGCTTTAGCAATTCAAAATAATGTCTTTTACATTGTCTCTCCTGGCCGTTCTTTTGTTTTTATTTAGGTTATAAATTATCCTATTGTGTTTGCCTGTTAAATTTCTGTTTTTGGAAATAAATTGAGATTTTTTTAGTCGTTCTTTTTTTTTCAAAAGTTTTTTTTTTATTTGTTTTTTGTTGATTTTTTTTTTTATTTTTGAATGTTTCTTTCTTATGTTTGTAAGTTACTTTTGTGTTTATTCTTTAAATGACACTTGTGTTTTCAGTGTTCGCTAGGTATCTAAGTTGCGGAAACTTTAGTCTTCCCTATTTTTTTTTTTTTTTTCTTGTACCATGTAACTACTTCATCCATTTTTTTTCGTACCATTCATTGTTATTAATGATTCTGTTTTTGGTTTAGGTTCATTTTTTATTTTTAAGTGATTTAGTTTTTTTAAACTTTTTATTTATTTAAGTTAACAGTTTTTTTGTTATCGTTAGTTACAGGCTTAAGACTCTGTTTCGCATTCTTGGTGCATCTTTGGAAGAACGATAATAAAGCTCATATACTGGTAAAAAATCGATCTGCAAAAGAAGGTAGTTATGGATGGAGACAAAAATAGATGGATTGGAAAATTATGTACAGAATAAAAAATGATTAAAATTTGAGAACAATTTATTGATTTATTTCAGAGTTACATAGTTGCAAAGTAAAGAGCTCGATAATATGTTGACCCACCTCTAGCTTGCATGCAAGCTGCCATACAGTGTGGCATAGACTGATAAAGCTCCCGAATAGTCTCCTGCGGTATTTCTTGCAAACTTTGCTCCAATTGTTAGGCTAGGTCTTCAACATTCCCTGGTAGATCCAGTTGCCTTCCTACCAAATCTCAAACATGCTCAATGCAAGAGAGATTTAACTGACCAAGGAAGTGTTTGACAAGCTGTAAAACATTTCATAGCAACACGTGTGGTTTGGCATTATCTTGCTGAAAAATAAGGCCAGAGTACTACAAAAGGAATGGTAGCAAAACAGGTCTCGTAATGTTGTTGACATACCGCTGTGCTGTAAGTGTGCCTCTAATGACAACTAAAATGGTCCAGCCATCAAGAGAAATAGTACCCCAGACCATGACTCCTGCTCCTGGTTGAGGGCCTGTGTGACATGCAATAGCGAAATCAGGATCAGCACGTTGCTCTGGGTGTCTCCAAACATATCTTTGATAATCCTCACGACACAGTTGAAAGGAGGAGTCGTTGCTAAAGGCTATATGTCCCCATTCAGCATCATTCCAACCTGATTGAGCCAAGTACCAATGTAAGCTGGCTCGACAGTGTGCAGGCATGAGTGGCAGGTGGCTTAATGGTCGGTATGAGCGTAGATTTTGCTCTCTCAAGCCATCTGTGAATGGTTATGGTGGACAGTCATGTGCGGATCGCACATCTGATGGTTAATAGCGATGAATCAGGTGCTGTGACAGCTGATCTGACAGTCACTCTGTCCTCCCAATCTGTTGTGGCCCTAGGTTAACTGCTACCATCATGATGCTGAAATCTGCTATTGTCACCCAATCTTGCCAGCATCTTCTAATTGCTGCATTGCTTCGACTCATATGACAAGCGATTCTCCGATTTATCTATCCTGCATCTTTCAATCCAATGATATGACCTGTTTCAAACTCTGACAGTTGCTCGTAATGAGCTCAAACCCTGTGGCGAGGCATTTTTTTCAGTCGTTGAAAGGCATTCTAAATCGCAGTGGAACGGAAATTTTTAAAAACAGTTCAAGAACAGTTCCTTATATACATCTGCTTGATGCACAGTTCCAATGCGCTCGAGATTGCACTATTCATTCATTGGACACCAAATTTTAATCATTTGCATATTTGATCAAAACATTTATGCATACGATTGATCAAAACATTTATGTATGCGAAATTTCAAAACAACCAGATGGTTCCTTCTTAGGACGTCATTCGTGTGCCTTATAGAGACCTTATACTTAAGCCTTATAGAGAGCCTTATACTTAAGATCATGTGCCTTATACTTAAGTCTTATAGAAGGCTGGCACTAGATATCTTACTGCCTGATGCAGTCTGTGCGGGTCCTAAATTCTGCGACTCCATGTAGCCATATGAGCCCTGGCGCTGGATTTATGTGAATAACAAATCAGGTATTCTTAATTCAAATAGCCCTAAATATAATCTTTGGGTCTATGGGTATCATCAAAAAATATATTTTTAGCATATGAAAAGAAATTTTTGGTAAATTTTTCCTCGTCAACATTTTTTAGCGAATTTAACTTAAGTCTGTAATCATCGCCAAGAGTAATGTCAACATAAAAGGTTGCCATACTTCTTTATTATTCAAATTCTAACATAAAAAAATTGCTTAGGTATCGCTACATGAATCATTACTCAAGTTGTCATGTTTTGATAAACATGCAATGATGAAAGGAAAGTATAATAAATAATGATTCGCCAGGTTGACGTCAGATCAACGATGTATCTATGTGGAATGATGTGTGCCAAAAAGCAAATATGCAGAAACAGAGCCAAATTATTGATCATATAAAATTATGCTAAAATGTTTGTTTCTTCAATAACAAGGTATTTTATTTAGTGTTGAAGTAAAATTGAGAATCGGTACTCTCCAGATGTTTTATTGTGCACTGAGAGGGGCAATCAACTGCACATGTGTAAAACCTAGGAGAAAAACATTGTTGGTGGTTTTGAGGTCCCGATTTTAGATCATTCCAGATAATGGACGTCCGGGTTTTGGACTTAGTACTGTACTATAATGGATATTAATGATAATTTTTAATGCCAAAATTTAGCTATTTTAAAGTTTCTGCCCCCCACACGCAAACTAAGAATGCATGAAACATGTACCATACCATGAAAGAACAAAGATGTACTTTACCATGAACCTATAAATACTTCCCTCCCCTCACATTTAAAATTTTCGTTTGTATGGCATTGATTTTGGCAAAAATCTTTCTACATTTTGAGGAAGTTGACACAGGTCTGCCTTTATCAGGTTGCAGAAATGTAATTTAATTTTAGGAGAGTTAAATAAACAGTGGACTTTTTAAAATTGCTACTTAATAACATCAAGATGTTATTGTGAAGTTTCTAAGATTGGTAGGGTAAGAATTACTTCTGTATATCAATTCCTTTAATTCTGTGTGATTTATTTCAATTTAGTTTCTCAATTAACTATGTAAATTACATTTATTGCATTTAATGTTAAGTAATAAATTTGAGTTTGCATTTTCTTTTTTAGGTTTTGAAATCTCTACAAGATTTTTTATCAGGTGTAATGAAGCTGTTTCCATCTAAAACTTTATGCCCTGCTTCAAAGATTGACTGCAGTGAATTGAAACTTTTGTATTCTTCGCTAAATAAATTTATTAAAGATGGATTCAATTATAAAAAGTAATTTTTATTTACCTTTTTTTAATAAATTTTGTGAATTTATATTATTAATTAAATGTAAATTATTTATGTTTTATAGATCCATTAAAAAACTGCCTGCATTATTGAATTCAAGATTGCTAATTCTAAAAGCTGTCTGTGATTTCTTCCCTTCTTATATTGACTCATTTTTGTCAACTTTTGTAAATGTATTACAAAAAATGACTGAAGAGCGCTTGGATAGTAGTGGGGCATCTTCAACTAATTCAGGTTAGTATTGTTATGTTTTTTTGTCATATAATGTCAGTAATGGCCACTCAGGGAGAGGGCTTTTCTCATGCTTTCTAAACTCCATACAGAGCGTCAAAAAAGGTAGCAGATCATGGATAGAGCACTCGTATGATTAGCACTCACAGCCTCTAGTGCCTCCTTAGCAATGATCTAACATGTAACCAGGACACCAGTGTTTGTAGTGATGATTGATAACTCAATGAATGGGACCTGAGGTCACAGAGGCCATTGCACTGACTGTTTCTCACTTTCGCTGCTGGGGATCTCATTCGACCTGGAATCTCATGGACTGGAGTAGAATTATCTTTACTTTAGCTGTATGATTGTCAAGCAGAATTTTTCATTAAATATGCAAATGTGTGATAGGAATCTAAAATTTTAGTAAATATTTAAAAAATTCAAAAAGAAAATTTAAGGGGTTTTTTTATTTAATCTAAAGGGACTTTGTCCCTGGAGGATTATTGTTTTCGTTTTGGGATTTTCCGTCGAATATCCTGAATATCCGTTTCACTTTTCAAACTGTTGCCGCCAAATGTTAGCGCCCTGTATTATATTTGAAGAAATTAAATAATAAAGAATCTGCATAAATGTATGTATGCTTCTCGCATTGTGATAAAACAACGGTTAAAACAGTGCCCCTTTGGATGTAATTTAAAATCTGAAACCTTTCAGTCAGCATTTGCTGCAAGAGAAAACTTCAATTATATTAAGTGGGATCCTTGACTGTACATGCAATGTATTAATAGAATATGATATTCGTTAGCCTCCCCCTCCACAATCTAAATTTTATTTCTTCCGAACTTGAAATAAATGGAAAATAATTGTTACATTCTGAAATGAATTCAAACTTATATTCAATTAAGCATTGTTAAGAAAATTTAATGGGAGACTGTCGAGGATTCCTTTGCTTCAAGAACCAAAAATATTTTACACTATAAAAATAAATTTTCCATCTATTTCATTTGTTTAATATTGTGTTTACCTTTTTTACTTCCTTCAGCGAAGTAAGGGAAGTATTGTAACTGAAAAATTTCAACTAACATATTTCATTGAAAACACCCATTTTGGTCACACTTGAATCCATATGAATGATAATCTTGCATAACATTTGTACATACAGATGGAATAAAGGACTTGTGTCCAAAATGGATTCAGAAGAGATTTTTTGTGATGTCTGCACACATGTTTCTCACTTAACTCAAAAATGTGTAGCCATAGAACATTGAAATATTGTGTAAAAAAAAAAAAAAAAAAAAAAAAAAAAAAAAAAAGGACAATTCTATATGTTCCCGTTCTACTGGGCCGATTGACAAAATTCAATATGCGTTTTTCATGTCTCAAAAGTCTGACTTAGGATATATATTAGATTTTTATATAGCACTATTCTAACATAGGTATTTTGACATAAAATCTGACTTTTTCTGAAATAGCATACCAATTTTTTTACATATTTCGATTCTACGACTCAAATTATGCCAGACTGCCAAGTTTTGCAAAAATCGTATGAGTAAAAAATTAGCTCTCATAATTTTACCTCCTCAATGTTAATTGAATTTGGCATATATTTATTAATATCTCTCACATTTCGAAACTTAGGTTCATTACAAATAAAATTCAGCCATTTTTTTTGTGTTTTATATTTTAAATTTCTATTTTTAAATAATTTTTATAAATTTTTCAAAAAAAAATTTTGAATTATAACCTATAAAATTTTTACCATCATCTTAAAAGTAGGTGTAGTTCTAAGCATACCTGCAAAAAATTAGAGTTTTTATTCAAAATTCTCTAAGATATACACGAATTTACATATTTTCGCATATTCAAATTTGGCATCTTTGTTTTGAATGGTAATAACGCCAAATGTGGTTTATGGAATTTTGTTACAGTGAATTGCCACAGCTATTTTTAACCTTAAATTTCAAATGATATTTTACGGAGAATTAATTATATGAATTTTTTCCCCTCGGTGATGCGTAATAAATATTTATTAATACTATATTAATAGCTATTTTTTTTTAAATTATAGATGATATTATTCAAATTTTTAACTTTTTTTTAAATTTCTTTCTCTTTTCCTTTTTTTTTTTAAATATTTGTAAGAGTAAATTTTTACCTTCACCTTGTAATTGTCTTTAACTTCATTTAAATTGAATTGTCTAAAACTTAGATAGTTTGTTTGATGTTTATTTTCACAATGTTTTTAAGCAAACAGGACATTGAAAGTTTAGGTCATGTCCCAGCTTTAAAAAAATATATATAAATTTTCACATAAATCCTCTTAATGTTTTAAATAGTAATTTTCCCTCGTGTTGTAGATTATACAAAAAAATATGTCCTTTAATATAATTACATACAGGATAAGCACTGCTGGAGTGGTTTATTTCTTTCTCATTTAAAAAAAATCTTTTAATTCAAATATTTATCCTTTGGAATTTGCTTTAAAACTTTATTTATAGTTAAAATGTCTAGAAAATGAAAAGCTATCTTCAGCTGAAGCGCATTTGATGCAACGAATATTTCAAAAAAATTGACAAGAATGCAAAATTTATGGAAGTATAACAATCAGAAAATCTTAATTTTCTTCTGTCAGCACTGAAAACAGATGTAGAAGTAAAGAAGAAAATTAGGGGGGGAAAGCATAAATTTAAAGGGAGGAAGTTGGGTGTTCAAAGAGAAAACACTTGGATGTGCACACCAGAAAATAGCAGCAATTGAGTTCGTACTAACGGAAAAGACAAAAACCATATCATTGCAGTTTAAATTGAAGAGCAACTGGTTTTTGACTATATGGTTGTATAAATTTAAATTGCATCATAGAGCATCATATCGTATCATAAACGGAACATCGCATGATTTCTCAGTCGAATTATTTGAAGATTCAGGAATTAATATTCTTGGAATATGTGCTAAAGAAGGAATGTTCTCGGAAGATTAAAGAAGAGTTTAAAACCAGTGATATTAGGTTTGTCTTACAAGCTCAAGTATCAAAATGATTTTGCAATTGCCTGAGTAGTTGACTTGTAAATGGCTGAGAATTAAGCAAATGACTTTTAATCTTACGTAACTCAGTCAGAAAACGTATTCCAAATGTTTTGTATTGCATGACAATGCATCTTTTCATTATTCAATAACCAATCGAGAACCACTTCTGTTCCAAAAATAAGTATTTGTACTCAATCATCCTGCATGTTCTTCAAATTTGTCTTCTTGTGATTTTTTTCTTTCTTAAAAACTTAAGTTGCCTCTCAAAGGAAATTTTTTTTACATGGAAGAGACAAAAGGAGTATGACATCTACTTTTAGAGGTATCTCAAAAATAGATGTCTACAGGCTTCTCTTCCATTACATGTTGTGCATTCAAATGGAAAATTGCATCAGCATAAATTCTATAATCTATTTTTATTACACTCTGATTACTTTATTAACGTACAGTCAATATATATTAAACCTTTTACTTCAGCTTCAGTAATTCGGGATACTGATGAAATGGATTGAATTGGATTATTAAGTTACAGCAAAACGGGACAAAATTTCATATTTGGGCTATAAAAAGCCTTCGAGAAGAACTTTCTAAGAAAAACCAGCTGGCATACATGTTACAATGAGAAAAACCATGAAAATGCCCATGCAACCAGCCCGTTTTCAAACCCCGGAGCGAACTACCAGTGTTCAGCGACTTTACCGCTTGGTCGTTGCTGGCTTTATGGAATGGAAGGCGATAAATTTATTTAAAATGAATGTCAGAAATACCAAAATGTTTTGAAAAGTTGGATGCTTTTTAATATACTTCAGAATGCCTGAAGAAAAAGAGCAAGCCATTAAAAAGAAAAAAAAAAAATTTCCATAAAAGTTAGCATTTTTTAATTAAAAACTTTTTAATCTTATGATATTTGATTCTTGCGATTTCAAAAATAAAATATCTGACTAAAATATGAATAACATTTTAAGAAACTAAATATAGGATGATAAAATTGTGTAAACCAATGAGCATAGTGTTAAAGCTATTTAAAGCAATATATGCAAGTCATCCCAAATTAAAATGTCGGTTATACATCTTTCTCGTTTATATATCTTTTCTGAACGGAACATTGAAAGGCGTGTTGACTGTGCTTTACTATATTTTCTCTTTTAATGTATTCAGTTTTCAGATGCACCATAGTCTGGGACACAAAGTATTCTTCCGAAAGAAACACAATTCAAATAAATAAAATAAAATCTTGGAAAATTTATATTAATAAAGATATTTTAAATGCTCAATTCGAATGAAAAAATAGTAAATTTGAAGAGACAATGCAACACAAGCAGTTAAAATAAAAGTCTAAATATTAAAAAATTACCTAAAATAATAACTGTGACAAAAAAAAAATAAATTATAAAGAAAACTAGTATTTGAAAAAAATAAATGATGCACCTTATATTTAAACTACGCGGTTCGAATGGGTAAATAGAAATTTTTAAAACAGTTTTTTGAAAGAAACTATGCAACTTAAACAATTAAAATTAAATTCGAAAAAGAAAAAAAAAGATATCTGAAATAATAACATAAAAATATAATATAAAGAACATATTTGAAAGAAAGAACGTTGTGATTTTTTTCCTTCTCATGGAAAAGAAAAATAGATTACCCTATATTAAGAAATTTGCCAAGTGAACTCTTCTTTGCACAAACTAAAAAAACAGCGCCAACATAAATTTGTGAATTTCTCCGTAAATTTCACACAAAATTTCATATTTGGGCATAATTTGAGTGGTAGAATTGAAATATGTAAAAAAATTGGCATGTTATTTCAGAAAGAGTCCAATTTCATGTCAAAATAACTACGTTAGAATAGAGCTATAAATCTAATATATATCCTAAGTCGTGCTTTTGAGACATGAAGAATGCAATTTGAATTTCGTCAATCAGCCCAGTAGAACGGAAAATATAGAACTGTCCCCCACCTTTTTTTGTGAACTGTACATGTCTGTATTGCCATTCTT